TGTGTGTTTGTGTATTCACTGCTGCCATCAGTACAGCACTGGAGAATGAATCAAGAGTTCCCATTTGGTTCATGAGTATAACCACCAGCTATTGGGGGGTGGGGGGTGGCGGGCGGTGGCAGCAACCTGACATTTTTTCAGGTATTTATTTTACGAGCACAAGAGATAAAATATAGCTTTGGGATTGACCACAAAGCAAGACAAACTCCTCTGTCCAGCTTCCATCCTAGTAAAAAGCTCACATGCAGACAGTCTCCTGTGGCCTATAGTTCTTTTTCCTAGGATGACATGATGCCATCCAGCCAGGTGAGGTGGGAAAAGGTCCACTCCCCTCCTTCTGGAATCATCCTCAGTTGTCACTATGGCAGTACATCTTGCTCCTTCGGATGCTGATAAGTATACAGAGAAGCTGGTCTGACCAGTTCAACAGCTTCTTCTACTAGATTCCAAACCTGCCAAGCCTAGAAAAGACTCCCAGACCAACCCTGCTCCTTGCCCACAAATCCTATAACAGTATGTTTACTTCACAACATTTAACAGTTTAATGTTGATTTGGGATATGTATTAAAGTACTGTATTTATACACCACGTTTCAGGTGAAACCAAGTGGTCTCCAAAAATATTAAAACCTAGCTAAATATACTTAGTGTGTGGGTTGGGTGCTAACATCCTGTGAGTAAATTAATTGGCATATCTACTCAGAAGTAAGCTCCATTTAGTTCAATGGGACTTACTCTCTGGTAAGTGCATGCAAATTCTTCAGCCTTAATTTAAAATGATGCACACATTGTATGATTAATTTAACTGCTCTCACTGATGATACCATGTTTGGAAAAGGTACTATTATTTCTACTAGGAATGGCAGTTGTCTTTACTTGCTTATGATGACGCTTCTTGGCCATTGTTATCATTGTCATTAAATGATGGAAACCTTCTCAATGAGGCGTTCAGCTAAAATATAATAAAATCTATAACCGCCAAGCACAGCTTGCACCCAGCGCACACACAGAATCACAGACTCATAGCTCTGGCAACACGCTGTTTGGAAGTATAGAAATAAACATGAAGATGTGTTTTAAAAAGTGGAGAAAGAGGGCGGCCCTGCCTTGCACCTCTCTCCAAACCAAGACTATAGCGTATAAAATGAAACACGACCCCGAGGGGTAGATGAGGAAAGGGGCCCGTCTCTGCCTCCCCCCCACTCTCGCCCTCGCTGCAACGGGGAATCCCGGGCCGCGCTTCGATCCGTGGCTCCGACATCGGCCACGCAGGCCTGGCGCGGGGATGGATTGCATTTGCCTGGCGGTGGTGGGCGGGGCCTCTGCCGCGTCTCCTCCTCCTCCTCCTGCTGCTGCTGCTGCTGCTTCTGGCCGCGCGGGCTCCGCTTGGGAGGCGCCCTGCCTGGGGCTGCCCCGGATCCTTCCCCGCAGCCGCTCAGGTTTGGGCAGCAGCCATTTCTCGCTTCCTGGCGTCGGGAAAGGAGGGCCGGAGCCGTTTCTTTGTTTGATTGGCGCCGTATTCCGCCCGCGGCTCGCAAGATCAAAAGACAAGGTGGTTTCCTGCCGGCTGTTCAACTGCTTGAATTCAGCAGTGGGCACCGTCTGTATAAACTGGAGTGTCCACCCTTCCAAGTATTAGACTCTCTCCTCATGTTTTAGCCTCACAAGAGCCCTTTCAGGTAGATTAGGTCAAGGGATCCCTGACCATTCGGTCCAGTTGTGGCCAACTCTGGGGTTGCGGCGCTCATCTCGCTTTATTGGCCGAGGGAGCCGGCGTACAGCTTTCGGGTCTTGTGGCCAGCGTGACTAAGCCGCTTCTGGCGAACCGGAGCAGCGCACGGAAACGCTGTTTACCTTCCCGCCAGAGCGGTACCTATTTATCTACTTGCACTTTATGTGCTTTCGAACTGCTAGGTTGGCAGGAGCAGGGACTGAGCAATGGGAGCTCACCCCGTTGCGGGGATTCGAACCGCCAACCTTCTGATCGGCAAGTCCTAGGCGCTGTGGTTTAACCCACAGCGCCACCCGCGTCCCACTTGAGGTAGATTAGACTGAGCCTAATTCCTAGTCCTGTGCCATCCAGTGTGTGTCATGATTAAACCAGAATCTGAACCTGGGTTCAAACCCTTCACTGAATAGATTTGTGTCTCTTTTTTAAAAAATCATGGCAGCCTGCATCTTTCCCTTCTGTCTCGCTTTGATGGAGTGTCTTGAATGCTGTGGTGCAGTAGTGTCCCCCTTTGAAATACAAGGATAAATAGTTGTCTTATTACAAGCCACTAGTGGTGGGAGAGAATCCACTAATCTGGTGCACAGGCCCATCAATTGGTTTCCGAAATGGGGATTCTGAGGCACTTTTTGCAACTAACACATTGCAGGGCTGCAACAAATTGTGAGAGGTTAAAAAATGAAAAGGCAAATGTGAATGAATGCGCCCAGTTATGTTAAAATAAATCAGTTTACTCATTTTCCTCTTAATTATTAACATGAGTGGGAAATGGGATAGTACTGTAGTTCTTCAAAAAAAAATAGTGCTAAGATTGATCACTTTCTTAATAGCATATTCAAAACTTAACATGTTTTCATCTGCTAATATTGGAATCATTAGGGTATCACAGAAGCATTTAAGAGGTCTTGTACTTTGTGCTTTACAGTCGGAGTGAGCAGAAAAGGTAGATCAGGTTCAGCTGATTTGCAGGAGAATGGCAAAGAAAGCTCACAGTTACTTGACAAAGGCTGCAGCAAAGAAGCTTTACAGTGGTATCTCTGGTTATGTAATTTCGTTGCTGAAAGGGAAAATGCTTTTTGGGAAAACCAGGAGTGGACTTACACATGAAAGTGTAAAATTGCTTCTAATCCTGAAAACAAATTCCTGGGCTGGGCTTGTACTCGGAGGCACCCTGGCCCTTAATTCTAAAGGTCTGCCTGTCCCACCAGTTTGCATCTGGCCCTGACAGATGAATCTCAAGGTACTTTTGCAGAAGCCAAATAGATCCGTCAAGTCTGAAGTCTGTCCACCCATGTGTAATTTACAAAATGCTAACATGACTAAAAATATGGTTCCTTGTCCCAAGATGCTTACAAATTATTTTTTTGGAGAGTGGAACAAGAGAAAAGAAGGCAAGGGCAGCAGTAGACGAATATGGAAGAAAGAATTGCATATTTCTGGTTTAGTATTGATGGGAAAACAACTAAGAGGTTGAGACAAAAACAAAAAGGCAGCTCAAGCAACCAAATATATTAATTTTTTTTATTACTAATTTGATACTTGCTAATCTCCTTATTAAGTGTACTTGCTTTTACTAACTTGGACACTTTCTACATTAAATCCAGTTTGGAATAAAATCTGGAAGAAACTAATAGCCAAGTTTAAATTTTGCCTCACTACTAAATCCCTTAAGATACCCTAATATCAATAGTACCAGTAGCTTCAATGGCAAATTGTTCCAGAATCTAGGTGATACCTAAAGATAAGATACTCAGAGTAGTCCCATTGACTCTTTACTTAAGTAAGTTGATTGCATCTGGTTATGACTTACTTGGATATCACTCCATGTCCTTAAGTAGAGCCAGTGTTGTGTAGTGGTTAGAATGTTTGATTAGGGAGACCTGGGTTCAATCCCCACTTGGTGATATAACTCACTTGTTGACCTTAGACCAATCAGCAGTTCTCAGCCAAGCTCACCTCACAGGGTTGTTGTATTGATAAATTGGGGGAAAGGACCATATATGCCTCCTTGAGCTCCTAGGAGGAAATGTGAGGTGTGCATGTGATTGATAATTAAAATGACAAAACATTTTTAACTTTTCCATAAGCCTACCACCTATGAATTTATTGTTATTGTTGATGCAAAACTTAAGCCATCACTTCTGCCGTTTATTCATTGCAGGCAAGACCATGAAAAATGCTCTTGATAACTTGACGTGAAGAGGTTTTTTTCCATTTGCATGAGGCGGCTCCTACATTCACCTTATCTTGGGTTCCTGCAATGGCAGAAGAAGAGCTCCCGGGAAATAAAAGGCCTTGTAGAAGCTCAGCCCTCAATAGGAAGAGGATAAAACCTGCCAGGAGGAAGCAAGGGACGGGTGTGGAAGGGACACTGCCTTTATCTGCATCCTCTTTCTCAATTGCTTCATTTTTCAATAATGTTCCCCCTGCCAGAGTCGCCTGTCCTTTGTGTGGGCAGATGGTAGCAAGATATGGAATCAACCAGCACATTGATGAAGTGTGTCAAAAGAGCCGAGATGATGACAGGATTCTGGTTGGTTCGGCGCCTGATGCGGGTTCAGGCCCATCAGTTGAAAATGTGCCTGGTGGTTGCAGTCCGTACTTTGCAAATAATGCCTCGACTCCAGAGAAGTTAGTAGGTGACAACTCTGAAACAAAACCCGAGGTGGGAGGACAGGTGAGCCCATACTTTAAGAAGGGCGGTGGTCTCCTGTTGGGCAATGGTGAGTCAGAGGTTCAGGCAGTTGGGAAGATCTCCCTGGGAAGGCTGTCAACCAAATTGTCCAGGAAGCGTCGTGCTGAAGGTGGCAACATCTTTACTTGGGATGCTAAGTCTCGGCCAGCTCAAGATGTGTGTGACAGCTCTAGAGAGGAGAATCCAGAAGGCACCACTTCTTCCCAGAAAGAAAACTGGTTGCCCTTTTCAAGGCTTCAGAGACAAACTAGTCCAAAAGAAGGATTCGAAGGCAAACGAGAAACCCTGGACCCCACATGGGAAGGTGACGCACGAACACTCTTGGGTGGTGATGGTTCTGCTCCTGGATTGTTTCCATCTGATCATCTTGCTTGCGGTGAAGTTGGGCTGCTAACAGAGGACAACAAGGAGCAAAATACTCCTAAGGAGGACTTGGATTCTGATATTTGCAAGCTTGTAGTATGTTCAACAGCTTATAGTAAAGAAGCACCGTCAAACTTGGAAACCACAGACCTCTCTTCTGGTGAACAGGCTCTGTTGCCCAATGTGAAAGGTATTTGTTGCAATCAGACACAAAATACCTCTTTTGTGGGGGGTAACATGGAAGTACTTCCTATGGAAGATCATACAGACTTAAAAAATGAAGTGGTTGATTGTGTTGGTTTGGGACCTTTGGAAAACATGAATTCTCAGAGTCCAAGCAGCAACATTTTAGAGACGGTTCTCAATGGACTCTGCCGTGGAGAAGACCCAGGAGGGCGACCATATTATCTTCAGAATTTTCTGATGGTCCTGCAGGCTGTGCTAGAGAATGAGGATGATCAGAGGCTGTTTGATGAGAATGATTTGGACACCATTGCAAAGTTCTACCAACTCTCAGGTAGCTAATATTATATTCCATATTCTAATGTTGATCTCTATCAAGCCCTCAAGGGTTTCTGTATATCTAGAATCAAAACCACACTGCGCAAGAAAAGTAAGTCTCAGCAGACTTGAGGTAAACCCAAGATTTGCAGAAGTATAAAAATCTCCAGGGGTGACCCTCACATATACAGTCATGGGAAAAAGAAAGTACACCCTATTTGAATTCTGTGGTTTTACATTTGAGGACATAATAACAATAATCTGTTCTTTAGCAGGTCTTAAAATTAGGTAAATACAACCTCGGATGAACAACAGCACATGACATATTACACCATGTCATTATTTATCTAATCCTGGGCTGGATGGACAAACAATCTTGCCTGGTCTAAGGCAGCTACCTGTGCCCCACCTTTGGGTAGTTGGAGGTTGCAGCAGCTAACCTCTGAAGTAATATAGCGACAGGTGATGACCATCCTCTTGGGTTGGGATGCGGGGAGATGATTACATGCACATAGAGTAATAAACAATAATATTATACACCACTTTAAAAAGCACCTGCTGTTTTCTAAGCTCTGCACATTTGTTAAAGTGTGAGGCAGTTCTTTCTCACAGGTTCACAATCTTAATAGGCAAAACGAAGAGGAGGAAGGAGGAAGCCAGCACTGGGGCACCTGCAGTTTTTTAAATTAGCCAGGCACATTTTGCACCTGGCTATCAGTCATTTGTGACCAAGTGATGATGCCTGGGTGCCAGAATTGGCGCCTGACACACAGCAGCTTTATTCTCCCTGCGGTGCTCTGGCATGAGTCAGATATTAGCTGGAGCTGACAATATACACAATTCATTTTCAGCTTTGTAATCTTACAAAAAAACAACAACCCCTAAACAGGCACCTAAGCATTCTGTTAATGTACCTGACCGTAACCTAGGTTTAAGGGGCCATATGGCAAATAGCTTTTATATCTCAGTTTCTAGCACTGGACCTGCCCCTCCTTAGCTGATCGATGGGGACAGGTTGGCCTCCCCACTTGTCCTGATTTTTTTTTTTACTTGAGAGGGAAGAGGGGCGACCCTTCATGCCCTGCACATCTAGTGGGATTTGGATTTAAGACAGTAAGCAGAGCACATTAATTTGCAAAGCAGACAGCTTCTGTTTGGTTCCTGTATGCAGAGATGTTAAGCCGTACCATTAGATGAGCTCTTTGCATAACTTCCATGCTCCCCAGTTGGTTGGCTTCTGCTAAGAGGCAGATACAATTTTTTACAGCTCTCTGAGCCTTTGATGTTGGGCTGATGATAAGCACCTGGGAAAGAGGCTGTACCAGGGCATGATCACTCTGCTTGAGCAATAATTTCTGCTTTGCAAGTCTGGGCTACTGGGAAGCAGGGCTTCTGCGTGATCCACAGGGACCTATTTGAGCTATAGGAGAGTGAAGTTGATTTTGGATAAAATGTGCATCCAGTTCTCTCCCCCCCCCCCATGAGATCTTTCCTCTTCATCAAGCCTAATCTTTGATAAACTGCTGGGCCACAACATTTTTCTCTTCATAGCTCAAGTTAGCCTTCTGTGGCCTAAAACTAAAGCTTTTTGTAAGTCTTCTCTATCTGATCCCCTGGAGGCGATCCTTGCTCCACTCAGGTGATAAAGCGAATGGCTGTTTTATAAGCTGTGTGTTTTGAAATGCAGTTGGAAGTGTTTCCCAACTCAGAACCAATTTGCCAATGTCTTTTGTTACCTGGCCCACATGGATTTTATCAGCTGAAGGACGGCCTCTCTCTCTGCAGGGTCCCTCATCTCTTGCGTCCATTGTCCACTTCCATCTTAATGTTTCAGCATTTTTAATGTACTTCATCTTTTTGACAGCCGCTTTGAACTTTTTGGAACCATGACCTGAAATGTTTTAAATAAAATCTCAGAGTTTGTAATTAGCTCTTCACCTAATAACCTTGCCATACTTTCATGTTGCCATAAAGATGCTGTTCCCATTCTTGGATGCCCGGATGTTATTGGACCTCAGCCCCCATCGCCCCCACCAGAGAGGCCAATTGGCAAGGATAATGGGAGTTGTAGTCCACCAATGTCCAGGGACCCAAGGTAGAAGGATGATGCTTTAGAGAGGAGCACTTCCCAAACTTAAGAAAAATTGCTTACCCCTTTGGAGAGTTGAGTCGTATCCCTTCTCAGGTGAATATAATGTGGGGTACTTATAAGAAACACTGCTTTAGAGCTTTCAAAGCCGTTCATGATCACTGCCTGTCTTCCAATACTCCCTCTTAGGTATGCAGATAATATTTTCCCCATTTTACATATAAGGAAAACTGAGGCTCAGGGAGAAGGGATAATCTAAAAGCCATCTAAGTGAATTCATGTCCCAAGGTGAGATCTGAGGAAAGGTGAAAGTGCATTTGCTTGGAATGCAGAAGGTTGCGGGCTCAATCCTGAAATCTCCAGGTAGGGCTGGGGAATACCCCAGTCTGGAATCCTGGAGAACCACAAAGAATCAGTGTAGATAATGCAGAGCTAGATGGTCTGACTCAGACTTAGCTTCCCAGGTTGTGGGCTTCCTAGAGGCACCTGGATGACTTTGGGAAGCAGGCCTGATCCTTGTAAGCTGGTGACTTTCTGTATGTTTTTGGTATGTCTTGCAATCAGGATACATGCTTACCTGAGAGGAACTTCAGTCATTTGGTCTCCCGTGATGAGCAGGAATCTGCTCCAGCAGGGTGCTTTCGCAAATTAGAAAAGGATGTTTTGCTTTACTGTAATATTGGCACTGAGTTTGCTTTTTTAAAATAGCAGGACATAATGGTATATTAAATCTTAAGTGTCTCCCACACCTATCAACCACCGCTGAAGGGAGAGGTAAGAAAGAGGGATGATGATCTGTAAAATCAGCATTATTTCTGGCTTTTTGACTTGGGAAGTATCAGAGGGAGAACATCAAAGAATCCTCATCCCCACTGGGAAAATGACAACCTGAGCTTTGAGTATATTCTTCCTCTTGGTAGAAGGTTGCATGAAATTTTCTTTATTGTGACACCCTGGGGTGGAGGAAAATGTTGGGGGAAAGTGAAGAAAGTTTAAGAACCAGAAGGGAAAATGAATTAGTAGTCATTTTCTGACTTAAACGCGCGCGCCCCCCAATCTCATATAAAACCAAGGAGCAGACGGATAAGAATGGCAAGACATAACAAAACCCCAGGTGTAAGTGAATAAAGCAACCTAAATAAATCAGGGATGCGGAACAGGATGCAATGGCAGATGAGATCCTGAGCTCCTCACCCTTTGCTGGTCAGTTTGACAGATGGTCAGGGCCTCCCATTTGTCAGTTACAGACGTTCGCGTGATGTCAGATGACCTGACTTGAAAGGCAATAATTGGGATCCCGATTCTTTTCTTTCTCCTTTTGCATCCTGGGCTGGAACTAGGAACCTCGGAGTGCACTCCTGGTTGTTGCTTTGCAAGCAGGGCTTGTATTGGGTGCCTTTTACATTTGGCGCCTGGTGCAGTCTCCGCTAGGCTAGGCTCCTCTCAAAAGCTCCCATTCAGAAGTTCTTGGTGTAGCCAATCAGGATTTGCAGCTGATCGGCAGTGAGGCGATTCCCGCTTTCCGAACTCCTGAGCAGGGCCAATCCCAGTGTGCTTTGCAGCCACCCTTGTTCAGCATTTTTTTTAAAGTCACATATCAAAAGAGTTGGGGATGCGTTTGAACTTCGATCAGGGCCAGCTGATGTGTGTTTGACAGCAAAGCTGCCGTGTGTCTTTTGCAGTGGTTCCCAAAGTGGGTGGTGTCTCCCCCTGGGGAAGTGGAATTACCTAGAGGGGCACTAAGAGGAAGTGGATGTTAGGGCAGCGGTGAAACTGTAAATGACTACCAGAAGAAGAGCTAGGACCACTGCATCAAGTTCATCTGTTTTGTTGGATTAATTTAAGTAAATAGTTTTGATTGGATTTTGACTAAATGTGCCATTGATTGTTACTGGTTTGAATTTTATTGAGCTATTATATGTTCTGAATAATGCTTTCTATAGGGTAGAGTGGGAGGCATTGGGGATGAGTTTATGGAACTAAGGGGGCAGGTGCCTGAAAAGCTTTGGGAACCACTGGTGTAGATGTGGATGCAATTCCAGAATTAGAAAGAACCTTTAGAATTTTCTCTGTCCTTCTCCTGGTTTATGATGCCACTGCAGCCAGCGCTCAGAAGTTATACGTCAGACTTTTCCAACGCAAGCTGAGTTGGATAAAAACGAACAAGATAGTCTACTTGGAGATTGCTGAGGATCTCTCATCACACATCAACGAGCTTGTTGGAACAGGATTCTTGCAGTCAGGTATGTCTGTTAAAAGTTTGCATGACAGTTATGTGGAATAAAATAATGTGATAGTTCCATTTCTGAACTGCACCACTGCAGGTGGGTTTTTTTTGGTGTGGGTGGGAGTAGATAAAAAAGTAGCCCCATATGAAAAGGAAAAACAAAATATTGTTGTAAGTAGCATATCAGGGAGAGGGAGAGGTAATAATGCTTTCCGTAAGATAGGAGTTTTGGGGGTTGTTTTAAACATGGGCAGCATTCAAAAAGTTGACCTCCCTGCATACACTCTGGAATGGTACAATCCAGGAAGATCTCAGCCACTCCCGCTCACTTGCAGAGATAGCGTAGGCCTGGGAGGATTTGTGCCTTCAGTTTTGTACTGCAGGTAACTTGCAACTTTGTGTGGTAAATAAATAAATAAATAAATAGGGATGGAAAGGGAACAGACGTCTGGGGAAAAAAAGACTTTGGCAATCTCACCCACCATTGAACTCAGGGTGTTTTTGCTATATGCAATTTTTGCTTTATGCCTGGAACATAATCCCTGTGTAAGTTGAGAGTTGCCTGTATTTTCTCTCCTTGATATTCCTCAGGGTCTTGTTACCTGCCCCAAATCTACAAGGTGGGAAGGACACGGACACAAGTAAATGTAGAATGCCCCTTTGCAGTTTGCTGGGTTTCAGCTTAAATTATAGGCAGGAGACTCTGCATACTTTGTATGCATAGCATCTTGGGTTCAGTCCCTGGTATCTCCCACTGAAGGATCAGATAGCTGGGGAGAGGGGTTTGAGTACAACAGTAGCCCTGATGAGGAGGCAGATCTGCTGCCTGGTCCTTCCCATGTGGGATCTGCTAGCTTCAGAGCCTGCATCTCATGCCCTTCACACCAATCAGGTGCCTCCAGACTTGAATGACTGGGCCACAGGCTCCTCAGAGGATCAGGAGAGACCTTTAAAGCTTTCCCCAAAACAGCCCCTGCAGCTTCTACTCTGTCATTGTTAGCATCTCTCGGTCGACTTATCCTTTGTAAATTAGTCCCTCCCTGCCTCTCCACCACAAATAGCTTTTTAAATTTGTGGTATTCATAGCATGGTTTATAATATGTGTGGTGTGTGTGTGTAATGAGGCAGTAAAACCTCACGCTTTAAGCAGAGGATGTGTCGTAACTTAGACAATGACTGTGTGGCGTTCTTTGGAATTTCATGTAGCAAAGGACTTGGGTATCTATGGGGAGTCCCTTTCATTATTCTTGCATTTTTCCCTGTGTACCTGCAGAGGCAGAATTAAAAGATCTGTCTGAGGCTCTTGACTTGCTTTCTGCCCCTGAGCTGAAAACCTTAGCAAAGGTCTTCCACCTTCCAAACCCAAATGCACAGAAACAGCAGCTCCTGGAAGATTTCCTCCGGTTGTCAAAGCAGCGCTCAGTCTTCAGCAGGAACCAAGCTGGCATTGGGAATGTGATTCTGAAAAGGTAACTTAACTTTTGAGTGCCTTCCCTTCTAAAATGAAGAAATAAAAACATCAGAATTCTGCATCAGGGCCACCTGATGCAGTAAAAGATGCCAATTAACTACATTGCAAAACTTTCTGTTGTTAAAGACTGATAGATGAAAATCTTGGCCTTTCATTCGTTAGCAGAAAGTTTTGAGGTTGATTCCCGAAGAAACAAGGAAATAAGGCATTTTTGTCCATAACACAGTTGGTGTATTGCAGAAATAAAGAGCCCGTCCTTTCAAATGGCATCTGTGAGATCTATCTCTTTCCTGCATTTCTGTTTTTGGTGCATTTTGTTTCCAAAAAAAAGAAAGGAATGAGATTGCTACTTCTCAGGAAGTTGAATTCTGTTCCCAACAGAGACAGGAAAACATACCAGTATTCTGTGTCTCCATAATTTGTTCCTACACTTTTTTAAGCCTCTAGAAAGGTAGAGGCTAGAGGATATTTGGTTTTTGCAAAGCCTCTGTTCTTTGCTTCAAGAAATGCTGTACTTTCTGCTCCACTGTAATCCAGTTTTCAACAGCTGCCATAAGCACAGCAGGCACCTTTCAGGAGACTCTCCTTTTTATAATTCACTCTTGAACTATGCACTGGTTTTTAAGCAGATGAATATCCTGGTTGATGTGTGTGTAATTTTGGAGGAGCATCTCAGCACTTCAGCTGCATTGTTATATCTATTTTTGCAGGGGGCAGGGGAAGAACGTAAAGCTAAGGGAAATTCTATTCCTGAGCTGATGTTGTTTAAACATACTCATTTCGCTTTCATATGCATAAAAAGGGTGAACATAAATGAAATGGATCTTTCTGATTGAAAATTACAAGAAATCAATATCACTGATGCATGGACAAGGTCATTGCAGTACGATGGTACAAGGAGCAAAATAGACGATAGTGCATTTAACCAAGAGTTGTTAGCCATAAATTGCCATGTGTTTGAGGAGATATTAAATTTTTGTTACATGCAAATTCAATGAAATGATACCATAGATCACCAAATTTGTCTGTTTGGTTTCCTTTTCTTAGTGCTTTCACCTTGTGTGTTAATTTTTTGCATCAGAGCAGCAAACCAAATATCTTGATAATGTATGTGTAGTAAATTTAAATGTGGTGTGTTCCATTGCCTTGCTGAAGTTAGCCCAGCAGCTTCCAGTTGCATGATTTGAGATTATTATGTTGTTGCTGAGTAAAGTTTGCAGAGCTGTTTGCTTTAGGAAAAGGATCACCTTCAATCCAAAGAACCTGTTTGCAAGGAGCATGCAGTAACTGTTCTAGCAGCGGGGGAACAGGGAAGTGACTCAAAAAAGTTAACTTGGTCCAGTTTCAGTTGGCATCAAGGCTTAAGGGATCAGGCAGTGGCTTCATAGAAATAGGGGGGGAGGAGGGACCTGAGAGAGAGAGAAGGTTGTCCTATGTCACTTGGCATTTCCCAACCTTGGTGCCTTCTGGATAATTTGGACTGCAGCTCAACATTGTCCATTCCTGTTGCCTGGGTCTGATGTTCGTCTAGTGGGTTGAGGATGGCTGATGTTAGAATTCTTGGTAGGAGCTCACAGATTTCAGGGGCCACGGAGGGAAGGGAGGAGTAACTTGAGAAGGCAGGAGAACGTGGACATTTGGAGTCACAGAATTGTAGAGTTGGATGTGTACCCCACAGGACATGTGATGATGATGATGATGATGATGATGATGATGATTTGTTTTGCCTACAAGTCTTTCTCAACTCTGTAAGAGGCACTAATGTTTTGGAAAGTGCTTGCTTCCTTTTATCCTTATGTATGCTTTGTGATAAATACATTTACACCCACATCCACACTCACCCTCCCATCAATGGAATTAGACTAGAAAGAAGCATCCTGTTGCAAGCAAACAAATAAGGTGTGCTGTTTACTGGGTTGCAGACGGTGAGTGTGTGGGGTCCAGGACAATGCCTCCCATCTGCAGATGGGCCCATAGGCCCAGAACGGTTGGCAACCCCTGGCCTAAGCTGTGAATATCCCCAGCAGCCTAGTAATCTGCCAGAGAAACAGTTGAAAAAAAATGGTTTAGGGGCTAAAATCCTTTTAAAGAGCCTCACCCTTACAAAAGAGTCGGCCCCATTGGACATTGTGGGACATAATTCTAAGCAAGCGTTGGACCATGTGTCTCTGTAGAAGACCTGAGGGTGTTTAGTTCATGTTGACTTTCCTTTTCCTTCTTGTTGTTGTTGTTGCGTACTCCTCAGAGCAAAAGATGTGGCTGGCAGATCTGTCAGGGTTCATAAAGTTCCCCGGACAGTCTTCTCACGGGTGCTGCTGCTCTTTTCCCTGACTGACCCAGTGGAGGATGAAGAAGCTGGAAGTGGCGGCCAAGGACAACTTTCCACAGTCCTCATGGTGAACATGGGCCGCATGATCTTCCCCAGTTACACAGTCAACAGGAAAACCCAGATATTCCAGGATCGGGATGATTTCATCCGGTAGGGAGGCATTCAGAAGGCCCTGGATACTGTTTCCCCCCCTTCTTACTGTAGTTTTTCTTCTTACTTTTTACAGAAGGAGCCCTGCTGGACGAGGCCAGAGACCCACCTAATCCAGCGATCTGTTCTCATAGTGGCCAGCCAGGTGCCCATGGGAAGCCTGCAAGCAGGACCTGAGGGCAACACACTCTTCCCACCTGAAATTCTGCACACCTTAGATTTTTAACCTCTGAAAGCTTTTATACATTTTGTTAGTTTTTGTATAGTACTGCCATGCAGTGGCTTCTGGTCTTATTATTGTTGACATGTTTCTAATGAATTGCTACGTTTGCTTTATGATGAGTTTAAAATGTGACAATGTTCATATAATCCAACTGGGTTGTTTTTTGGATTGTCAGGGAAGAGTGCTCTGCTGCTCAGATCCTGCTTGCAGCTTTCCCACTGTGAGAACAGGATGCTGGACTAGATGGGCCATTGACATGATCCATATGTTGATATATTATGATTTGAAATGGTTTGGTATTTGATTGTTCTGACAGTGATGCAAATTAAAAAGCTGCATGCAAATTTAAACATTAAATATTTGAAACCCACGGTATGTGGAAAAGGAAAGAACGTTCATAAGTTGAGGTCCACTTACCCATCCACCTCTCTTGATATAAATATAGACCCTAAACTTGGAGTGCGTAACCTGTGGACCTCTGAAAAAAGATTTGGGGACTCAGCTCACAGGTTTGGGAGTTATGGCATGATGCCATGATTCCACATTTAAGAAATTCTGTTCTAATTGGGATTTGGCAGGTGGTACTTTTACCATAATTGTAGGCAGTCTTCCCCAACCTGGCGCCCTCTACATGCAGATCAGACCGTGTCAGCTAGGTCTGATGGAAGTTGCTTCCTAAAGCACCTGAAGGGCAACTGGCTGGGGAAGGTGGATTTTACAGATCTTAGTTGGGATGCTGTTATTATGGTGGCACATCATTCTGTAACTCTGAGGAATTACCAGGCTGAATGCTGTTCTAATTCGATTGCTGGCTGCTGCTGCTATAGCAGTAATCTTTATTGTTAAGTAGGTGTTTCAAAACTATCTTTTAAAATATGTTGTATGAATTTGCTTAATAATGCTATTGTGAGGCACCTTAGAAGAAAGGTTTCATCTCTAAAAGCTGGGATATAAATCTACTGCATAAACAAATGCTACAGCATAATCTGTTCTGAGATGGTGGCCTTCATCTTGAAATCATTGCTTTAAATTATTATTATTATTATTATTTCTTACTAGGTATGCCAGTGCTGCGTACTTATCAAATGACATCTCTGTGGCTGTGACCCATGGGAACTGGAAGGAGGCGCACAGACTCTATGAGGTGGCCAAAGAAATCTGGCAGGAGTTGAGGGAACACTTTTCTTTGTGGTATGAAGGCTGAGTGGAGCAGGAGGAGGCAAGGGGGGTGATCTGCAGGGAACACATGTGTGGGCTAGGGCTTGATGCAGGTTGTACTCAAAAAAGTGGAAGGGGGGCTGAAACAAAGTGTGAACTCATTTCTGGTGTATTATTATTATTATTATTATTATTATTTATTATTATCATCATCCCACCTTTCTGCCAGAAGCAGGACTCAAGGTGCCCCACCCCCCGATTAATCATGGATAAAACACCAAAAGTTCAAAACATATAAAATACAGTTTTAAAAGTCATTAAATTATAATAGCATTTAAAAGATGTAAAAATAGCAGAGCACTCTTAAAAGCCATTTCCTTAAAAACAGTCATTTCCCCAAAGCTTGCAGAATTAAAGCAGTCTTCACCTGATGGAGGAAGGACAAGTAGGGAGCCAATCCAGTTTCTCTGGAAAGGTGTTCCAGAGTCTAGGAGCAGCCACTGAGAAGTCCCTCTTCCCATGTCTGCACCAGATGTGCCTGGGAGGGAGGTGGGACTGAGAAAAGGGCCTCGCCTGAAGAGCTGGGCAGCTTCATGTGGGAGAATACAGTCCTTTGAATAGCCTAAGCCATGAGGGCTTTATAGGTCATAAGCAGCACTTTGAATTGTTCCCAGAAACAGCCAGTGCAGAGCTGCTATAATGAGAGAGTTGTGTGCTCCCTATAACCAGCCCTTCTCCACAGTCGGGCTGCAGCTCCTTCGGACAGCTGCAATTTCTGAGGACCTCTCAAAGGCAGCCCCACGTGTTACAGAAATCCAAATGGGATGTAACTAAGGTGAGTGTCACTGAGGACAGATCAGGCATCTCCACTGGTACAGTGGCTTTAACTCTGCAAAGGCAATCCTGGCCACTGCAGAGACCTGGGCATCCAGGATCAGGGCTGAATCCAGGGCAGGTGTAGCCTGCCTTTGACAAGTGGCTCATGTTCTCTGCTATAAATAAAACCAGAGTCTGTTTTGTTTGCAGCTTTGGTGTTCTAGGAAGCATTGATCATCAGGGTTTATTTGTCACAGTTCCATGTTTTTGTTCCTCAGCTCCGCAGAGGTGAATTGGGGAATGGGTTTTCATTTTTCCCTGAAAAAGAGCTTGCAGGCGAATTTATTCTTGACAGTAAAACCCTTGAATAGCTTAGGGTATTATTCCTGGCCAGAAATGCAAGAGAATAATAAAGGGCCTCATTTTACAGTTTATAATTCATAGTTTAAAAGATTCCTTTGAGAAGGCTAACATCTATTGTGGCATAAGCTTTCTTCAGTACACTGGCGAGTCTTTGTTGTCATGAGATTTGGCCATGTGGGAGGCCTTTTGCAAGACCTCTTTACCCTGTGCATATGGGAACCAGCCTCATGTTGACTCTTCCGCTTCCAAAAGGATTCTGTAGAGTTACAGTGAACTGCTCTGGATATTTGGCCGACTGCCTTCAAAATGTAGTCCAGCCTTCCTTCCTTGTTACTTTTTTGCGCAACACAGACAATTCTTTTATTTTAGATTCATGTAGGTAGCTGTGTTGGTCTGACGCAGCCAAAATAAATAATAAACACTACTGCTTTATAATGTGATCATGGAACATCCAGAAAATATATAACAATGCAGGTATGTAAGAACATGAATCCTTCCCAAAATATAATTATAAAAAAGCCTCTTACATATGTACCTTAACTCAATGAGAGGTGTATGTGAGCTTGCTTTTGCCAGGTAATCTCATTTGTATTAGGCCTAATTTGAGACGAACAAACTCTTGTCTCCTCATCACCACAAAGAAGTCTTTCTCTTTTCTGATCTTTCATATTTGTCAGAGTTGAAAATCCCTGTTCACAACAATATGTCATAGAGAACTATAGAAGAATAGCCAAGGCTCTTGAAGAGAGGCGTGGATACTGTTTCTAGTTGTATATCCAAAAATAGTCCAGTGGCATGCTACACATTGAAATGTTGAGTGTTTCTTTGATTGTCCCTAAATCTTGCTGCCACACATGCCATCCTGTCCTGCCTCACCTGTTGAGGACCCCCGCACTAAGCTATAACCCCTTCCTAGAAACACGGAAGGCTGTGCGGTACTGTGCCAGGCTGTTGGCCTACCTAGATCAGTAATGCCTGTACTCTAGGCAGGATTTCAGGCAGGGGTCTTCCTCATCTCCACCTGCAGATGGCAGGGATTGAACCTGGGACTTTCTGTGTGCAGGGCCGGCCCTCTACCACTGAGCTGCGACTCTCCCCTGACATAGCAATAGGAGGGATACCTGTGCACTGCAGGAAATGGTGGCTGTCTTACAGCTTTTGCTTCTCCCAAGCAATTGCCCATCTCCAGCCTTTTTCATAGAATCATGGAATTGGAAGGGACCCAAGGGGTCATCTATTCAAACCCCATGCAGCACAGGAATCGCAGCTGGAGTGGGTAGTTCCATGGCAAAGACTTCCTGTGTGTTTTGTCGTCCCCCCCCCCTTTACAGGTACCATGCAGCCCTCCCGGAATACTTGAGGCGTTTCACTGTTGGGTGGGTGTACACACGAATCTTCTCCCAGGGTGTTGAGATCTTGCAGAGACTACGTATGTATAAGGTAATTATAAATAAATAAATAAATAAATAGCCTTTCACCAGCAGGTCCTAGGGCAGGTTACAGCAATTAAAAAATCCAGAATTAAAAATGATTGAGATGTATTCACAAGGAATAGTGTGGGCCCTGAAAATGTATGTCTCAGATATCTGTCAAAAGGCCAGGGCAAAGAGGTGTGTCCTCATCATTCCCGAAAAGCTGTGTGGTGAAGAAGCCAGGCATTTAAATGCGCAATGTGCTGGGGCCAGGGAATGCCGGACAACAAGCACTTCTGTAGCAAAGTCATAAAGCCGACTGGAAGCTCTGAAAGGACCAGCCTGTCCTGGCTGCAAATGGTATCGAATTCCAAAGTTCAGAGTATGTGGCCGAAAGGGCACTATCCATGCAAAGGGGGCAGGTGTCAACGGGCTTGGTGGAAACCCTGAAGATTGCTAAAAGTACAAACAAAAAACTGCTAAACACTCAGGCAATTTTTGTTGCAGGGCCACTGTCACGTTTTACTACTAAACATTTCTGTATTGCAGTTTAAAGTCTTCGAAGTGCTTCACATCCTTTCCCTTGCCATAATCCTTACAACAGACCCTGTAAGATAGGCCTCTATTACTTGAGTGCCCCCATAATGCAGATGTAGAAAGCTGGCGTTCCAGCTTTCCCCAGGGCCACCTAGAGAGCTTGTGGCAGAGGCAAGGAGTGAGATAGGAGTTTCCCAATTCACAGCACAGTCCAGGAATGGTCAATGTGGCCCCTGCAGATGTTGCTGGATATCTAAACTAGCATCATCTTTTGACCATTGACCATTCTGACCAGCGCTGGTGAGATCTGGGAGTCCAGCGTAGTTTGAGGGCCACAGGTTAGCTATCCCTGGCTTAGTCCCTTGGTCACCAAGCTACACACCTTTTTTTGACCATTGGCCTCATGTCTGCCCTAGGAGGCAGTGGAACAGCTTCAGGATCTTTTGGCCCAGGACGTTTATTGTTCTGACAGCAGAGGACGGTGGTGGGATCGTCTGGCTCTTAACTTGCACCAGCACTTGAAAGACACAGAGGAGGTAAATGCCCCCATCTCTGCCCCCTTTGCACCTTGCTTGGAAGGGTGATGTCTTCTCTCCTTGCTCTCCCACAAGCACCTTCCATCTGGCTGTCAGCCCTGGATGGGGCAACTTGTGCTTGAGGACATCCACCTGCCCCTCTTGGTTTGGTGGGGGGTCCGTTTGTTCACCTCTCTGCAATGCTTGCTTGTCTGCTAGGCCATCAGGTGCATCAGGAAAGGTCTCCAGGACCCATTTGTTCGCACAGGCCATCGACTCTCCCTGTCCCAGCGAGCCCAGAGAATGAAAAATTCCTCAGCATGTAAGAAGATAGGGCATCTCCTCCAAGATCTGCTGCTTCTTTCCGTGGAAGATGTTGCCCATGTGAGTAGCTATTGGATGTCTGGAGAAGCCTCTCTTTTGTGGTCTGGTGTACATTTATAAATTGGGAAAGTGGAAAGGTGTTTTTTTTTCCTTTTTCATCTTGGCTTCTAAAATGGTTCACACCCAGTTCATACATAATACTAATCCATGGTTTGTTTAGCCAAAGGTGGTGCGTTTGTACATGTGAACCTAGCAGGTGTCAGGGACTGGCAGGGCACTGAGGAGTGGGTGGCAGAGGCTGTAGGGCCAGAGACTGACCCAGGGGAAGGGGGCAGTGGTTTGTGGGGTTTTGTGCCTGCTGCAAGGCAGGAGCCAGGGCTGAAGGCAGGGGAAGAGTCTGAGCAGGAGGAGCTAGGGGAGGAGATGCAGGATACAGGGCAGGAGCCAGACCTGGAGGAAGGGGTTGGGTGTGCCAGAACTGGAGGAAGCAAAAGTGCCTGACAGGGAGGCGGTGGAATCCCCTCCATCCCCTCCACCACGGTCCCTCAGGACCAGGAGGGGCTTGAGGAGACAGGCACAGCAGCAACTTCTGTGTAGCAGAAGTCACAGGTTGCTTGTGTGTGCCCCTTCAGACGAAGGTTCTACAGTTTGGGTGAAGGCATGGTCATGCTGTTGTTCCAACAGTCCAGTTCAGCGCACAAGCTGGGGGAGGGGGTGCCAGCTACTTGGTCTCCAGAAGAGTGTGTGTGTTCTGAACAACTTAGGAGCTGCCCTAAGTGCATGCTTCGTCAATAAAGAGTTAAACTACCAGCTGTTTGTCCCCCTTGCACTGGGTATGTTAAGGACAGCAGGCTAACCATGGTTTGTTTTTTGGCAACAGGCCACAGTGTCAAGCCATGGTTTGTTGGTGGTCTTAACTGTGGTTGGGCATTATGTCCAAATCCAGCAGCCTTGCTTAACTGTGGTTTGTTGAGCTACTCCACCCTGGATGTTCGCCAAGCTTTGACGAAATAAGCTGTGGCTTGTTGGCCTGTCTGCCGCTGGTTGTAGAAACTGATCAGAACAAACTAGGTGTTCACATTCTGCGTCGGCCATTCATGAGCTTTTATTGTCACAATGCAGGGTGGTAGGAATTTTTTGATGCAAACTAACACAATCCCAGAGGAAGTGTTTTTGTGTGTGGCATATTGCCCCGTTCAGATAACTCAGGAGTAGTACCTGCTCTTTGCATGCAAAAGGTTCCCAGTTCAGCCCCTCGTGTGCCTGCAGTTAGAAAGAGTCTCCCTGGGAAGGTGGGTGAGCAAATAGTCTGAGTTGGTATAAACCATCTGGTTATGTTGAGTTTTACTAAATGTAGGAGCCCTAGCTGAGAGACTGAGCAGCAGCTTCTCATGCAGAAGCCCCAGACACAGTCCTAGCGCTGCCAATTAGAACAACCTCAGATCGCAGGTGATGGGAAACAACTTTTTCCCTTGGTGAGCCACTTCAGCTGATTGGCATAGTGGGCATGTGCCAGCTGATCAGTCAGACAGTCCAAACCATTAATAAACTGCTGGCCTGTTTTTAGGTAGCTGGATTTTGTGGCTGAGGTGCACAATTGGGGCCTCCTATCTATATGTACAGAGCTGCAGCAAGCACCCAAAAGGTGCCATTCTGTGCCCTGCAGTGACTCCACTAGAGTCAGAATCAGAGCAGCAGATCTGACAGCATCAAAGCTGCTTCAGGTGTTTGTGGGGTCTGTTCGGACAGTATTGTTATTAAAACCTGGGAAAATGTGCTGTCCTGCATCTGACCTGTGTGGTCTTGGGTGTGCACTATTTGCATGCTTGTCTGCATGAATGATTGTGATGCATTTTGCAGATTGCATTTTAAATTCTTGTTCTTTTTGAAGCAATTCTAACCATCCTTTTTCTGTACTCCTCTATTTCTCCTCACTGCCTACCATCCTTATACTTCTCAAAATGATGCTTGAGGTGCCACTTTCCTGAACATGTTTTGCCCAACTGCATTCTTTCTCCGGCAAGAGCTGCCATCAGAGCACCAGCCTCTTGTGTCTTCCCATGTCTCATTTAATAGGCTTCAGAGGCCTATGTTTCCTTCTGTGCTGTTCTCCTCCTTTGCTGTCCCCACCTGAGAGCTGCTTCAGCAGTCGTATGGGGCTTCCTTCCTACGTGTTCAATGAGACGTGCAATGTGAGAACAAATTTCCAGTCCTACAGCAGCCCCGTTTGTCAGTCCCCAAAATGAGTCAAAGGGCTGACAAGGAGACAGCACTTAAGCGCTGGGTGGTCTTATTTTTAGCTGGTGTTAGCAAAGTTTAAGTAGCAGCCTCTCTTCCCTCTCACCCCCCACTTCTCTCTCATTATAATTTAGAGTTCTGTAAGTGAGAAAACATTGCAGTGCACAGTGTTCTTGTCCAGGGTGCCAGCCAGTCAGCAGTGCCCAATGGCAGGATACTCCATTCATCTCCTCTCCTCTCCCTCGCCACCTGGTCACCAACAATCTGTTGCTACTGAGCATGCTCAATATTTATTGGGCTAGTTTTGGATTTTTACCACTTTGCAGGTTTTTCTTTTCCCTAAAGGTTCTTTGTCATTCTGCAAACTTCGGACTTCTTCTCCTAAGGCTGAGGATACTCCCTCTTTTGCATAGGGGGTATATAGAGGATAATAATTGATTTCTGCACTTTGATGGATTGTTTTTTATATAAAAGATTTTTTAAAGTTTTTTCAAACAAAAATGAAAAAAACATTAAGTTTCCCCCAGTCACCCCCCTCCCCCAGGAACAGAAGATGTATCAGATTTTAGCATAAGCCTGTGTGCAAATTGATTATTTTTCATCAGGATGTGAAATCCAGCCTTTCCCACCTGTCCCCCTAACTGTTTTCTATGCAGTGGCCCTCTCTCAGTATACTATTATTACACACCCTTCACCCCAAGGTCTCTCTCTCTCTGTGTATAGTGATAGAATTTAATTTGCTCCTTCTCCCTCCTGACCCCCCACCCTCCATGGGGCCTGTGTAAAGTTTTCACCATTTCCCTCTTGCCCTAGTTGCCTTCTGCAGTCTCCTTTTGTTTATTTTGAACATACCTTTAAACCACGCTCTCACAGAAAATATAGCATGGTGGCACACTGGGTAAAAGCATGGTGTTGTAGCAGCCAAAGTAAAAACATCAGTAGTTTTGATTTGCAGGTTACCATCAAAGGAAAGCTGTGCCCACAGACCGGAATGGGGAAGTCCATGTTTATCATGGAAGATGTTGGTGCCGAAGACCCAGGAGAAGACCTTGAGCCCTCCACTGTGGTGTGCTCTGTCGAGGAGCTGGCATTAGCCCACTACAAGCAGCATGGCTTTGATCAAGGTAATGGCTGGCCGTTGCTATAGAAAGCCATCAGCCAGCACTCTGCCCCTCCCTCCCAATGCTCTGTCACACTGCCATGTGATCAGGAAGCAGCCAGTGTGGCTTAATGGTTAGACTGCTGGACTATGACCTGGAAGACCAGGGTTCAAATTCCCACTCCGCCATGAAGCTTCCAGACTGGGACCTAACCTCACCCTCATTTAAGCATGCTTTACAGTTATCAAACCTGAAGGTAACCAATGTATGAACAACTTGCGGTCAAGTTATCCTAGTCCAGGAACCATTGCTACTGTTTCACCAGCTGAAGCTGGTTAAAAACGCCCTATAGTCAGGTGGTTTTGTGGATTCCGCAGTTTCAGTGCATCTCCTTCCCCTCCTCCACAAACCCCGCTCCCTGCCAGATACTAGGAAACAGATAATTTCCTCACAGAATAGAATCACCAAGAAGTGGTAAATCATGGCCGACTTTCTGTTTGTAAACTTTCTTAATCTATAATAAGGCAAACCTTTTGCTTTGTTTTGCAGCCTTTTGTTAATGCCTCTTCTTACGTAGCAATCAGCTTGTGTCCTGAAAATTAACTGACAGATAGGTCACCCAAGTTGTAATTGCTTCCAAGTTCTAAAGTAGTTGAAAGAAGGTAGGTTTTGCTGACCTGATGCCCTGAAGGCTAACCTTGAGGGCTATTATGTCGCATCTGGGCACGATGGCGGTTCCTCGCTCCTAAGATGCTCCTCTGCATCCCAAACCGTTTTGTCTCTGGGGACTTCTGGAGAAGGTGATGGCGGACTAGGCATCGTCTGCTGACACTCCTGTCAGCAGAGACAATTATGCGGTAATTTAAGATAACTGGGTTATATATCTTGGTTACCAAAACTCCCTTTTGAAATGAGAGTTAGCCTCACATGCTCAGAAGGTCATGCCTCATTCTCTCCCTCCCCTCTGCCTGAACTTCTTCACAACCCTTGGAGGGACTGGAAAGAACAGCCACTGTGGAATGTGGGTGTTGGCCAGAAGACCTCTAGCGCAGTCAAGAGTTGTTGGAATTCATCATATTGGATTGGAGAAGGATTGTGACTGACATTTAATGATAATAAAAATTGAAGAGCTTCTTTTAGTCGTCTTTTGGGTGGAGGAAGGTGAATGTGAGAGGTCTGGGAATGAAGATTGAGGAAACATTGCCTAGCAGATGGAGAAATAGCTGGACACTAATAGAGCCCAAAGTTATCCTGGAGTGCATACTTCCAACATTTTCGAATAATTGTTATAAACCATAATATACATAATTGGCAGAGAACTGGAAGACTTTCCTTTAAAAACACAAACAAAAAACTTTTTATATCTTACTTATGACTTCTTCCTCCCCCCCAGCCCCAATTATCCTTATGTTTTGTTCTGCAATTTGAAGTTCCTTATCTTATATCAAGAAAGATACACACAGGAAGGTAATGGATTGAAGATAGAGGGCAGAGAGGATCTCTCAGGGTGAGAGGCTGCAGGAAGACTTAGTAATTTCCTTTTTTCCTTCTTTTCCTTCTTTCCTTTTTTATTCTCTTCCTTTCCTCATCTCCCCCCCCCCTCTATTTTTATAGTATCTTATGTCGAAAACCTTCAATAAAAAATGATTATACAAAAACTTATTGTGTCCAGTGTGAGAAACAGCTTTCTTCAGAGCATGTGAGGATAATCTCAGGTCTCACTATCTCAAAAGGGAGGGCATGACAACCAAGATTTATGTCTTGGTTATCGTTAATCACCACATAATTATCTCTGCCAATGGGAGTGTCTGCAGTTGACATCTAGTCAGTCATCTTTCCTCCCAGAAGTCCCCATCATTGCCGATTTTCAAATCATTTTGAGTTGTACTCTGTGCATCTTTGAGCTTTGTGTTAGTGATAAACTGGGTGTCAGAGGTAGCAATTTTTGGTTGGCAGCTTAAATATCCTGCAGTGGCTTTCATGATTGTGATGCTGTGATAATTCCTCAGGGATTCATGGCGAAGGATCTACGTTCAGCACCCTCTACAGCCTCTTGATGTGGGATATTCTCTTCATGGATGGCATCCCTGATGTCTTCAGGAATCCTTACCAGGCATGTTTGCTTGTTTTTAAAGTGCTTTTTATTCTTGTAGATGATGTTTGAAAAGGGTATTCAAAACAGCTTCTTTTAAAGTCGCAGAATTCTCCCAGAGAAACGCCTCAAAAACAATTTTGGGAATTTTGTTGCAGAATACACAGCTTTTGGGGAGCATACCTGCGCACAATGGATTTGGCATTTGCTGGGTGTTTTTGGAGTAGGGCTGGTGGCCTTGAGTTGCATCTTCATTATTCTCTTTAAAATAACTATAAGGAAGAGGCAATTATGGGAACGCATTGGCTGAGCAGGGGCCACAGAATTGTGATGGCTAATTTGCACAACAGTTTGCAAAAACAGTAATAATAATTTTAAAAAATCATTTTTATCCTTCACTCCCTCTCTCTTTAGTTACATACATCTTGTTTGATCCTCAAAACAGTCCTGTGAGGTAGGCAAGATGGGGTCAGAGATAGGAACCCGCGGAAGGTCAAGAGGGTGGAGCAGTTCCCCTGTGAGGAAAGAACCTGAGCAAGGGGAGACAGAGTGCAGGTGTCTAGGTTCAAGAATCATGTGCAGGAAATGGATAGAGAAGTTTTACTCCCATCTCTTATCCCATTGGACCTTGTGTTTATTTAATGAAGCTGAAAGGTTGGAGATTCAGGACCGAAGAATGTCTCCTCAAAATGTGTAGTTAACCTGTGGAATTTGCTGCCACCCACTTAGATGGTGGCTTTAATGCTCACATTCATGGAAGATCAGGCTAAGGCTGTGGCTATAGCAGGGGCTGCACATACTAGCCAGGATGGCTCTTAGCTACATCCAAGATCAGAGGCGGAGCTGGGGAGCAGCAGCACAAGTGGGCTGTTGCCATCCTGTGCTGCTTTTGGGCTTCCCATAAGGGGCCTCTGGTTGCCCACTCTGGGGATGGGGTGCTGAACCGCCTCATCTTACGTTTTTATGTCCAGGTGGGTCAAAAACTGACCTCCTGTTTCCTTATCACTGCACCAGAATAATTGCCAGATGTTCCCAGTCATATTCCAGGAGCCATTACTTCTGTGGCTCCAGAGAGCAAAACTCAAGTGTGGCCTGGGGTCAGCTTGATGACACCCAGACACAGTTGCGAGCCGGAGTCACCGAGGAAATGAAGTGGAGATCCTGAGGTTCTCCAGCCAGCCGTTTTAGCCCACAGAAGGCAAAGAACCCACCTGGATGAAGTGTGCAGTGGGGGCCTTTTTGGTGGGGGCTCTGCATGTGAACCCCTCTCCCAAACTGAGATGTGTCTGCTCCCATCTCTTCATAGTTTCAGGTGACTGGTTAAGATGCATATTTTCTGTGGGTGTTTGCGGAGGAGACACCCAGCTGGATAGACGGATTAGTTGCTGCTGCTGCTAATAGAAAATCACTTGGAGTTGTTGTGTATTTCAAGGACTGTGTTACTTTATAGATTGCCTTATTTCCCTTAGGAGGAGGACAGTGTATTAAGGATCCAAATAAGCTCACAAGTGGTAGTTTGGGGCCTCTCTGCCTTTTACTGCACCCTGGCAACTTAAGGCGGTTTGTGTCGCCAGCCTCTTTCTTGCAGGGGAAGCAGTAGGTGAGGGACGGGGCCACACTGACCGTCCGTTTTCTGCAGACTTGCCCCCTGGATCTCTACACTGACAGCTTCTATGAGAACCGGAGGGAGGCCGTTGAATCCAGGCTCCGCTCACTGCATGAGGCTTCGCCTGAAACCCTGGAAACGTGGATTGCGGATGTCTGGAATGCTCAGGAGGGCAAAGCGGCAGCGTTAATCAGCTGGGACCGATTCTCTTCCCTCCAGCAGGCCCAGGTAGGCGTCAAAGGCCCTTTGAGCTGCCCTGGTTCCCTTCTTACAGGAAAAGGGGAGGTGTCCATCTTGCTTGATACTTCAGTTTAATTTGAGGCATTGTGTCTCTTCTGTAGTTTACTGAAAAAAATGGCATTTGAGGTATATGAGTTACAAAATAATGTTTTTGAATTGCTCTGAACTTAAGACTAGAAAGCAAGCAAAGCCCAGCAGCCATGGCATGGCAGGAAACCCTTCTGGAGGAGGGCTGGGGGGGGGGCACTGCCTGAGGAGTTTTGTACTAGTGGATTTTGGCAAGCAACGTAATAATGTGGCAATATGAATCTATGGAAGTCTTATCAGTGTTCACATCAATGAAAATGCAGTTGGTTGATGAATTGTTAGAATTGCACTTAGAGGAGTTCCCTGCCTGTCAGAAATCAGGCAGGCACCTTCACCGCACTCTTTTCGGTGCCCGAATAAATTTTATGAAATTAAACAAAAAACAACAACAAATGAGGTTGTTGCGTAAGTCAGTTAGTGCTCATTGGTGTACGATCACAACCGTTATATATGCTGCTTCACATACACACATCCATTTGCTCATTGCTCATTCATCTACTCTGTAGTTAACCTGTAGCCTCCCCAGGGGAGGAGATGATCTTTGTGGGGGTTGCAGTGCACAGGGAGGGGTTAACCCTTCCCGTCGGCACCCTCTTGGCAGTAGTAAGGTTTCTCAAAATTCTTCCATTGTGCCAAACCTTTAAAAAACAACAAACCCCCCTTATCATTGGAGAGTGAAGTTGGGGGCAGAGGGGCTCATGAGCCAGAGGTTCCCATCCCGTCTTCTAGCCCCTTGCAGTTTGGGAGAAGGAAGGGAGAAAAAGTGGTCTTTCTTTTTGTAGCACCTGGCGCGTTGCTTTGGGGGTCCTTTCCTGAGTGGAGTTTGCCGACAGCTGAGCAGAGATCTGCGTCACTGCAGGGGCGGCCTCCCTGATCTCGTCGTCTGGAGAACGGAAGATCACCATTTTAAGGTTTGACCCCAGCTGCATTGTTAAAGTTGCAGAGTGTACAGGTCAGGGATGTGATGTATGAGAGTGCCCAACAGGTGGAGCCAAATAACCCCCCCCCCATCTTGCAGTCATCAGTGTAAATGATATCTGAGCAGTTTATATCAAGAAATGAGGCTGATAAGCAGCAGTTCTGCCTGGCCTCTGAGCATCGACTGCCTCAGGCTAGTTGGAAGGTGGCTGGAGCCAGGCTGGAGTGTTTTATTGTTGAGCATGAGCTGCTTTGGAGCAAGTGGCATCTCCTGAATGTGGAGGGAGCAGCGTTAGCAGAACCTTTTCAGTGGTTGCCCCAATGCTGTGGAACTATTTGCTCCTCAGAGAGGTTTGGCAGGCACAATTCGCTTGGCAGGCTTTTTTTAAAGTGTTCTTGGGTTTGTTTCTTTGGAATTTTATTGATTCTGTGGTCTTACATTGCATACTGTTATGGGTAGCACTAGTAGTTGATTAGATATCAATCATTATTCTCTGGATGAACCTGCAAGTCTTGAATAAAAATCCTCAGAATAATGATTTTGCATCCTGTTGGTTGTTGTTTTTCTGCTAAACAAACTTAAAGATCCCAAGGTTGCAAAACTTGTGCGCCTTTAGGAAAGCGCACTTGTTTTTATTTTCCCCTTGTGGGAAGAACAAGACACATGCTATGAAACTGGCTTCATCAGGCAGCCATTGCATCTGAATTTTTCAGTGATTCAAAATGCAGATCCAAGTTGGACTGCTTGGATATTACCTGTAACAATTCAGTCAGGTAATTGAGTTCTGCATCCCATCTCCTTTTCTCTACACAAACCACAAATAAAGAAACCATGTCGTCATTTTTTCTGATGAGTGATGTCTACAAAAGATTACATCAGAACCAGCCTTGTGCTAAAAGTGTTTTTAAGAGCGGCTATCATTGCTTTCCTCTGGTTGGAGCCAACAGGCTACCTGGCTTGCGCTCATTTGCTCTGGTTTGATTTGGCACTGGCTGCAAATCTTTGCATCTTGCAACTTCTGTTTAGGATGGAAATGTAACTAAAAAGAGTTGGCTCTCCCTAGGGACCTAGAGCTTAACATGGCAGATTTCATGTATGTGATTTAAGTGGGAAAGGCTAAGGGCAGGGCTCTGGGCATAGGATGTAAAAAACCAAATGGATGCAAACCCTTAGTCCTCTTTCAGCTCACTCCCTTAAAGCAGTTCTTTGAAACCTACTGAGAAACTTCTCCTTCTCTCTCTGAATCATCTTTTCAGCTGGTGGAAGTCAAAGGCCCCAATGATCGCCTTTCTCACAAGCAGATGATATGGCTTGCCGAGTTGCAGAAGCTGGGTGCAGCAGTGGAAGTTTGCCATGTGGTTGCAAGCGGATCTAAAAGTAAACGCTTGAGCTGAGACTCTATTGTGGTTGCTGGGCTCAAGGCCAGAGTAACAAAAGCTGGACACATTTCACAGTTTTCGTTCCTTTAGCATGCAGCTGCTAAGACGACACAAATTCAGATGTCATTCTGAGAAAGGATGTGGCTTTTCATTTTAATGGGAATCCTCTGAATTAGGTTAACTTCTGCACCCTTTCTTGCACATAGCAGCCCTGGCTGATTCTCCTTGTTCCAACAGCCCTCAGAAATCAAGCACTGCCTCAGCTAAACCGGGCAGCTGCCTGCTGTCTCATGCTAGGAGAAATGTCTCAGCTACACGGGTTTAGACAAAATGCAGCAGGCTTGTGTTTCTTTCTGGAAACCACACTGCTAGGTGGTGGCTCAGCTCAATTCAAAGTGGTAGTGGTGACCTTGACGGGACACCATGTGGCTCATTTCAGCCTGGGATGCGCATTGCCATTCCTGCAAAAGCCCTGGCCTTCCAAAAGAGTCTTTAATTATTATTGCATTTTTCTGCAATCTTATGTATTAAGCTTTGCCAAAGTCAGACTGAGCTTAGAGGGGGGGAAATGGCCATGACTTGCAGTCCCACTCTTGCAGGGCAGTCCAACCTCTCGGACCAAGTGGGCTGCAAGAGTACTTTGACAAAGAACCCACAGGTCATTCACTGAATTAAATTTCCATATTGTAAATTACAAGTGTAATATGTGCAATTAATTGCAAATTTATAATTAAAGAGACAATTCATGGATTTGATACATTTATTAAGGAGAATTTAATGCAAATATTATAGTAAAAGGCCATGTGCTGCCTCCCTGCCCTCCGCAGAACACACAACCGTTACGGGAAAGCTGGGAGAAAGGAACAGGAGAACCAACAGCAGTGGTTGCTGCTGCCACTGTGACTCCAGCGCCCCCGCCAGACACTGTGGGACAGCAGTCTCCTGCTCTGCCCACCTGCTGCCCTCCAGATGCTCCTGCCCCCGCCTCCCAGCATCCTCAACAAGGACTGACAATAAGTAGGGATGACAGACCAGCAACATTTGGAGAGTGTTGTTGTAAAGGTTACCTATTGAACTTGTACTTGTTTACTAGGGAGTAAGTCCCATTTATTCCAATGGGTCTTACTCCAGAGTAAGCATGCCTGGGATTACAGCCTATGTGGCCTTAACAAAAGTTCATCCATGGTGCCTTATGACAGAGAAGCAGCCCAAAGGGTCTGCGTGAGCATGCACAGCCAACTGGTTTGCCATCCTGCTCTCTCCCCTCCACTTACCTGAGCTGCTCTTGGTTCAAGGATGAAAGCCACCAAGAAGCCACCCACCATGCTGCGACAAACAAAGTAACCCATGGTACAAGTCATAAACATGGAACTTTGGTTGCTGTACAGCGCTGTGCCGGAAAGGAGGAAGAGGGGAAATGTTGTCCTTCACAGGCCATAACAATTCAGTCTCTAGTACACCTATGCAACAGCAAGCGCTGCTCCATCGCCTGGCTCTCCAGGGCTGGGGGCTGCGGCAGAGGCATCTAGTTATTTGAAAAGACAGGACTCTCGCTCATGCCTCACAGCTGCTGCTCTTCTGGATGAATTCCAAGGGCCACCAAAAAGGCATTGTGGGCTACATGTGGCCCACAGGTTGGGCCACCCTGCTGAATGTTCTCAATTGCAGGGATCTGAGAATGACTTAGAGGGGATGCTACCTTTTGCTTGTTTAGAGTTTTGTTAAAGAACAGTATCCCATCTTAAACAAAAACTGTTAAACTACTGCAAACCTTATTTAAAAAACAAAAAATGTCCTCTTGTTTAGCAGAGATGCTTTTAAGGGTTTTGTCATTGCAGTGTTTTAACACATGTAGCTTTTGTGTATTTTAAACTAGAATCATAGAATTGTAGTGTTGGAAGGGACCCAAGGGCCATCTAGTCAAACCACCTGCAATGCAGGAATCTTGGCTAAAGCATCCCAGATAGCCATCCAACCTGCTTAAAAACCTCCACGGCAGGAATGCCCACAACCTCCAGAGGGAGTCCATTCCACTGTCAAACAGCTCTTACCACCAGAGTGTTCTTCCTGATGTCTGGTTCGAGTCCTACACTCCAGAAGAGGAGAAAACAAGCTTGCTCCCTCTTCCATGTGGCAGCCCTTTAGATACTTGAAGATGGTTATATATCTGCTGTCTCCTCTTTCCCAGGCTAAACATACCCAGCTCCTTCAAGCGTTTCTCATAAGGCTTAGTTTCCAGACCCCTGATCATCTTGGTCTCCCTCCTCTGCACATGTTCCAGCTTTTCAACATCCTTCTTAAATTGTGGTGCCCAGAATTGAACACAGGACTGCAGATGTGGTCTGAGCAAGGCAGAATAGAGTGCCTTGATCTGGACACTATAATTCTGTTGATGCAGCCTAGAATAGCATTAGCTTTTTTTGCTGCTGCATCACACTGTTAGCTCATGTTTACCTTGTGGTCCAATAAGACCCCTAGATTCTTTTCACAGGTACTACTGGCAAGCCAGGTGTCTCCCATCTTATATTTTTGCAGCTGATTATTCCTGCCTAAATGCAGAAGCTGGCATTTGTCCCAATTGAAATTAATTTTGTTAGTATGGTCTCTGTTCTCCAATCTTACTCAAATATTTAAGGCTGCAGTAATTTTTAATTCTGATTCTGTCTTCTTCGGCACTAGCTACCCCTCCCAGTTTGGTCATCTGCAGAATTGGTGAACTAGGGTTACGTTCTAGACTACAGCAAGGGAATTCTGAAGTGCAGAAACCTGAAACAGCTAAATCCCTACTTCAAGTGTTTTCCCTCCATACTCAAGCATGTGACTGAAAACAGTCCTCAAGTTTTTTCCTACTTTTAAAAACTTTGTAAGAAAGTTTGTTCCTTCTCTCTGCTGGCACTGTGTCTTTTTTCCTGTTCTTGCAAAGACAAGCAAGTGACAGGAGCAGAGCTCTCAGCTCTGCCCCACTGTAAATGGGTCACTGCCAATTTACGAAGGCTTGGCTGCCAATACCCCCCCCTCCCGGAAAAACACTACTGGACTTTATGCTGGTGGACGTAGGGAATGTTTAAGCCAAAGTGACACTTCACAAATTTGTTGCAAAAAGGCCACAGGAGTATCCTCTTAAATGTTCTTCAAATGCACTGAACATATTTAAACCTTGTTCTCACATAGATATGTCCCATTACTCAGGTACATATGGATGGTAACTGTACTACGTAAATTAATGCACACCATTCTTAAAAAGTCAAGTTCCACACCAACAAAGACTACACTGGAAGGTTTGTTCGTTTTTAATTATGTCTTGATTTACTTCATATTCACAACATTGACAGGTTGGGGGTTTTTTGTATGTGTTCCTGTCAGCTTTGCTTTACTCAAGTAAGGCATTGTTTTCCGCATCAAGGCTTTAGATTCCGTTTCAAAAGGGGGGAGGGGCTCTTCCACCCTCTGAGCTGCAGGGAGTCCTGACTGCTGCAGTCAATTTTCTGATTAACAACTTCAGCCTTTAAATAAAATTTTACAACAGGTTTGGTTTTAATGTATACCTTTTCTTTGGAGATTTAACAGCTAAACTGAAAGAGAATCTACAAAAACAACCACTCTAGAAACAGGATTCCTTCTGCCAATGTGAAACGCACACTTTTCAGTGGTGTCTCTTTGGTTCACGACCTGCACAAGGGGTTAAATATAATTGCACTTCCATGATAAGTTACGTAACAGTCAACTTCCACTCTGCAGTAACTAAAAGGCATTGATTTCTACGTGGACCATAATCCATTTAGAACTCCATACACCAACCCCCCTGCTTTTTTAAACAAAAAATATCCTTTAATAATTGCAGCTGCATTTTGCTTGTTGCTAGGGTGAAAAAAAATACAAAAATAAGCATCTATTCTTTTCTACACTTACAAAAAATTCCTAAAAAGGTACCTGGTTTTAGAAAGTACAATCCCTTTGGAGTGTGCCCACCTACAAGCCCCCTTTGAACTGAGTGAAGGCATTGCATATAGCAGAGGGGGCTGGCTGAAGCCTGACAGTTCATAGCCCTTTAGGTAAGCAATGGAGCCTGGATTTCCTCAATCAAGGACTTGCTGCAATTTACCTCGGGGTTTTGTGAAGGTTTAAATGTCTGCTCGCTACCCAGAAGGCAAGTCACCTGTCTTCCACCCTGCCCTGTGGTACCGCTGCATCAAGAAACGTGGGTAGCCACTCCCAGCCCACTTTAGTCAAACCACAGAGACTTCTCTATACGTCGTCATATGATGGGGCAGGAGGGAGAGGGGCAACAACTCCACCGTAACTATGTGATTACAAGACTGTGCAAGGCTAGATCAGAAAGCACTGCTCACCGGCCCCACTCCATTACTTCCTTGATTTCTGATTGTAGGACTCACAGCATTTTGCCCAATTAAAAATATCACAGGCCTGGTACTCCAAAGTTCAGGCTCCTGCTAAACAGGCTTCTTTCCCAGTCTCTTTCATTTACAGTAGTACAAACCTGGGCAGCGATCCAGGCACTGTTGGCCTGGAGTTAACCGTATAAACCTGGCTTAGCTTACTCTCTAGTCTTAAAGCCATTTGTTCTAGTCCATTGGGTATGAACAGTTTATAGGCAGCAATTCTTAAAGGCAAAGTTCAGTAACATCAAAAGGATAAAAAGGGCACAGGCTACAAAAATGCACTTTAAAAAAACTCCTGTAAGGAAGGGACACATGTCTCAAACGTTAAAACACCTTACTCAGTAATTCTTGCAAAGTATTCATCCAACTTTCAGTTAATTAGCAAAATTTGGTACATCTGAAATGTAATTAAGACTATTAGGCATTAAGTAAAAATCAATATAAAGTCACCTTAATAAAGTCTATGATCTGGTACAAAGAGACTGGTATACAAACTGGACATGGGATGAAATTTAACACTAGGGGAACAAAGCTTTGTCCATTCTAACAAGACACTAAACTTTTGAAGAGAAGCGCCTTGGACAGGTAGCCAATACTGATCAGCCCTTGCCTGTTTTCCAGTGAAACTAGTCTACCTGACTTTCACTTAGTGGAAGCTTGGTCAAGTGTGCAAAGGGGTGTGTGTTTACAGTATTTTACAGACACCCAATGCAACTGGAGACTATAGGTGCTCAATGGGCTGGGCATGCTTAAGATGGCACTGCATGCCCAACATCCCAGTCTGATCCAAGTCTTTTGCTCTCTCTCTCTCTCACACACACACAGCTCCTGTAAACATAGAAGCCTTCTGATCTGCAGCGAGTGAGGCAGCCTGGCTTTAAACAAACCCTAAACCCTGCCAGACAATTGAGCATCAGAAGGGCAGTTTTTCACTTGGCTTTTACATGCATGCTTTGGATCAGGGGCAGAATGTGCAAAAGCTAAGAGACCTGGAAGGGGTAGCTGGGGAAAGGGGGCATGATGCTCTACATGATGATGAAGAGCTGATTTTGCACTTCTGGATGTTGGCACATGCCACTGAAGACACTGCATAAACTAGCTGACCACTTTTGAATGTGAATCTTAGTCCACCTTCATGACCACGTGTGAAATGAAGCAACAGTATGGTACTCGGTAAGTAACCTGGGATGTTACTGGCATGGGAATAAAGCCCAAAAAACTCTTACTATATCAAGGTTTTCTAGTTAATTCTTTCATACACCACTATCCCACACATTCCGCATGCCATTTTGTTTTGGCCATTAAAAAAAATCAGCATCCACTGAGCACCAAACTTGACCTTAACATAAAAATTTAAATACAATACAGGCATTTTCTTTAAAAGACATTTTACAGCAATCTTAATTTGGGCCTAAGATCTTCCACCTAATATTCTGTACCCATTGAGTTAAATATATACTTCAGAGGTACTCTGATTAAGTTTTCTATTCCTGATCACAAGGTCAAAGGATAAGATGCTTTTGGAAACGTCCATAAATTGTGGTATGAATGAGATTCTGGAAATGGATACTACTAATGTGTAGCCTATTAGCTTACCACATTAGAGTAATTGAATTCCATGATGGAGAGAGAGAAATCTTACTTAAAAAGCAAGAAAAGGCACTTTTAAGGCTATAATTGACTGACATTATTCTGAGGTTTGTTCAGCTGTAATGACACCAAACTATGGTAATGAGATTGGCAGCTAATTCTCCTCTCCCCTTTAACTATGATTAGCGCTACCAAGGACTCCTTTCAACCTAGCGGATGGAAGTGACACCTACTTTGAAACCACAGCTGCTGATCCTAGGGGAATCCTTTAGGCCAAGCTAACACGGCTGCCAGTGTATGCCTTAACCATAAGTTAAAGCAAACCCCAGTTGAGGGACTGGGGCAGTGAGGTCAGCACACATTGTCCTATAGGCAGATTTTGGAAACTAAAAGGCAGTTTCAGATACTAAATGAAAAGAGGAAAAATGCTCATGGACTAAACTAGATCTCTCCACCATTCCCATAGCCAACCTGATCAAGATGAACACTTTAATTTATTTCAACGGGAAAGGTGCTTTTATAAAGTACCATTGAAATAAACAGGATTTAAAAGTCCCTACCCTCAGCTGAATCATGCCATGAATTTGAAACGTGACTGATAAAATTAATGGCTCTTATATCTGTACCAATTGTAGCGATCAAATTTGATGCAGCAACTTTTTTGACTCTAATGTCTGTCTTCATCTGTTAATTCATCCAAGCTGACAAGAGATGTGCTACAAATCAGCAGCAGGGAATAGTAGCTTTGGGACACAAACAAAACACAATCAGACCTTAGATTGTGGTGTGTTTGTGGGGAGACTAACCTCAAATGGTATGTGCCTTAGTTATTGGACTGGTGAAGAAAAATGAAACAAAACCCAAATAAAAATAAAAATAGTGCGATCTGAAAGCATGACACAGCTGCTTTTAAATACTTTGTGCAAAACATAAGTAACCTTAGTATATAAAGCTATTACAGTTTCTGGTGCTGTGGTTAGCAGTGTGCTGCAAAAAATGATGTGTCAGTCTCTCCTCCTTGTCTCCCTTCTATGTCTCTAAAGACATCAGTCTTCATTGGCAAGTGTCTCTGTGGACAACCAGATTTTGGCACCACTTAAGAATTTGCTCAGTGGTGTTCCCAAAATACTCCGTCGGCAGAGATTCCCTACAGGAGAAAATGGGAAAGAGGAAGAAAGGAAGTCTGGGGTTGTGGAGGAATCATTGAGCCCATTTGCTCTAAAGTACATCCGGCTTTGATCGAGTTCAGAAGTGTTAGTGAGCAAAGGTGGGGTTCCGCTGTGTTGCCTCAGACACCGGTTCAGAACATCTACTTCATCTGCTAATAAAGAGATTTTATGGAAGGCAGTAATGAAGCCACCACTGTTGATCTGGGCCTCAGGGATCCAGCGGAAGTAGCAGAGTTTCCAGAGTTTGATTTGTGTTCCAGAGAGATGGGGCAGGATTACACCATGCAGGTCGAGTGGCTTAGAAAACCACTCTCTGAAATATTGCTCCATGCCATTGGTGGTGGTATCCGTATGGTGAAGAAAGTCTGGTTTCAGTTTTAGTATTAGGGAATTTCTTCTTGGAAGAAAGTCTTGCTCGCTGATAATACCGTTCTTCAGGGAGGGCGGGAGGCCCCTGAGTGTTGAACTGTAGTTCTTCTGGGAAGGGAAAAGTTAGTAAAATACCTTCAGTTTCCCATCAGGTTCAACTTGATCTCCACGGAGCTCCAGTTACAGTTAAGTAGACCCCACCCCCATCCCTGGAATAATTACTTCTAGATACTATTAACATAGCCCAAAATGATGGGCTATATTACTTCTATTCTTCCATGAATTTGTCAAATCTCCTTTGGAAAAATCAGCACAATTTGTAATAACAGATGCCATATAATGATGAAGTACTTTCTGGGGCCAAAAAGGTAATGAGACAAAGTTGCATGTGGAAATGAGAAACTTTCCATTAGCAAGAGCATATGCAATCCTTCACCAGCAGTAAGTGCTTCATTAGGTAGGATGAAATAGTGGATAATTCCTGGTTATATGGAGAGCAAACCTGATTATCTATGCAAGTATTTTAGTCACTTCCACTATTTTTTTCTAGTAGAGGGTTCTAAAAGATAACCACACTAATATGGAATTTCATGCAGGTCAGTGTCTGAAGTGCTGTGCCTAATCTGTCTGCTTGCTAAAAAAATGGTTCCGTTATTTAAAAAAACAGACATGTAAGTTAAAAACTAGCTACCCTTTTATTATGTCAGCAGAAGCTATGTGTGAACTTGAAAACGTCATTGGTCCAATACAATTATCTTCCTTATTTTTCTATTATCCCATGACCTGAGAAACAGTTCTGAGAAATAACTTTGCAATAAATGCAGTACTCACACCAAGAAACCTTGAAAATAGGGCCCTGAAAGTAGCTTCTCTACTGGATGTGGAAGACGAGGGCTCCCTTTTCCGGCAGGCTGCTTGTTCCTATGCTGGGTGCAGAGGAGGCAGGGAGACACCCCCCCCCCGCAAGCTCATTCACTTACAACATGGGCTTTTGTGTGAGCTCTGGCTGGTGGACTACTGCATAAGAGGCAAGACTGCTCTGAAAAATCACTGAAACCAGTGCTTTTTCCCTGGGGGTACTCGGTACCTGCCCTTAAAAACAGAAGAAAAGCACTGACTGAAACACTGCAACGAAATACCCACTGGCCCAGCTCATGGGCTTCTGAATGTATTACGACATCCCACCAATCGGGACTGAATGATTTGGGGAAGCCACCCATCAGTTTCCTTCTCCCTCCTCTAACTACATTCTCCTAGCAGACATTGTCAGTAGGTAGGCAGCCCCCAGATCCCCTCATTCACTATCTCTGAATCATGTGGTGATTCATCATCATCACGTGGTGATTGGAGGCAACCAAGCATACACTGCTTTCCTTGGTAGTTAAGGTCAAAACCACTAACCATGTTAAGGGTGGGGAATCACCTGCTAGAAAACTGCTTTACCTGGAAAGTTGAAGCAGAGTTCTCATGAACAATGTAGTATGAAATAAATGAAAGTATCACCACTTGATTACCTGAAGATCCTACGAGAGGACAAAGACTTGTTTGTTCTCACCTGCCCCAGAGGGCAAGGTAAGATCTAATGGACTTGTTTCAGGACAGGATTTGAGTTGAACATTGGGAGAAGCTTCTTGAGCCAGTTACATAGATGGGATCTCCCTTACTGGAGATTTTCAAACGGCGACTGGGCAGCCCAGTGCTGGGAATGCTCTCATTCTGGATTTCCTGCATTGGCCAGTGAGTTGGGACTAGATGTGCTGCCCCTGTTTCAGTCTTTGATTTTCTCCAGCAGGACACTGCTGGGCTGCAGAAGGGCACTGGCCCAGGGCACTGAAAATGGATCCCGTTCCAACAGCAATGAGGTACCATCTTTGCAGCAGCTAAACTGAAGCACCACTGGCGTAGCTGGACTGACTCACTGGTCCATTCTTACCTTTGATCGCTTGAAGTATTTCACAGCCCCATTGTGCACACACGGTGCACTCTTCCCAATGTACAAGGGGTTGTGGAATAGCATACGATCCCTCACAGTGTGTTGAAGAGACCAATCCCAAACAGAAGGAAATCTGAGGCCCTTCTCATCACCTAGCTGGATGTTTTTGCTTATGGCAAATTCCTGAAAGAAAGAAAATTCAGATAAGTTCACATATATACACACTCAACCCCACTTCACCAATAAATATAAAACCCTTTATTTGCAGAAAAATAAGATCCTGCATTCCTCTCTTTATGGTAATGGAACACAAAGGATTTTTTTTGTGATGCTTTGCTTAATGATTTATTGGATTTTGATATGCACTGATTCTTTTCATTGTGAATTTATTATTGTAGCTTCTGTGAACTGCTTAGAGATTTTGTTATATTTATATTACATTATTAAAAGGAATGAGGCCAAACATTGTGGCATCTATGGACATCTGAGGAGAGAGAAGAAAGCCAAGTTACTGGGTGATGCCTTAAAAGAGTTTTGCCAGAATTTAAACACAATTCTTCCAATTGCTAAAGCCTTCTTGAAGCAGGTTAATGAAATTCTTCAACTTTGAAACAGTCTCTTATGCTCTTTCCAATTTATGATATTACCTTCAACTGAATGACCTCCTTGTAATCAACAGCAGGCAACCTAACAAGCCCCTTTTGGCTTCCTCTAGAGCCAGACCAGCATATTGTCAAATAAGCCTTCTCCCTGAGGAATGCTACTTTCCCTGTCTGTTCCCGAGGGGAATTGCAAGGTGACAAAGCCTGTTCCTTGCTTCTCCTCCCCCAGCTCCAATGGCACAGCTATAGCTGCATACCCCACCTCCCACTGTGTGTGTGTGTGTTGTGTGTCGAGAATAAAAGGAAAATTACAGAAATCATGCACAGCATTAGGGAGGAAGTGCCTTGCAGGCCTCTGCATTGGAGACCCCAAAACTATTCAGACAAAATATTTTCCACGGTTCCCCAGTATACAAATGTGGCTGTGTCTCAACCTATCCCATAAGAATCCTAACTTTTTAAAAAGGTATTTTTGCATTTGTGCTCGAAGAATTCTAGAAAAATGGTAAGGAACAAAGGCAAAATAAAACCCAAACTTTCTACCTATATTGAAATCTATTGATCATAATGGCTTTCTCCCATGTGGTTTTGCTGAAGGTTTCTCTCAAGTTGATGGTTAACAATCTAGGGCAAGAATACCACAGGACCAAAGTGCAACTTGTTCCTCGCATGTGGCGTTAGCAATGTTGATGACAAATACCACTACTGTTAATTAAAACTCAATATACAAATAAGAAATCAGCAGAGTCTATTTTTTGGTCCTTAATGTGCCAACTGCTCTTCCATCTCATAGCTGTGAGCTACAATCCCTTGTAGTTAAGAGGCTTCCACCTTGACTACTGGAGGTGGTTTTCCAGCTTCCTAACCATGTGTTGCAGCTTCTACTTGAGGTCAGACAATGTTTAGCACCCACCGTGCTTTGCTTCACTCTCTGATGTGGAGAGTTGAAGAGGAAGGTACCAAACAGCGAGATCCGCGTGCTGTCGTACAATATTGTCAAGTAAGCTTCAGAAAATTCAAAGGCTGATGGGTATTGCTCAAGCAGTTGCCAGACACAGTCCAGGAACATCAAAAATAAGGGAGACTGGAGTGGGAGGGAAATGATAGGAAGATGTTACACACAGAAGACTTATGCAAGTTTGCTCAAGCCCTACATTTACTGCAGTCACCATTAAATCAATGCTGAGATTATTATTACAAAATATAATGCACTACAAAGCAAGTGTACAAACTGGAGTAACACATATGGAAATGCCTACTTTACATTCAAGTACCTCTGACTAGAGCCCGTAGTCTGTAACTTAGCTGTGTGAACTATAGTGAACCATGAAATGTAGTTTTCTGCCTGGCAGACAGCTCTTCATTCAGATTTTTTTAGAGGACATAAATATTTCCTTAAATTAAGATTCTGTCTGTCATGGTTACAGAAAATATATATTTTTTTAAATTGTGAAAATAGTGCTTGTTGAAGCCTATGCTAGGAGTAATGTCAGATTTCTCATGGCTTGGGAGGAGAGAATTTTATTTCAAAGCACCAATGTACTAGGGTCCCAAATCACTCTTCCGCTGATTTTAACTAGCTGCATTTTTAAATTTCTGCTAAACCACTGTTTTAGCCAACACTGGGCTTTTAGGCTCTATTTTGTAATTCTCTGTCTTGCATGGCTCTAAGATTAGCTGCAACAAAGCTTATACCTAGCTACCAATTCCGTTAGAACAAAAAGTCTAGTTCTAATCCCACACGAGTCTGTAAACTTCAGGACTTTTGATTCTTCAAAGGCTTGCTTGTACAATCTATTATTGTGCACAGCCACTTCTGAAACAGATTTGTTTAAAATTTCATGAAACAGCTGAAAACTTTTGGTAAGATAAGACACCAATGAGCATGTCAATAGTTACAGGGTGGAATTTGTAGTCCCACAGAAACCATAAGACTCAGGACAGTCAGAAATATGAAAACACCCTGAAATTCTTTGCTTGTGTCGACAGGGGGCACCTAGGATAAAACCCTATAGTACCAACCTGAAGGTAATAATTTCTGATTCTGATTGTGTAAATCAAACCCCAAATTAGCAATGCTTGTTCAAGGCTTTCGATACCATCAACCACAGTATCTTTCTAGAGTGGCTGTCCAGGATAGGGGTGGGTGGCACCGCTTTGCGGTGGTCCCAATCCTACTTGGATGTCATTTCCAGAGGGGAATGCTCTTTGGCTTCAATGTGGAGCCTTCAATGTGGAGTTTCTCAGGGTTCATGCTGTTTAACATCTACATGAAACTGCTGAGTGGGGTCATCAAGAGTACATTGGCAGCAATATGCTGATGACACACGGCTCTAGGTCTCTTTTACATCTGCCAGTGTGCATGCTGGACCATTGTCTTGCCTTGGTAATGGACTGGATGAGAACCAAAAAACTGAAGCTCAATCCAGATAAGACTTGGAGACTGTTAGTGGGAGATTTCCTAGACTGGATGGCCGAGAGATTGCCTGCTCTTGATGGGGTTACACTGCCTCTGAAGGAACAAGTATGTAGCTTGGGGGCCTTCTGGATCTTTTGCTGTCGCTTGAGGTTCAGGTGGCCTCAGTGGTGTGGAGTGCTTTCCATCAGCCCTTTGGCTGGTGGCCCTGGTGCAACTCATCTCTAGACAAGGATAGCCTAACTTCCTTCATCTATACTCTGGTAACTAGGGCTGGGTGATATCTGGTTTTCAACACCATGATATATCACCAGCTAAAGATCACAACATACTGATATATCACGATGTCTGAAATAAGGATGGAGCTATGTAGAGGCATTGGCTGGCTTCATGGTTTTTCCTGCATCATGATTTTTGCACGCACACACATACGATTTGCAATATTGCCAGGTCAAAAATTATGAATCCGATATCACATTATGGACTTCAAATGATTTATTCCCTACCTCTAGGTTAGATTACTGCAATGTGTTATATATGGGGCTGCCTCTAAAGATGGTCCAGAAACTTCAGCTAGTGCAGAATTCAGCAACCAGGTTGCTAACTGGAACAAGACTGTTTCAGCGTATTACACCGATCTTGGTCCAACTGCACTGGCTGCCAGTTAGTTTCCGGGCCCAATTCTAAGTGCTGGTTTTGATCTATAAAGCCTTAAACAGCTCAGAAGAGCAATACCTCAAGGACAGTCTCTTCCCAAAGAAGCTGACCCAGACCCTGCGATCATCATCTGAGGCCCTTCTTTGTGTACCTCATTCACGAGAGGTCTGGAGGGTGGCAGCACAAGAATGGGGCTTTTTCTGTTATAGTTTTATGTTGTGAACTGCCCTGTGATATTCAGATGGTGGTATGCCAAGACAATAAATAATGATAATAATAATAATAATGTTCACTTGAATAAAACTGGGAGAAAATGTTGTTGGCCCCTCAATGGGGTTTCTAAATACATTTCAAACATACTCACTGGAGGGAAGTTTCTGTACTACTGACAATAAATTTTAAAAAATCTTTAAAGGGGGGGGGGGATTTGTTTCATTAAGCACAACGCTCTTAACATGGTGCTATGCATCCCAAAAGGAGGCCAGTTCTCCCTTGCTTTTTTGCCAGCCAGAGCTGCCCAAGGTAGTTGGGGTTTCAACTGTATTCCTGACCTGAAGGCACAGTCCAAATTTTGACAATTCAAATAATCCCCTTCAACACATTCCAGCATGTCCCAAATTTAAAACCAGTTCTCAAATAATTGCAGCCCTGAAAGAAAAGTGCATCATCTCATCTCTCTGTGCATTTCCCAATCCATCACTCTTCTGGCCTCCTGCCCTCAGAGATTTCCCCAGATCCTGTTATTTCCTTGGAAAAATCCATTTCAAATGTATAAAATAGGTAAAGGTAAAAGACCCCTGACAGCTGAGTTGCGGACGACTCTGGGGTTGCGGCACTCATCTCGCTTTACAGGCTGAGGAAGCTGGCATTTGTCCACAGACAGTTTTTCTGGGTCATGTGGCCAGCATGACTAAGCCGCTTCTGGCAAAACCAGAGCAGCGCACGGAAATGCCGTTTACCTTCCTGCTAGAGCGGTACCTATTTATCTACTTGCACTTTGGCGTGCTTTTGAACTGCTAGGTTGGCAGGCAATGGGACCAAACAACGGGAACTCACCCCGTCGCGGGGATTCGAACCGCTGACCTTTTGATCGGCAAGCTCAAGGCTCAGTGGTTTAGACCACAGCCTTAAGTACCTCAATTACCTCTTTGTCAGATTTCTTCAGGTGGTTACACCTATCTAGAAACGGGTACCCTGCCATGACCCACTCCTTCTGAATCAGGCTCTGGAAACCAGCAATCGTCCGGAAATAGGGATCCAGCATCACTTGAATGAGCGAAGCCACACAGCAGCTCAGGTCACGCCCTTCTTCCTCTGTAGTTGACATTTGTAACAGTGATATAAAAAAAGAAATATGAAGTGAGCGGGGGGAAAAGATGTTAACAACAATACAAATAGCACAGGGTCATGTGCTTTGTTTTTATAATGCTTTTCGAACGGACCTCAAAGCCACTTACAAAGTATTATCAATGCTATAAGCATCAGTTCTAGAAGGTTACAATAAAATGGTAACACACCTGCTTGCTCAGAACTGTGTTTATTTAGTTGTGAATCAGCACAGTGTTTGTTTTTGTAGAAGAGGAGGTCAGTAATGGGCTGCCTATATTACCAGCACCTCTTCAAACTCAAGAAGGGTTACCTTTTTAATACCACCTCCAAAAATCATAAAGGCAAAGCCTCCTATTCTAACCTGCTACTGGGTTCTGGGAGCTTTTTAAGACTATTGCGGACAATATGGCAGAAAAGGCCTCCTTGTGAGGGGAAAGGGAGTCTGCCTGCACAGCTGCCTGTTGCACTGCTCAGGTCGTGAAGCCACAAGGCCAAGGGCACACCAGACAAGGACCGGGAGGGAACTGGCGAAGAGGAGGGGGCGGAGGTTATCGGTTTTGTTTTGTCCATATTTTTATTATGTATTGTGTGTTTTTTTATCTTGTATTTTTATCTTGTAAAATATATGAGATATATGAAGGGCAGTATACAAATTTAATAATAATTAAAAAAAAGAGTTCAGAGATAAACACAGTGGAAAGGATAAATTTAATAATGGTGTCCACACTCTGAGTAGTGGATAACAGCTACTACAATTATTCCTAAATATACTGGTATAATGTCTGCAGCAGCATCAACATGCTTAAAAACACTTGAGCAGCTTACCATGTAAAACTACCGAAACATGCTTACAGTCCAACATGTATACAAGCTCTGCGGAATGCTTCAGGAAAAGTCTAGACCAAGACAAAAAAAGCCTGTATTAATTTATTTAAATTATTTAGAACTATTCAATACTCAAGCAAGTCCACTATTAGCTTTATTTTGGAATAAGCTGTGCACTGCAAGATATTTGCAGAGGCAAACTCACTTTAAATCTCTAGTGAAATTTAGTTTCCCAGAATCATATATGTCCAAGAACAACATTTTTTACAAACTGTAGAGAATCTCATTGAGTCTCTCACTTCAAAGTGACACAGTGCTTGTCAATATTTTATCTTCTGTACATCCAGGACAGGGGTCAGCAACCTAAGGCCCATGGGCCAGTAGCGGCCCACGAGGCTTGTCTAACCGGCCCATGGTGACCCCTGCCCCCCCGCTCTTACTGGTGCTGTGACCGACTTCCAGGTTGATGGTGCCTGTGCGCATGCGCACGGGCGCTCCTCCAACCCGGAGGTGCGCTGGAAATAGTGTGTGGGACAGAGAAGTGCCCGTGCGCATATGCTATTTCTGGCCCACTTCCAGGTCAGAGGAGCGCCAGAAATAAGAGTGTGCGCATGGGCGCTCCTCCAACCCGGAAGAGCATGCGTGTGCACACACCCTCCTCCGACGGACGGAACGTCGACCGGCCCATCCTCGGATAAGGTTGCTGACCTCTGATCTAGGATGCAAATAAATCTGTCAACAGAGATTTTTAATTGCAGCTTCTGCACATACCTCACATACTCTAGCCAGTGTGAATTATCCAGGGAAGACAACCATTTCTCCTCCGTTTCTTCAAAAGGTTCTGTGACCAAAAGAGAAAAGAAGTAAGAAATCATGCTCCCCATATTTGAAAGATGAGAGTCGTATAGTGATATTACTGTCTTTAGAGGAGTAAACTCCCAGCAGACTCAAGCCAATTGCCCATTCGCCACTCCTCACTTAATCAACACCTCCTGTTCACTCCCAATGCAATCCCATGATGACAAAATGTCAAGGTGTGTTAAGGAGATATGTGCATTCCCTGGCAGGGCAAGCAGGCCAGGATGCAATGCCCCTTCTTTCTATGATCTAATAAAAGCCATACTCTCAATATAGTATCTTAAACGACAAAAACAATTACATGGGTTGAGTGCCAGGAGGGTGTGGAGGCTTTCTAGTGTTTTGCACTGTGTCACATGTAGGACTCTCCCAGTCGGAGAGAAACCGTGGGTGTGTCTGAGGTGCAATGAGTGCCTGGCTGTGCAGGAACAAGTTCATTGAGGCCACGGTGGTAGACTTAAAAAAGCTAAGGGAGGCAAACATCCGGTTAGGGTTGTTATAGTTGCATCCTACTTCACGATAATCCCTCCCTTCCCTACTGTCAGGGAGAATGAGCGTCTTAGGCAAGGAGAGCGGCACTCTTGAAGAGGGAAATACACCCCTTAGAAGGGAACCATTCATTGGGGACAAACTAGTATACTTCCGGAAACCAGTTGCTGAGAATCAAAGGAGCGCAGTGCACTGTTCTGCTCAGGCCCTGCTTGTAGCTCCTGTGAGAACAGGTTACTAGGCTAGCTGGGACACAGGACTAGTACAGCAGGGAGAGACGCCACATGTCTCTTAACTATGGTTAAGGCATCAGGGATGGGCTAGCTCCCCTCAAAGGTACAGCACAATCTCTCCCACCATTTATCCACGGTTTGTTAACTCTGACATTAATTATCACCCTGCTAATTAGGGTTTTCTAACCAGCCTAAAGTCCCTATTCTACCCCTGAAATGTATGAACAGCCTTTTAGGCACAGACAGTATTCTCCAGGTCTTCAGAATTAAAGGTCCCTAGGAAGCTGAGGCTCCAATACTTTGGCCACCTCATGAGAAGAGAAGACTCCCTGGAAAAGACCCTGATGTTGGGAAAGATGGAGGGCACAAGGAGAAGGGGACGACAGAGGACGAGATGGTGGGACAGTGTTCTCGAAGCTACCAGCATGAGTTTGACCAAACTGCGGGAGGCAGTGGAAGACAGGAGTGCCTAGTGTGCTCTGGTCCATGGGGTCATGAAGAGTCAGACACGACTAAAGAACAAGGAGAATGTGTAAATAGGTGTGTGACAATCTGAACTTTTTCTGTGGTTTATTATTGTAGATCATGGCAGGAATAAAGGTAGGCATAGCTTAATATGCAAGGGGGGGTCCTCATTATGAACTTTTCTTGACCTTGGTACCAGTCTATCTCAAACATGTTCTAGAAGGCATTGACGAGACATCCTGAACTCGTAATGTAAAGATCAGCACATGTAAACTAGTTACCAGCACCTGTAAAAGAATGATTTCCACACAGATAATAGTAAAATAACTTTAACAGGAAACAATCAAGGATAACCAGTTTAGTCATCACTCACTAGGATTATATTATTTTAACTTTCAATCAAGCAAGAAGAATAAACAAAATGGGAAATAGACAGGAAACTCTAGGAAGAGACAACAGAAATATTGGAATTATAAGAATTGCTTATCTAGGTAAAAGTTCAACTCTGCTTAAATTGTAATATTGCTGTCTGAAGCAGCATTAATATATTCTGTCACTTTCATTTCATGTTATAGACCAATCTTTTTTCCGTTTGTGTGAGAACTGCTTATGGGCTTTTCTTGTGTGTTAAGGGTAAACACATATTCATAACGAACATGTTTTAACTCTAGTAAGAGATCCTAAACAGCTGGATAGTGTGTGAATGAATACATGTTAGTGAGGGACAGGCATGTGAATTCAGACACATACATTGTACCAGATGTATTTAGAAACACATCCTACCCATTGCTTCTTCTGAAAAAGTTAGTGCTAGTGTTCTCAATGCAGGGCCTGCAAGGCTCTGTATTCTCCTGGATATCCTCATCCAAGTGGACGGCAGCACAAGTCCTTCACCATAGGAGCATTGGCTCTTATTTTCAGGATGCAGCCCAACATCGGGTCATGCATTTTGGGTGGATGGGTGTTAAGATGCGCACCTCCTCACGATGATGGGAGCCACAGAGCTCCTTGGTTAAATGCAGGGGACAAGGAGGGATGCGTCGATGCCAAGGACCTTCGGGCAACTGGGTCCTTGGTGGAGGGTGAGCTCCACTTGACAGGCATCTTCCTGCCTGCATCTTTTCCCTTACACTTTCAACTTTATGGAGACATAGAGAAGGCACTCTGAACATTTTGAAACCAGTCACCCCCCCCCCACATGGCAGCTATTCTGGCTGCACCTACAAGCAATTCTTAAAATTTTAGATGTGCTCACAGACCCTGAAAGGTTGGAATTCCTGTCTTGAGATACCCAACTGCACACTTTTTACAGAAAACAGCAGCCAAGAACATACCATTGACACACAATTGCTTGAGTTTGAGAAAGGCAGCCTGGATTTCTTGGATATTTGGCAGACTCTTGTCCAAATCAGATTTGTAAACATCACTTCTTTGTGGATGGCTTCTAGTGACAGCATTGCAAATCCTAGCATAAAAAAAAGTACTGAAGCAAAGTTGGTCATGAAGGGAAAGTTTGTGTCCTAAGAGTATTTCCTTCCCCTGCTGATCCTCTGGCCTAAAAACTGATAACAAGCATTTTCACCAGCTGACTGGGCATGGTTGCAAGTGTTTTTTGCAATGGCAAGCTGCTGCTTTCCTATTTTGTGGGGGTATGAGATATGAAAGAACCCTGTAACCAGGGAACAACTGGCACGATGATGCCCTTACCTATGGGGGCCAGAAAGCACAACTACATACCTTCATATTAGCACACACACCCCCATCTCCACATAGCCTTCAACAACCAACAGAGAATCTGATCACGACCCTCAAGTGGGACTAAGTTAACAATGCTTTAGAGCAACTAGCTTATCTAACTCAACACTCAGGGATATTCATCTCCTCTGTCAACAGAATATGAGATAGTAGATGTGGCACATGGTGCAGAATTTGATCACTAAGTTCTCTGCAGAAAGGCGAGTTTTTAAGGGTCACAGGCAACATTTGCCAAAGGTCCTACTGTTAGGTGAAAGGACGTCGGTTCTGCCCCACAGATACTTCTCACAAAGATTAGGCATCTTACCCTTCACTTGCACCGTAACATATTTCCTACTTGCTTCTATGCTACATTAAGAACACACAGATTTTCCAAAAATCTCCAAACTCAGGGTCAAAGGGAATCTGATTTTGCCCACTAAGCAAACAATACTACCATCTTTACCGTTGGTCTATTTTTCGCTGTTGCAACTGGTCTTTAATGCTGGCCATTCTCACAAGTGCGCTTCCATTGGAGTGATTCCAGCACCACATCTAGAAGAAAGTGAATGCTTTATATTGTGGATACAAGGCAAGGTACAAGTCATGAAAAGGACTATATTCAACTAGCCTACAGCACCTCTAAACGACCATAAGAAGCTCACTATCTTTGTGTTCAGGAAGGAAAGGTCACAGGCTGCTGGTTGTAGCTGCTGAAGTTCCAGAAAGCAAAATGATCTTCAGCATTTAATTTAAAGCATTTCTATACCATCTTTCATTTTAAAAAACCTAAAGGTGGTTCACAATAAAATTAGCGTGGTATTAACAATATCTTAAAAGATAGCATTCAGGAGCCAGGGAAAAATACAACCGGGTACTAAATGTAAAGGGACCCCTGACCATTAGGTCCAGTTGTGGCCAACTCTGGGGCTGCGGCGCTCATCTCGCTTTATTGGCCAAGGGAGCCAGCGTGCAGCTTCTGGGTCATGTGGCCAGGATGACTAAGCCGCTTCGGGCGAACCAAAGCAGCGCACGGAAACGCCATTTACCTTCCTGCCGGAGCAGTACCTATTTATCTACTTGCGTTTTGACGTGCTTTCGAACTGCTAGGTTGGCAGGAGCAGGGACTGAGCAACGGGAGCTCACCCTGTTGCGGGGATTTGAACCACCGACCTTCTGATCGGCAAGTCCTAGGCTCTGTGGTTTAACCCACAGCGCCACCCAAAAAGCATGATTTTTGCAAATGCCAGAAATACATTGTGAAGTGTGGCCTTCACAAGGCTAAAATATCTGGAATAGTTTCTAGGGGTGTCCCTCCTACCCTATGGCTACTACCACCCACCCTACAACCCTACAGTACTCTATTCCCTTCCTGCCCTGCACAATATCTTAAGAACAGGAGTCCATCAAATCCAGCATTCTGTTCTCAGTGATCAGCTAGATGCCTATGGTTAACCTGCAAGCAGGACATGAGCACAATCACACTCCATTAGCTCTTTTACTGCTATGATATCCTCATCTGCCACCTCCCCTCCCTACATTCATTTGGGTGGAAAGGGGGATTTTCCCCTCCATCTCCCATAATACTAGAATTCAGGGTCACCCAATGAAATTGATAGGAAGATGATTTGAGACAGACTGAAAGATTTCTTAGTCCAAGAAATAATTTATGAAATTCATTGCCACAAGATGTGGTGATGACAGTTGAAATTTATTCCTCCTTGACTCTGGCTTTCCACGGCTGTTAGATATGATGGCTATATATATAGTGGTCCCAGGCCCTAAGGAAGTTAGATTGGCTTCAACCAGAGCCAGGGCCTTTTCAACTCTGGCTGCGGCCTGGTGGAACGCTCTGCCTCATGAGACCAGGGCCCTGCAGCATCTGATTTCTTTCCGCAGAGCCTGTAAGACAGAGTTGTTCCGCCTGGCCTTTGGCTTGGAGCCAATTTGATTCCCTCCCTCCCTCTCTTTCTTTTTTCTTTTCCTTCTCCTCCTGCAATGAGGCTACATTTTAATATTTTAATGTTCCATTATTTTAATGTTGTATTTTATTTTTGTTTTTAAGTTGTAATCATTCTTCTTGTTTTTATTATTGCTTGTAAGCCGCTCTGAGCCCGGCCTTGGCTGGGGAGGGCGGAATAAATAAACAATTATTATTATTATTATTATTATTATTATTATTATTATTATTATTATATGAAATCTCCAAATTCAGAGGCAGTGTACTTCTGAATGTTGCTAGGGTGCAATAGCAAGGAAGGGTCATGGGCTCTAGGCTTCCAGCAAGTCTGGCTGCCCAGTGAGTCCTCAATCTGATTCACCGGGGCTGCCCTTACACTTTCCTTGAACCTTTCCTTTCTGACCCCAAAGGGTTTGGAACTCAATAGTTGCAGATCCCTTGCATAGTTGTGTAGCGGAGTGGGCTGCACTCTAGCAGGGATGCAACACTACCAATTAAGCAGCAATGTCAGCTTCACACTTACTGGCATCCGTCTTCCAGTGAAGGAGTAGGAGTACTGCTTCAGATCTTGATCCGCCAAAGATGATGGCACAACAAAGTATTCTGGAAGACTTGGAGCCAAGACAAAATACACTCACAATAGTTACTTCGGAAATGTCATACAAGTCAAGTCTTTTTATATGCAGCATTGATTAGAATGTTAAAGCCAAGAGTTGAAGTGTCAATGTTTTACTTTTGTTTAGAAATCAACCATAGAAATCTTAAGATTAATCTGGTCATTATTATCTCTAATGACAATGCAGAGCTAGCTTATTCTTTACTAAGAAATGGAACCTAAACTGCATTATTTCAATTGCAATCTGAAAAAAACTATTTCCTCTTTCAAAAGCACCAGAGATTTACCAGCCAGTGGCTCACAGACAGACTGCTATGTACCAATGCAATTCATAACAGCAGCCATGGCAGTGTTGTTTTCACAAACTGCATCAAAATCCGGTTGCAAAAGATCACTGAGAAGAGGCTCATTGCTAGGGAATGGAATTGTGCCCTGAGGCCAACTCTGCCTCTCAATCCCAGTGTGGTTTCCTGGCTATAAAAGAAAAGCAAACTTACCAGGTAGATATCATGTAGCCTTCATTCACTGAACATACACGCCATTCTGATGCTCCTGTTCTCTTGATCTCTCTATCCCAGTCAGAGTATGTCTCAAACAATGGAGTCAGCTGGCCACCACCACCACCTCCTCCAGGATCTATTCCATTCACTTTTTTTGCTAGAAGGAAGTGATTTTTTAAAAAGTACTTTCCAAGTTGTGCCATGCAAATAAACAGATGTACAGTATCTTGCAGGAAACAAACAGACCTCCAAACTTCCAATGCTGCTTTATATAAAACTGTTAAGTTATCTTGAAAATACAGCTGTGTAGGGGCCAGAGCACCCCCAAACCCTATTATTTTCCATTGTGTGTCTGGCCAAGTTTTGACAGACATGAACTTGCACTAAATGGGGAAACAAAGAGAAGTTCTGATCTACCCCTACCATATGTCAAATTAATTTAATGTGTTTAATCTATCTGTGACAACACGTTATGCCATTTTAAGGAATGCTTCTGTTAATGCAAACTTTCATAAGTTTCAATGGATTTAGGATTAGATTCCCAATATTTTGAGGCTAAACCAACTACCATATTGAAAACTACCACTCCTTTCCTCGGCGGTTTAATTCTTGAGAGGTTCTTTAAATGAGCAACCTTCAAATACTTCCCCCTACAGATTACTTTGCTACAAAAAGTCTACGTGGAAGTGACTCTAGCCTTATTAGTAGAGCTTGGTGTTGCAAATCTATTATCTCACTGCAGCCAAGGAACCAAGACTGGGAAGAAAAGGTAGGAAGGGCACCATTGTAACACTCCCATGTGACACAAGCTGGTTCTTCTTTTCCAGCCAAACTACCTTGAACTCCAAAACTCCGTTGAGCATAGCTTGTTTCTCCTCTGGCAAACCCAGAACACAGCAAGGGGAGATGAAAGCTCAGCCTTCATGGTGCATATTGGCAAGCAAAGGGCTCTCTTCTAGCTTCAGAACTGCAATCACCCCCCAGCACACTTAGGCACAGATACATTTCTAGTGAGCTTTTCTATGCATGTAAACATGTACTACCACTCAAGTAGGACTGCTTATATGACACCCTCCAAAACAAACCCCTGGGTTCACCAAAAAGCTCCCATAAAAGTTGGCAGCCATGCTCTCACTCCAAAAGCCCCTCCAAAGGCTATGAGGGAAAGTAAAATGTCTGCATTACCTGGATTATGGTATTTCTTGCCCACATATTCAAATGCAAAGAGGAGCTGAAGATCTGCTGGCTGGGAATAATGAGCTATTGCAAGGCACACCTGAACAGAGGGAAACAAAAAGAACTGGGGTGCATTGAGCTGCTTCCAACCACTTTTTACTAGAAAAGACTAGACTGCATGAGGAAATGGCGGACCAGAGAAAGCAAAACTATGTGATTTTGTCTAAGGAAGGGCGAGCTGTATCCCTCCAACTTCCAAGTGCCATCACCTACTTTGGCTTTCACTAACAGTGATCATAATCAAAAGAGCTCCTTTGGCATACTCAAGGGCTGTGCCATACCCAGTGGACACCAGGCGTTGTAAAATAAACCATGACACAAGCCTGAACCCTCCCTGGGTGAAGAAAAATGCTTATACAGTTATCTGAATCCTAGCTTTTGTCACTAACGTGCTTTCTAAAATCCAATTTCCAATTTCATTAAACAGAAAGATGACTATGTTTTTTTGCTAGGCAGCTAGAGTCAGCCATGGCTTATTCTTGGCTCTCGACATTTTTCAGAGGGAAGCATCACTCCTTTATCCTGAGGGTCCTCTGAGCAACTTGATATACAGTTTCAGAAAGGCTTGAAGTTGCAGGAAATTGAAAATAAAAAACTTTTAAGGAATCTGGGGAACTAGTTTACATATTCACAATGTTTCAAATATAAATTTACTGTGTTACTTCAAGAACACGTATATAATGTATATAACCTGGGGAAAATGTACTGTTTAGTATATTTATGAAATTAACATGGATAGGTCTCTAGGTTTTATTCAGCAATAACCAGCATACCAAGTGGCCATGCTATGCCATGATGTGAATGAGCAGTAAAGCTGCAATTCAATGAACTTACCTAGGAATAACCCCCACTCTGGGACTTGTTTCCAAGCAAATATGGGTGGTGGTGGTTGTTTTGCATGTTTCATATTACCTGTAGACAATATTAGCTACCCTGGTGCCATGTTCATTTGTTTTATATTGTGTTTCAGCCCAGAATATAATCTCCATTTGAAAATACCAGCATAAGTTTATTTTTCTACTCAGAACTGAGACCTAGGTAGATGCTGCAGCAATGCTATGATCATCTCTGAATAGATTTGCAGTTGTGTGAATTAGCTGCATTACCATATTATTTTAAAATTCCACTTTAAACATATTCCCACTCATTCTGAAAGAGAAGAAATGTTGCCCATAGTTTCCATTTCAGGCACTGAAAAAAAACATTTCCATTGATTTAAAAAAAATCAAATTGCTAACTTTATCCCATGGAACAGTTCTAATCTGCACAAAGTCCATTCATTCTCACCTTGACCAAAGCAACATACAGACAAATATAGGCAAGGCCTAATACCTCTGCCTTGTTATTACACGTGTTGCACATTTTCTTCCCCTATAAATCCTTACTTGCATTTTAACAAGGGGCAAAGGAACAGAAACAGTCCACAGGATTTTGTTGAAAACAATGGCCACATGGATTTTTTGACAAGAGAAATTACTATCTACCTGGAAATCCTGATTTATTTTTCTACAAAACGCCTGGTTTGTTTGCTATTTATGCCTAAAACAGAAACTACACATAGTGGTGCCATTGTCCAGGGCTTTAATGAAAGCAGTTTCTTAATGCCAAATGGCAAATTCCTTGAACTTACTCGGAATGTCATGGAAAAGGAGAAAGTTCAAGATTTTTCTGTCTGCCATGAGAAAACATTTCTCTATTTCATTGCACACACTGCCCCACCCAAGTGCTTACTGGGCAAAGAATAAACTTTTAGGATACACAAGCTAAAGCTCTTGAAATCAGCTCACAGTGCAGCAAAAGCAGTGCTGAGGTCTGCTTTCATATACAAAAAGGCCCCTCTTCCCCCTAAATCCAGCTACCTTCACCATGTAGCAATGAACATATAAGATATCTACGTATAGGTTAGCTTTTGTTGATCCACACCGCTTAAGGTTTACTGTACTGCCATGTGGCAGATGATATTTGCTACCACTGCCCGCCCTTTTCTTGGGAGCATTTTTGTTAAACAAAAAATAAGCAAGGGTTGGATCCAAAGAACCCCCTACCCTTTCTTGCTACAGCTGCCTCCTGAAGTCATTCCTGAGGGTTGGGGAACCCTTTAAAAATGTGTGGACACACTTGGATCAAAGCCAAATATATAGAAGTCATAACTCTTCTTGGTAAGACCACTTTCCAAGCAATCCTATACAGTATATATGTCTGCTGAGAAATAAGCCCCACTGAGTTCAATGGGTTTGACTCCCAGGTAGGTGCCCAGCCCTATTACCAAATCAGACCAATGGGTCCATCTATCTCAGCACTGTCTAAACTTTTAAAACTCTCCCAGCTCTACTTGGAGACCTTCTGCATGCAAGCCATCTTTAATGTCTTATACTGGCAATGTGCTTTTGGGAAAAGTAGAACAGCCATCGAACACCCCACAAAAACTAAATACAGATTTTGCATGTCGGCCAATCACTCTTTCCCATCCTACTCAACTGATTCTTCTGTGTAATGATTCTCTGCTCTTCCTCTTAGAAACTAGCAGAGGAAGGTTTTTATCTTCAACTGCACTCACATCAGAGAATGGGAAGAGATCAAGAGCACCCTGTATAACAAGCAACATTGTTTTTTAAAAAGAGTTTCCTGCTCGAGACAGGCAGTTTTGTCAGGCAAAGCAGGGCCGCTGGAGAAACGGCCACAGCCAAAAAACCTACAGCTTCCTGGCAGTGTGTATGATAACATTTGCACTTTGCTACTGAACAACCCTTGTTTCCTTTCTATAGAGCAACCTGTATAACCCAAGCAGATACAGGTGCTCCCAAAATTAAAAATGCAAGGAATAAAATTAAAACTAGTTTTCTGATATATTAATCATTAGCCCATGCCAAGGTTCAGAAATTTTAGCTGTAGTACCAATCACAGATAACCATCTCCCCAATTTCAATAGAAACTGTTGCTTTGGACTGCAACTTAAAAATGCACCATTTCCTTTGAAGTTGCTGACTTCTAGTTGCTTCCACTTATCTTCTCCTTCCCCTCCCTTCACTTCCTCCCACACCCACCTTATTTGTCTTCCTTGAGAATTTTCAGCTGTAGTTTGACAGCAAAAACAACTGAATAACAAACTTAAGCAACACGGAGTTTTGTGTTGTCCCTCCACCCCTATTTAGTCACCACCTTATAGCTCAAGCTAATTAGTCACTATGAACATGTACACATATGGTCAGGGAAACTGAAAACAGAAGGGCTAATTCACTGCAGATGGATTTTTTTTATTATTCAGTAGGTTATGGGACATTGTCTCCTATTCTTTCAGTATGACAAGAAAAAAAAAGCAAATATAGTAGAAGTTATTTTCTAAATCTTCATGTTCTAATTTGCTTTTAAATAAAGGGGTTCTGGAGAGGGAGGAGGCAAGACTGCAACCCCCCCCCCAGCTGCAGCATGCAGATGGTATGCAACTAGGCTCACCCATTTTGATATGAAGGCCACCAGATACAGAAGATGCAGTCTGCTACATACAGCCTTTATGATTTGACCAGGGAACAATAACACTCCCTTGGCAACTACTACCGGGGATTCTTCCCCATGTCACATTCCAGAGGAGAGACTCAGGAAGGAAGCAATGGAAGATTTGATGTACTTTTGGAGACTTGAACCAAGTGTGCAAACACAGTCAGCTTTATTTGTAGAAAAGAAAAACCATTAGCATTCCTCTTCTGTCTTCCCACAGATTGTAACAGGGACCTCCTTCCAGGCCGGTTAGCTTTGTTTAAGCAGAACAGAAAAAATGCTAAGGAAAATTACCAATAAATATTTTGGATCACTTTATTAGTCCCATGCAAACAGCTACAAAACTTATCAGGAATTCTTCTGCAACAGAGAAAAGCCTAGGGGGCTTCCTCCATTTTCAGAAGGAAATAGGAATGTGATTTTAAAACGCAAGGCTACAAATGCTTAGAGAGAAATACTATGGCGAAAGCAGAAGTGTAGAGATCAGCCCAAACACCGGCCAGTTCCCAAAATCTACATCTGCCTGTTAAGTGAGAAACTGTGATCAATACCAACCAAGAACGAGAGCAGCATGAACTGGCTCCCACCATTGGTCCTATGCAACCCCTCAACTTCTTCAAAAAACCCCCAAAAAACTGAAGAAAGATGGTAAGGCTCAGATGGTGCAGATTTTAACCTTTCTGGCCCCCTGAACTGTGATTAAGGTATCAGGAACAGACTGTGGGCATTCATTGCTTCCTTCTTATAGCGCAAATTCTCACCTCTGCTGGCTGACGCTAACAAGCATTGCTTTTGTAGCCAAACCAGAGTTGGAAGTGGCCTTACATGCCTTGGGCACAAAAGAATACATACAATACCATATTTAGCACTAAAATAACATAATGCTACATTATGGTTAAAGCAAGCTGAAGAATGGGATGGGCACAGATAAGTGGCTTTTCAGCCTTTGGCATGTTCTTGATCTCCTAATCATGGTTAGGAGATTCGGCATTCTGCATCTCACTATCAATGTGCTGGTCATGTTGCTCCCTCAATCACACATGCACAAAGTTTGAGTCCCAAATCATGCATTTCAAGTACAGATTCTGCTAATACTATCAATATAAGCAATGTTTATATTGCAATGTATATACTGAGATCTTCAAAGATCTCAAAGTCCAAATGTCTCCTAGTTACTTCTTATGGGAATGAAATTTTAAGCATTTCATATACAAAAAATACCAGTGTGCTGCACAAGAAAGCATGCTTAAGGCTGATTCAGTCTCTGTATTGGTTTCTGGATATTAAGTATTTACAGTTTTCACTTGAAATTTGTTTTTGAGTAAAGCCCTTAGCTCTACATATAGCTCTATGAGAAATTTAAAACCAAAATAGTAAATATAACAGCAGATGCCACATTGAATGGACTTCTTGTTCTTTCTTTAACCAAGCCTAAATATTCATCCAGTAGTTTTTAAAACAAGTGCAAAATGCTAAGCATCTGCCAGAGAAAACTCTGACTTCAACTTTCCAGGAGCTACGTGTAAATTTTCATGTCCTAACCTTTGACTACTGGCAGCTCAAAGGACAGCCACTGTCAGCATAAAGCCAACGGTTTCCATTTCTAGTATCAACAAAACCTCTACTGTGAAGTCTCAGGGGGTTTAAAATGAACCATTAGAGTATTTGAGTCTTCAATCCCTACACTTTCAAACTGTAGTTTGAAATGGGGTGCATTTTAGATTGGGCGATGACCCAGAAGTGGGTTTTATTGGCTGAAGACTAATGCACTAAAACTAGAGGTCAAAGTAGATGTAGGAAACCTATGACCCAAATTACCTACCTGTTTTTTTTCGTTTAAATTACCATGTCCATGCAACTGCTTTGACAAATGGGGAAATAAACCTAGATAAATAACACTGCTATTTTTTACTAAAGCGGAAGGTTCTGGGCAATCCCATCATGAACTCATACTGCATCTAGTTTGGCTCTCAGCAGTTTAGGGAACAGACACCAAAACAGATGGTGGGCCTTAGGTCACAGAAGGTGTGCGAGTGACATTTTAGAAGGTGGACCCAAGCCTGAGTGAGAGGAAACAAGTGTTCATTTACCTGAATTGTGGTTCCAAAAAAACAGAAGCCCCTTTTACTGTGTATTAAACATTTAAGGAACAAAGATATTAGAAGACTGGTTGCTGCAAAGACAGGCAAGGAATACATTCTGCAACTGCAAGAACCAGAAAAAAACCTAATATGGTGGTGATGAAAAATATTTTTCAAGGGTTAGAAAAAACACAGAGGCCTGGTTTGGATGACTGTATTTTTGTGTTTGCTTATGAAATGGATACAAGAGTCTTTTGCTCGAGTGCACCACTCCTTTGCAGTGCACAGCAATCAAACCATTAAGTCTTTAATTAACCATGGTTTCTTCTTTTCTTACAAACAATAGTTACCAACTTTGGAACAAGCCAGGATATAACATAAACTTATTGGTCTGGCTGCTACACACCATGAAAGATGGAGCAAAATGACTGTATATGCAGGCAAAAGGCTTGCAAATATATTGGCTGAATAAGCCAGTATATGTTTTTCCAAATGCCACCAGCATTAAAAACACTACCCAAAATCTTTCATCTCCTATTAAGTGACTTGGCTTAGCAACTGCAGGATTCATGAAAATGATATGCAAGTTACATTTAAGATAAACAAGGAAATTTATTTAGCCATAAGCCTTAACGTTACATTAAATGGGCTTAAGTGCTAAGCAAGATTTCACCACTTAATTACTTGCTTCATGTCTATATGGGATACAGTAGAGCTAGCTAGCTCCTCCTCAGAATCAGCCTATGATAAGAGTTACTATTCCTACCTTGTAAGCCAGATGTGTATAAATGTGAGTGACAGGGATTAGGACCCCATGACCTCGTTCTCACTGTGGTCTGGGCTGCACCACTGGTGTTGGAATGAAGGTGGGGGATCACAAGACTGAATCTCCCCCAAACCAATTCCCTCCAAGGGTTCAAGCTTAGCTTCTCCCTGATGTGCTATGCGGAAGGAATTTTTTTAAATACAAAGGTACATTCCATTATACAAGTCCCCATCTGCAGAGGCAAGTGTTATAGTTCACACACAAATCTACCACCTCAATGAGAGCCAGGTCTAAGTAAAAACACATTTCCATTGTCACTTCAAGCAACTTCAAGATTCTAGCATGTACTATCATCTTACCTCTATAGTTTCAAAGTTATTCACTGATGTTTATGGTGGTAAATGGAACGATTAATCCATGGATGAAACACAAGTAACCAGTTTCAGATACACCAGAATGGTATTTAATTATTTGGCAGGTTTTCATTTTGAAAGAAAAACCATAAATTGTTGGCTAATTCTCCATCTAGGTAATACTCAAGACAAATATCAGACCTGCTGCAATACCTTTTTTGCACTTTCGGGTCCTGCTTCATCAAAACGAAATCTGACGATACGAAAGTCTTTGCAGTAAATTATTAATTCTGTTGGGTTAAATTTAAGCTTTTGGTTGGGGCCGAGAACTTTCTGTTTCCTCTTTGTGTCATTTACTGCAAGAGAGAGATTTTTTTAAAATAAAAAGGAGACAGTTATGCATATAACAAATAACCATGTTATGAATGCTTAACAGAAACAAACTGATATACAACAGCTCCCATCTGAAGAGCACATTGACCTGCTTACTATTCATTTATTTCGATTTAATTAGAAAATGTATAAATAACTTGATAAAAGTTTTCCAAGTGGTGTACAAATAAAATTTTCCCTTGTGTTTCCTTCATTCAATTTAAACACTAACAACTGCACCTCTGGTCAGAATCTAACCCACCTCTGTACTACTGGCATAATTTGGCATAATTTGGAACTACTGGCCCAAGAGTCAACTATACATGCTGTCCAAACCACGTAACTCTTGCATGGTGTCCCTGTTGCTTTGGGTTACAAATGCTTCCTATTTCTTAGTTCAGTTTCATTTAGAAGGCATGCAAATCTGTTGACCAGAGATAGCAATTTCTAAAATGTCCTAGTACAGTATACAAGCCCCTTTTGCAAGCCTCTTAGAGACTTGTGCTAATAACACATGTCCTGCTGAGCTGAACGATGGTTACCGCCTGGAAAGAACACTAAGGTGTGGTGCATCCCCTATGCACACTTACATGGGTGTAAGCTGCATGGAACAGATCTAAATCAGGCTGCCTGCCACATTAACTGGCACACATATTTTCATAGAAAATGCAAGTTGGAAGGGACCCAAGGGTCATCTAGTCCAACCTTGTGCAATGCACGAATCTCAGCTAAAGCATCCATGACAGATGGCCACCCAACTTTTTTACATTTTTACCATTTTTACAGGCCACAGAGACATTCAAAAAGGACATTCTGACTATTCTTTTTTTTTTGCCAATTTATCTGTATTAGTTTTCCAATTTTTTTACAAATCAATATCAAATTACATAAAATTAAATACAATTTTTTGTGACTTCCCGCCCTACTTCCTGGATGCGTCCATAGCTTTCCCTGTTGCTGCATTATATTGCATATTTACTCTAATTCACATTCCATTTCTTAAAAATAATATTTTTTCATTATCCATCAGCTGTCAATTTATCAAATTTATAATATACAGTTAAATAAATTTATATTTATTTATTTAAATAATGTATATTTATTTAAATTTAATAAATGTATATTTATTTAACAATTAGATTTCCAATATCAACAAGTGAGGTCACTAATCCCTTTACATCTTGCATGTATAGAAACCTGGCATTATCCTTTCCCTAGTTGTTTGCCTTTACTTTCCAATTCCACAGTCCATTCAACCAAAGTCCTTTCCTGTCTGAATCCTCTTTGGTGTGTGGTATATTTTCACATCACAAAGCTTGTAATCTGTTGTTACTTATTGTGTTGAGTTCTCAAGGACAACCATCTGGCTCACCATCTGGCAATCCAACAATCATCATCACAAACATCAACCCAAAGAACCAAGGGAGATGTACTGTAATATCCATAACTGTCAACTTTTCCCTTTTCTTGCGAGGATTCCTATTCGGAATAAGGGAATTTCCCTTAAAAAAAGGGAAACGTTGACAGCTATGGTAATATCTTGAAAACTTTATAACCAGTACAAGCCCACCTCTCCCCTTTCACAGTCAAATCACAATTCTTGCACTCTACCATTAGGAATTCCAGATTACCTTTTAGGCAAATAAGATCTGCTCCTTCTTTGCAGGGTTAATTATATTCCAACAATCTTTGTCTATAGTAAATACACTCAGTTCCAACATCCCAAATTTCAATTGTGCCCTTGAGATCTTTGTTAACCAAAGCCATTTCCTGTCCAAATCATCACTGGTGTAAGATATATTTTCATATCACAAAGCTTGTGGTCTGTTATCAATTATTAAGTTGAGTTCTCAAGGACAACCATCTGGCCCACCATGCAGTCTAACAAAAATCATGACAGACATCGACCCATGAAGCCAAGTGGGGAGGGGGGTATACTGCAATATCTTGAAAACTTTAACAAATCCATGCCCACCTCTCCCCTTTCATGGTCAAATGCACAAATGGATCCACTCCTTCCTCACAGGTTTTAAATATGTTCCAACAATCCTTGTCCACAGCAAATGTGCTCAACTCCAGTGTCCTGAGATCCTTATTTACTTTAAATTCTTTATATTTCAACATTCTTAGGTGAAGTAGGTAGTGTTCTCTTGGTAAAGAAAAAGAAAGCAGATCGTCCCTTCCCCATTGCCATTACTCCACCAACTCACATACACAGTTTCTTTCCAACCAAATCCCAGATTTATTCTCTTTTACTAGAAGTTTACTAGACTTGTTAACTTTTATTCTATTAATCAAGAGGGCATAGATGCGACAAAAAGCTTGCAAACCTTAATACAAAATATAAACATCCACCCCTCTGCGCTTCCAGCTCTCATCTACGGCAGGAATTACCTTCTTCACAAAACCTCAGTCTTAACAGCCAAACTGTTTGCAGCTTACTGTTCTCATCTTCTCCATAGGGTGCCTTTAACTTATATCCAATTATCCGAATTGAAAAAGAAATCTGCCATTTGCCATGGCAGACATGGAGGCTGACTCTGTGATGAAAAGCTTAAGACCCAGCGCCTCACCCTCCCTGTCCCTCATGGAGGCAGGGAGCAGGCACAAATGGGGACCACAGATCCCCTGGAATTTTCTCGAAGCGTTTTGGGATGCATAGCACCTCAGTTATCCCCCTCCACTCCATCAAAGCTTCTCTTGAGCCCCAGAGAGCTGCCACCATAGTCGCTGGCAGAACTGGAAGCTGGGAATTCTGACTATTCTGTTTTAATTTCCTAAACATAAATGTACCCCCCTCCAAAGCAAAAAAATTCTATCTTTCATATCCAGCTCCTTAATACGTACCTGTCACTATCTGCTCAATGCATGTTAGAGCAACATCATGTTCTCCCAGGAGAAGGTTCCTGTAATGGAATTTCTGGAATACAGGAGATAAGTTCATGATAAATACCACAACTCACTTTATATTTTGGCCTAATAATTGTGAAGATGAAGTATGATGTATGCTTTGTTTGGTTAGATGCAATCATCTTGAGGGCTGAGGGTCAATATTTTATCGCCACTCAGCGTAACATTAAGCTAAAAATATTCTCCTGCAAACTACATTAGAGAAACCAAAGGAGGGGCAGCAATCAGTAGTAGCAGCAGCTCCCAACAAAATATTAAAAACACAATAAAACATCAAATATTAAAAACTTCCCTGAAGGGCTGCCTTCAGATGTCTTCTAAAAGTCATCGAGTTGTTTATCTCCTTGGCATCTGGTGGGAGGGTGTTTCACAGGGTGGACACCACAACTGAGAAGACCCTCTGCCTGGTTCGCTGTAACTTCACTTTTTGCAGTGGGCCAGAAGGCCCTCAAAGCTGGACCTCAGTGTCCAGGCTGAATGATGGGGGTGGAAACACTCCTTCAGGTATACAGGGCAGGGGCTGTTTAGGGCTTTAAAGGTCAGCATTAACACTTTGAATTGTGCTCATGCCTTTAGGACCAGCATTATATGGTCCTGGCAGCCACCCCCAGTCTAGCTGCTGCATTCTGGAGCAGTTGTAGTTTCCAAGTCACCTTCAAAGGTATCCCCAGAGCAAGTACCACTCTAGCAAGACAGGGTGCAGGTAGGTAGGGTCTTAGCCGTCATGCCAAGTGGAGCTGGTAGACAGCTGCCCTGGACACAGAATTAACCTGCACCAAAGAACATGGTGGTGTGCTTTTTTGGGGCAGTATCTCATTACTATCATCTGGCAGTTTTTAAATTTCATTTGGTCTAGTTCTTATTTGTATATTTTAAATGTCCATATAAGTATTTTCAGCATTTGGTAAGATATCTGCTGTCTCTTTCCTTCTTTTATTGATATTTTAATACTAGTTTTAACTTATACTGTGCAACTGTTCTGATAGTACTTTGGTACCTCGGGTTAAGTACTTAATTTGTTCTGGAGGTCCGTTCTTAACCTGAAACTGTTCTTAACCTGAAGCACCACTTTAGCTAATGGGGCCTCCCGCTGCTGCCGCACCGCTGGAGCACAATTTCTGTTCTCATCCTGAAGCAAAGTTCTTAACTTGAGGTACTATTTCTGGGTTAGCGAAGTCTGTAACCTGAAGCGTATGTAACCCGAGGTACCACTGTATTATGCTAGATATGTTTACTATTTGGAGTGCCCTAAAAGAACTTTAATTCATAATGCACTGATCATATTGTTGTGTACCTTTGGAATTTCATTCCAAACTATTCCTATTTTCTTGTAAACTAAAACAATAATCTAGATGTATGACAATAACATTCCCCGCTAAAATTTCAACACGCAAGTAGGCAAATCAGCAGGACCTGCATCATTATCAAACTCCAGTGTCTACTTTTAAGTTTATAAACAAAACAAGACTACATTTGCAAAATAAGCAATGTAAATTGTGATCAAAGCCCAGGCTTGCTGTTCTCTTCTAGGAAAATGCTCTTTGCACATGTGGCGATTCCCCACTTTGTACACACCAGACATCTATCTCCTCATGTAGGAAAATCAGGAAGCCCCAGTGCACACAAGAGCTGATGAATGGGAACCATTGTTGCTGAAGTGCATGGCAAGTTACATCAAATTTATTTTCATTCCAGCCACTTTGTTTTGCACCGATTTTCAAATTGAGAAATTGGTTTTGCACCATTTCTAATTCTTTAATAGCACTCTCATAATTTTTATTCAGATTTGTCATGGCCAATGGCTAGTGCAATAAAGTTATTTGGATTGGATTTTCAAATTCAAAGAGTGTGGGAAAGAACTGATGCTTTAGCAATTATTTATCTTTTCTTTTAAAAAACAGAGAGGGTGTGCCTCTCTTAAGATGCTGAGCACATGGTACACAGTAAGAGTTGGGACCACTGGCACTCTGGCTCTTCCCCTCCAAGGCCGCTTCACCTGGTAAGTAAGACTTCTATAACCTGGCCTACAGAGAGGCCTTTTAAGTAAACCAGAAGGGCTCTTCTTATGTTAGATACATTAATCTTTATTATTATCAGAGCAGAAGCATTCTTCATCAAGGTCAGGAACGAGCAGTGGCCCATCTCTCAACCAACACCACCCCTCATTGCCAGGCCAGGTCCCTGGTCTCCAGCTTCTAAGCCGAGCTATCTAAAGAAGCCAAGTATGCCTGAGTTTCAATCTTGTTATTTATTATGGCTATGACAGATCAACATGGCTATCCACCTGAATCTGGGTATCAATGGGCTACCTAGCTCTCAATGGATGTGCAAAGCCACCAAGGGAAGTGCCCAGTACTAGGAAGCAGATCCATCTGCTTCAGCCTTGTCTTTCCCTGGTATTGCACACTGCCGAGGCCATTAAAATGACAGCCAAGTAATTCAGAGATGTGCTGCAATTCCATGTTTGTTGTGGAACCCACAACTTTCTGTCCATTAAAGCAGCTGCAGCCAAGTCAAGGAAAGTGCATCACCAACAGTTTTGGCATGAGCTGGCAGTGGCCAGTAAGAAGAGGATGGATGTGAGGGTACTCCTTGAGGTCACTCATTTATCATATTTTTACTCACAGTTTTCCATCACAGAAGCCCTGTGGGGTAGGTTAGGCCAAGCAATTGCAACTTGTTCAAGACCACTTAGCAAGATTTACCGTTGGAAGCCAATATGAACCTTGGTCTCCATGCAAATTCAACACTCTATCCACTTTAACACACTGGGGTCAGGGTAAGCAACGTAATATTAAGCATTCAAAATCTGGCACATTAGGGCTGAATGAAGAATCCAGGAGAACATATGGTAGCTAACATCAGGAGGAGCCCAGGAGACCTATGTGTGGCTATTCTGCTGCTTCTCCCTGCCTACACACCCCTCCCAGCAAATGCAGGTAATTCTGAGCCAAGGTATTAAGCTTGGTTCAAGATAAGGAACCTGGAATGGTTTGGGAAATTAAAAGGCCTACTCCTGGAACGTGTATGGACTCAGGATTGCAAGTGTGCTGGCTACAGATGAGTCCTGCTACAGCAGACAATCTAAGCAGGAGGTCATGGGTACAAGGACCTTCACAATGGATGTCTGTCTCTTGGGTCCTCTTGTCAGCCAAGGGCAAGTGTATTATGGAACTCAATAGGCGTAGAAACCAACCTGAAGTGGCATAGGATCATCTGTAATGAAGGATATCTTGAAGTTGCTGCAAACCAGCTTTCCCCACAAATCATACTGACTTGTATTTGTTGCAATGCATTTCCTCACAAAGTTCACTTCATTCACCACAATTTCACCTTTAAAAAGGGGGGGAAAGCAGATTAAAAGAAGATTCACTCAATGTCTTAATCACAGCAACCTGCAAGGAGAAAATTCACACCCATGAATCTGTGATTTTACGAAGTAATTTTTTGGGGGGAGGGGGAATTAGTTGTGAAGCAAATACTGAATCTCCTTTGTGAGGAGCTTAAGCTTTACTTCAATGTACGTATTGCTTGGGTCATGTATTGCTTGGTCATAAAGAATTACTAAATAGAACCTATTAATCAAGTAATCCCAATCTGGAGAATAAAAAGCTTCATGATACCCAAGTATCTTTACACAGGTATGGGGGAACCTGTGGTCTTCCAGATGTTGGTCTCCAGCTACTATCAGCCCCAGTCAACGTATTCAATGGTCAGGGATGATGGGAAATGGAGTCCAGCAACACCTGGAAGGCCACAGGTTCCCCACCTCAATCCAATGCAAAATCTGAATTTCAAGATGTTCATCTCCAGTTACTAAAAACTATTTTTCTCTTCTATACACCAAGAGCCCTCCAAATATTTTAAACTGCATCCTCATCATGATATAAAATTTATTTAAATATATACATCATCTTTCAATGGCTGTTTACAATAGCTAATAAAAAAAGAAGAGGAGAGTTCCTATTCCTTTCACAACACTGTTCCTCTTAGGTCATTCTATAAAGCCTTTCAACCCTTGGATCATTCCATCCCTCTAGACAGTCACACCACTTTTAATGGGTTAATTAATCCAGATCTGCAGACTTCAATTTCAAAGAAGAGATCATCAGATTTGTTTAGAAATATACTGACAGATACAACCACAAGACCACAGCAGAGTATGCAGAGGTGGCAGTGAAAAGTACTCTGCATTGCTTGCTGCCAGACTAAAGAAAAATGGCTTTTGTGTCTATGCCCCCCACCCCAACAGAAAATGACAATAAGAGACTGGACAGGGGAGTATGGTCATCCTCCATCCTTATTTGCAAGGCTGGGGGAAGATGTTTGATCTTCTATTCAACCAGCAAGGCCAAAAAGGTAGAAAGAACATAGGTCACTTGTTGTCCTACTCTCCCATCCCAAACCTGCATGATCCAGCAAGCGATAAATTGACTTGCAATAACCACTCAAAAAACCCCACCAACCTTATTTATTTGCCAAATAATACAGTTCAGGAATTTGGCTTCACTAGGGAAAGGTAAGCAGCAAAGCTGGTATCTGCTCTCTATAATGTTTAAAGTGAGCAACAGTGCAGTTTCCTTCACTTTCCTTTTCCATGGCATAAGCTGTTCTGAGGGCAGAATGACAGTCACTTGTGTGTGACTTGAACAGCCAAAGAGCAGAAACAGGAGACGAGTGCCAAGAAATTAGAAAACTACCCACCCACCACATTACTGTGAAGACATTCACAGAGAGACATGCTCACTAATCCAGCCAGAGGATTACATCCAATTACATTCTCTCAGATTTGAGTTACATTTCAAATACTTTCAGAAAACACATGCAACAATTTGATTTCATTAAAAGATTCTGTTTAAAGTACACCCATGAACACTTTGCTAGCTGGCATCTTGCTCTAATGTCAACTTTCAAAATCTTATACATAGCTTATCCTCAGTTCACTGTATGAAAGTGAGCACTGTATTTTTCTGAAGTGAGGCAGCATAAAATGCTAAAACAGGAAATATCACTATGCAACAGCATGCTATAAAAAGATGGGGAGGGATGGGAGAGGTCAGAAGAAAAAGCAGAGAGTATGATTTTAGGTTCCAGAAACCAGCCCCAACACTTGGGCTTCCACCTCAATCAAGATTTATTTTATGTTGTCCACAGTTAAGGTTTGTTTGTTTTTATTTCAATATGGTATTTTCAATATATACTACCTCTCTCTCTCGTTTGAAGTAGAATAAAGTCACCTGCTGAACTGAACATAGCAACTTGTACAGATGGGAGGAATTTGCTGAACAAGGTCCCCAGATGTAGTGCAAATATGGCAAAGCAGATGAAAAACCTGGCACCCGTCGTGTGCTCTTGGGCTTGAAATTGAAGAGTAAACTACAGATATATAAATCCTATGCCTTCTCAACATGTTAACAGACAATAGAAAAATAGTATGAAAGCTTATTGTTTATTAAACAGCAGAGACATAACACTGAAAGTTACTTCACATAGTGAGCACTGAAGCCACGTAAATACTGTACTATGAATGACTGAATGGGACACCTTTAAAAAAACACACCTGATCGTCAACTGTTTGTTGGGGATCCCTTTCCCCATGTCTATGTTGCATTGTATTCTGATGTTTTAGGGTTCTGTGTTTAGGTTTTGTTGAGCAAATTGCCAGCAAAATTAACTGGTACCAAAAGCATTGTAATGTAATAAGTCTACTTAATGTGACAAAAACAGGAAGGAAGTCATGTAAGTATCAAAGAGAAATGCAACCAAGAAAGTCAAGTAGGAGCAAAACTCAACAGCTGCATCCTGAACATGACTTGTCATTCTGAAAGCTGGGCAAGATTTTCTTTTAGGCTGAAGGGTGGGTACCATATTGCTTGTCATATTAGCCGTATCTGTGCTTTTAAACACGTGCTTATGTTTGCTGTAAAACTTCAAAATCTTTGACTAAGAATTTTTTTTTTACTGCACATTTCTACAATTGGATTATTTCTGATGTAAAAGCTCATTTGTTCCAGTACACTTTAGGAATCCAGCACCAATGCATGCGCTCAGCTGACACGGGAAATGTCCTAGGATATATTCTGGGGAAAGGATATAGGCACGTGGAAAAATAAGAAGTTGTAGTATTGAATTGGAGGTGGGCCCTATGATGCCTTCCTGCCACTATCAGAAACGCAGATATCTAAGCTTATCTCCAAATGGCACCTTAAACCTAGGTTGCTGTCACCACAACGGAATGTTGAGGCACTCTTTTTGTGGTGGCATTTATATTTATTATTATCATCATCATCATCATCATCATCATTTCTATATTGCTCAATATTTTAAAGAAAACCATCTCAAAGCGGTTAACAACACATTAAAACATCAAATAAAACAATCCAGAATATATCAACCTGTATACCATTACTGCCACAAGACAGTTGTAGCTTGGGGGAGGGCGGGCAAAAAAGTAGTGAGGATCAGAAATAGTGGTTTGCTAAGGCCACCCATGAAGTGAAGTGACTTGAAGTAGGAACTTCCAGCACATCATCCCAGCAAATCATTCAGTCTTACCTAGGACACAGGACTTCTCTAGGGAAAACTCTCACAATTTCTCCCAGCAACTGGTGCACTTATGGTACTGCAGCAGCAGCAGCTTATAGCATATTTAGATGGATGTAGTTCTCAACCATATAATGGTTTACACATGCACTGTACATAAACAGATACCCAGAGAGCAAACTAGTATATTAAACTGAAAAAAACCTTGAATAAATTTGCTTTCTGACCTGATTATGGTCTCACAGCATTTTCAGTCACATAAGTTCTTACTGAAGAGTGGAATATTAAAACAGGATGGGTTTATTAGCATGCACCAAGCATTTATATGTAAATTTCCTCTAATCCATGTTTAAATGAATCTTCTGTTCAGCTTGCTCAGTAGCTATTTTAAAGTTCAAAAGAGAAAAACTGCATTCTGGTGAGATTCTATTTGTAAACTCATGAAGTGCTTTTTGAGAAACCTTTAAGGGAATTTTCGTGAGCTCTTACAATGTGTTAGTGGTCCCACAAGAGATCTAGAAGTAATTGCATGCTGTTATCTTAACTGTTGCCACCTGTTCAGATTTTATTCAATATCCTTCCCTGTGAATTAATGCTTAAGATGCTGACGCTAATGGCAGATTACATGGGGCTAGGCTCAAAATGAGGCAATTTTATAATTAAGAATGGAAACCAAAGTATTTGGACATTGCAGAAAGAGTAACAGTTTACATTGTTCAGTAGGATCTCTTGATATGATGACTTAAATTTTACAGGAAAGAGAGAGAAGTGATTAGGATGGAAGTGATAAGAATGAGCAAAAGAGTAGGGCTTTTCAGATTGGTCACAAAAATTACTTTTTAATATTATGCAATGTTGATCGCTGCCCCAGATAAGTCAATCATTTCCCACAACACACAACAAACCAGAAGACGTACATCAAGCAAACCCCTACTTTGAAGTTATAATGCCATACCCCACAAGGCTCCCCACTCCCCAACCTTTCCTCTTCCCTCATCCCCTCACCTGCCTAATGGATCAAAACAAGTCAGCAGCCTTTTCTTAGCGGCTCCCATAGTATGGGATTCCCTCCCAAGAGAGATTAGATTGGCTCCAAGTTTGTTATCCTTCTGCCGGCAAGCTAAGACCTTCCTGCTGCAGACGATGCTGATCACTTGGCTATCAGGCCAAACTGTTTTTCTAATGGGTCTTAATGTATTTTAACTACTGTTTTTAACTAGTTTTTTTAAATAAATAAAAACTTTGTATCTGATACTACTACTTTAAAATGTTGGAAGCCACCTTGAATTCCAACCTGGGAGAAATGTGGGATATTTTATTTTGTTTATTTATTAAATTTCTATACCACCCTTCACCCTAGGATCACAGCGCAATTTACAACATAAAACCCAAAAATACATAGCATAGTAACAAACAAAAACAATACCCCCCCACAGTTTAAAAGGCCACAGATTGTTTTATTAGCCAAATATACACATGATATAAACTCATGAAATAGTAAGATTAATAATCATTTTCTAAAATGTCCACTCAGAAAACCAGTTCAAAGCCCCAGAAGGCTCGCTATTACACACACCGTTCTTGATTTTCATGATCACCTTTGTTACCCTGAGCATGTCCTTTAACTCCTTGTCTCCTAAAGCTCTGATCTACATTTGGTTGTGCCAAGTAAGAGCTTGTTCCAGCACAACCAAAGGCATGGCATACACTAACCTGGTCTGCTATTGACCATTCATTGGCTCAGATGAGAACAAATGCCCCTTTCCAAGCACTTGTAAATTAACCAACCATCATCTGCATGTCATTTAAGGTCAGGATCTCCACTATAAATATGCACAAAGAAGCTCTTGTGCATTACACTCAGTTCCAAATCCAGACCACAATTAGTTGCATAAAATATGTATGACTCCTCTCATCTGACTGAAGAAAGAGGTTCACAGGTTTAATAGTAGACAAAGGAAAAGAACCACAATAATCTGAAAATGGGTTCAGTTTCAGTCAAAACTTTTGTTATGGATATTTTCCGTATGTCTATAAAAATGAGTTATATCAAGTATACAATCAATAGGAACATGGGCATTCTCAGATAATTCAGTGATTTGTACTAGTCCAAGCTTAGTTTAGAGATGATAGCTCTTACCTATAATTTTACCCATCTATGCATAAATGCAACCTCCTCTAACAGAGCCTGCATAAAAGTTTTAAGCGTAAGGGGTAGAATGTTAGCACATGAATCATTCCTAACTCAGAACAACCAAAGCAGTCATTGAACTTCCTGCACTGAACCACAAATGTAAGAAATTATTTTAGTGCTTAATATAGAACTAGACACATGCCATACCAATGCTTCCGAAACTAAACTCTCCTTTAAATGCAAGTGTTTTATTATAAATGTAAAAAATAATAATAATCACAGAAACCAGGTTTGGGGTAGTTGGAAATATAGCATAACTCAACTGTATACATACTTCTAGAATACTGTGATTTGTATTTGATGATGCATCTAGCAACTGATGGGAAAGGAATATAAAAAGAGAGAACGTTCTAAATCTGTGCTTTTTAAAAACATACAACCCACAAAAACACTACCAAAAACTTACAGCAGTACAACTCCAACTTGGCTTAAAATTTCATGTTTTGGGGTTCAGTGTTTAACGTACAGGAATCCACACTGTTGTTATGAATCTAGCACTACCATCTTGACAATGTGGGAAGAAAAGAGGGGTGAGAGAACAGTAAATAAAGGACATTTCGTTGAACCCGCCCACACAACAGAAGGAAGTAGAGTGTGCGAAGAAAGGGTAACAAAAGATGAACATTTATTATCTGAATTTACAAAATGTTGCCTATCAAGACATTCTAACCAATTAACTAAACTACATACATCAGTTGGTTCTGCCCAATTACATTAGCTCTTTGGGAGCAGGAGAACAGAGCATGTTAAATAGGGACAGTGACTAACTCACTTCTGATCAGAACAGTAATACAAGCAAGCAGGGTGCAACTAAACTTGCTGAAGTGTGTCAGCAGCAGAGTTTACACCTTTTCAAGATGTTAGTAAGGACAGCTGCAGAGTTCTGATAAAATGGGCAAATTTCAGAACATTCATAGATAGAAAGTTAACGAAGTTTATTCTTCAAATATTCTGATTTAGAGATAGAGAACTAAGCATAGAATAAGTAATGGAATGTAGCTAGGACGAAATTAGAAGATCTAGCAGGGAACAATGCTACCTGCCTGCATCCTGAATTAGCTGGTTAACTATGCATTCTGTACACTGGTTGTGAAAGATGAAACATGAAAAATAACTGAGGCCTCTTTTTGGCCAAAGTTTGTTAGGACTTTAGCAATAGCTTTCCCATGGAAATGCTACCCTAAATTTCTGCAGAATTCAATAGAAACCTGTGTTGTTACAGTCACAGTCAATATGCCTATTTCACTTCTATGCTGTCAGCAATATCAACTCACTGGAGGGTAAGCTCCTACTAACGATGACCAATTAAGTCTCATAACTACCGGTACTTCCTACAACTGGAGGGAAATCCCAAACTTACACTGTATAATTTGCTGTCTGGAAAGTGAGGAGAAAATGGGGCTTAAGCATTAAAAACCTTTCTCATTGCTATGACATTCTTTCTAGTACAGACAAAAATGAAACTTGATCCTTGGGTGTGGTGGGCCAGTTATATCTGACCGACCCCTTCTGGGCCAAATTTGAAAAATTCACCCACCCACCAAGCACTTGACATTACAGGCAACCCCCAATTTGTGTGGGTGTTGCGTTCTGGGTAACTGCATGCTCCGCTCCACACAGCCACTGTTCTGCACCCTTTTCTGGCCACTTCTGTGTCACCGCAATGTTTGTGTGCAGAGTTGCAAGTCAATTGGACACAAGTAAATTGCTTGTTGCCTGTAAAGGTAAAAGGTAAATGACCCCTGAACCAAAGGTGACTATGGGGTTGCAGAGCTCATTTCGCTTCAGGCCAAGGGAGCCAGCGTTTGTCCAGACAGCTTTCCGAAGCTTCAAGGAGGCTTTGCTCTAGGAACACAAAGGGGTTTGAAGTGAAACCTCTGCTAAAATTGAATTTTTCTCCTCCACTGCAGCTGGTTTCACTGCACACTCCTTCAAGATCCTGGAGCAAGGTAAGTTGCATTGCCCATAGGGGGGGGGGAGAGAGAACGTGCCATGCTCCAACAAGGAAGGGCCTAACAGGCCAACCTGGGATTCAAGGAGGGCCAATGTTACATGCCCACAAGCTGGAGGTTCCCCTACCCCTGTTGCAGCTGCATTCAACAGGATAGAGAACTATCGCACAGAGGTGGAGCTCCTTTTTTCTCCTCTAACAGGGAAGTAAGACACTGTTGTACTCTGGACGCACTCCCACTATACAGAGAATGCAAAATATTCACTATATATCCTAACAGTATATCAATCTTCAGTCCCCCCACACTTAAATTCTCTATTTTCTGATGTGACATTCTAATTCCTCTTTAGTCAGACTGTCCTTTGCAGAATCAGCTGGCCTCAATAATGACTCATTCTTCAGCCCACATCAGCAACTGCCTCCCATGTTGCTTGCAGTTTTAGAATGCTTCACAAAAATATTCCATGGGTCAAAGCTTCAGTGAAAACACACACCGAAAGTTATGCTGTTATTTTAATTGGAAAACTGAATTCTGATAACTTGGATCTGAGGCACTTTTAAGCTTGTAAGCTAACAGAGGGAGTTGCTTTATCTGTTTGCAATGTATGCTTAAATAATCTGGGAGCAGCTCCCAGGGGGAGGGGGGCAGTGTGCCGCCTCCTGTATGATATTTATTTATGTTCTCTGCAGATCATGACCCGGCAACTATTCCTACCCTGCAAGTAGGTTGAAACAGCAAGTCTGTTGCCAAGTGTGGAGAAATCTCAAATACCAATAAATCATGAAGTGTGGAAAACTAAGCTTTGTGCAACGACTATGGTAGAATGCAGTTGAGCTGTGTGCAGGACAAGCCAGCATCTCTCTGTGCTTCTGACCGATAAAAGAAAGACCCATTGGGCTGTAAACCAAAGTTCAGCACATAATTAGTCAAATTAAGAGACCATAGTTACTTTAGATTACTATACCCACAGATGGGGCACTGCCAGTTATCTTTTACAGATTTAATAGTTACATGTTTTATACAGAGTTTTAGACAATTCAGTGGCGGTCCTGGACTGAGTGCATGTCACTGGTGCTGTACAGAGAACATAGGAACAACATCATAGGAAGCTGCCTTCAACTGAAGCAGACTACTGGTCCATCTAGCTCAGTATTGTTCAAAATGACAGGCAGCTGCTCTCTACAGTTTCAGAAAGGATGCATTTCCAGCCCTTTCTGCAGATTGAACCTAGGACCATTTGCATACAGGTGCTCTACCATGAATTTCTGGCCCCTTCCCACACAATACATGAGCAACAAACACGGACCATTACTCAAGTGCTGGATGCTGAGCTCTCTTCACCCTAAAGCCCAAGTAAAAAGGAAAATCCACGCTTGGAGGCAAGCTTCATCACTTGCTTTATCAGCACCCAAGTGTGGCAATCAGTTATTGCTTAATCTCACATTAAATTATAGGACTGGAGAAAAAGTGGAGTTTCACAGTGAGCCTTCTGGGAAATAAATATTCATCTACTCCACATGATAGCAACTGTTAAAAATGTAGGCTGTGTATGGCCGGGGGTGGAAAGAGACCAAGTAGGCAGCCTTCATCTGCACCCCACTTCCCAGTTTGCTTTTTAGGGAAAAGGTTGATCTATTTTTCTCCTCCTCATCCCCTCCGCCCTTCTTGGCTTGCCATCTACCCTTCATCTCTCCTTTCTTTCTTAATGCTGGGGGTGGGAGGGAGCCCCCCAAGCAGTCCCATTCAATATGCTTATTTTTGTGCATCATTATCTTGTGTGGGGCTTACTTCCAAGCAAATGCACCCTGTACTGGCTCATGGGACACATGCCTCCGTTCCAAGTACAGTGGGGTCGGAAGGCACATGCACGTGTAGGGGTGGGCAGGGCTCTTAGGGCTGGTATCTGGTTTTTAACCAATGAACTGCTGGAACTGGAAAGGAATCCTGGAGTGGAAAGAGACAGAGACAGAGAGAGAGAAGGCTTAGGCAGCAGAGAGTGAGTTGAGAGTGTTGCACAGATGCTGCTAGGAAGGCGGCCATCTTGGCCTCTCTCAGTGCTGTTTGCAGCTTGGCTTGGTGTCCTGTGTGACACAGGTGGGGTGAGCAGGAGGGAAGAGGTGGGGAGAGTTTCAGTGGGAAGAGGATGCAGAGGGAGGAGTTTCTAACAGGAGTCCCTCTGCCTGCTCGGTGTAAGTCACCCCTCCCTGAGCTTGCTCCTGGCCCACATGTCGGCCGCCTTCTAGTGGGAGCCAAAGGGGCGCCTGGGCAAGTTCAACATGCAGAGCTCCTCAGTCTACTTGGCTCTCCTTCTGGTGGTGGGTGTGCACTTCAGCCTTTCATACCAAGGTAGGGAGCAGAGAAGGGTCAGAAGCAAAGGGGAGAGATGGGGGCAGCAGTGGCGGCGGGGCAGGCATGTCAGCTATCTTATGTGGAAGGGGGGTTCCTTGGAAACCACATGCGGGGAGGCGGCACCTCTGTGTCTGTGCAACATGCCTTTGAGGAAAGGGACGCTGAGGCAACCTGGCCAAAAGTTATGCCAAAGGTGGGAAAGCAGTGACAGGGGGCAGGGCTGACCTTTTGCTCTCTTGTGAGGGACACACCAAAATAAAGGAGAATATAGTGTGCCCGTCATGGCTTTGCAATTATGTAGCACAAGACACGTCCTTTCAGAAAGAGAAAAGTAGTCCTGGGGCAAGGAGAGGCGTTAGTACAGTTGTACCTCGGGTTACAGACACTTCAGGTTACGTGTCTTCGGGTTGCGCACCACGCCGAACCCGGAAGTACCGGAACAGGTTACTTCCAGGTTTCAGCGCTCGCGCAGAAACACTAAATCACAATTTGTGCATGCGCAGAAGTGCCAAATTGCGACCTGCAGGTTGCGAACGTGCCTCCCACACAGATCACGTTTGCAACCCGAGGTTCCACTGTACTTGATGGATGTGAAGGAAGGTGGGAAGGCTTTAAGCAAAAAACTTGAGCATATTGGCTCCCCAGTCCATGGTAAGCTTGTGGTCCAAACTGGAGGGCCACAATAAATAAACAAATCTTATTATTATAACATTTTATTTATTTATTAAAAATAAGTCTTCTAGTTTTGCATCTACCAAAGGTTTTAACACCAAAGGTATTAAAGAAGGTTGCATCCTTGTCCCACATTTAATCAACTTATTCTTAAAAGATATGAGCCATCACCTACTCCCTGTCAAAGGCTACCCCCCATGTTAAGATCTAAAGCAGTTACTACACTTCTATACACAGATGACACTGCCCTTCTCTCTTTCACCAGAGTTGGGCTTTAAAGGTACCGTATTTTTCGCTCTATAAGACCATAAGACGCACCTAGTTTTTGGAGGAGGAAAACAAGAAAAAAAATATTCTGAATCTCAGAAGCCAGAACAGCAAGAGGGATCACTGTTCTGGCTTCTGTGATAGCTGCGCAGCCTGCATTCGCTCCATAAGACGCACACACATTTCCCCTTACTTTTTAGGAGGGAAAAAGTGAGTCTTACGGTACTTAAATACGGTACTTAAAAGTATTCTACCAATACTGTCAAGGAAACCATCTAGCGATCAATTATACAAAATCTAAGGTTCTGGTATTTTCAAAGAGCTGATGCGCATTTAAATATGGTGTATTGTTGATCAAGAAATCGAACAAGTAAAAAGTTAGAACTCAAACAAGAGCAAAATGTTTTAAGTACGTAGGAGTCTTCCATTACAATATAAAATGGGTGACCCATCCTAAAAGGATAACAAACTCAGCTAAGTGTTCAGCAGCACAAATTAAATGATTGTAATCAGAATGTGCCTGCAGTGGTTAGGGCCTATAGTGCAAAAATAGTGGCTAGTAACTTTGCATACATGGCTAAGATTCAATAAGACCCCAACTGGGCTGTTCCCCTTGATGCTGGTTGATAATTCTCAAACAAAATGGTGGAAGAGAATCACAAGAAAACTGAGTTTATATGGCCTTTCTCCAGAATATCTTTTAAGTTGAGATTAAAAAGGAAGGGCTAGAAGTACCTTATTTTTCGCACATAGCTTTTAGAAGGGGAAAGCAAGAGGAAAAAAAAATTCTGCGCAGAGCATGTAAGCTTTAAAGCAAGCAAAGCGAGAACTGCTTACATTGCTTCTCTCCCACTTTGCGCATCTCTCACTTTGCTTGCCCATCCCTCCTCCCACCTCGCCGTGAAAGAGGAGGAGATACCGGGACAGGTTCTTTGCTTGCTTTACAGTGAGGTGGGAGAGGGATGGGCAAGCAAAGTGACAGCTGTGCAACACGGGACAGAAGCCATGTAAGCAGTTCTTGCTTTGCTTGCTCCCATCCGTCCCTCCTCCCGCTTTACTGTGAAGCCAACGGAGCAAGAGCGTTAACTGCGCAGTGCCTCTTGCTCTGTTGGCTTCCCAGCAAAGCGGGATGAGGGACAGAAGGGAGCCCTTACACAGAGCCCCTTCCATCCCTCATCCCGCTGTGCTGAGAAGCCAGCCGAGCCAAGAGCAAAAGCTGTGCAGCGGCTCTTGCTCTGCTGGCTTCACAGCGAGCGACAGACAGGAGCCATGGCTCTGGCTGCGGAGGCATCCCTTAGCTCGTGACTGCAGCTGTAGCCGAGGGATCCCTCTGCCGCCCAGTGCATTCGCTCCATAAGATGCACAGACATTTTCCCTTACTTTTTAGAAGGAAAAAAGTGTGTCTTATGGAGCAAAAAATACAGTATAATTAAAGAACGAATCTGGGATATAGAATACCAAAATGATCTTAACCAATCCTCTAAAATTTATAAATCCTTACATAGAAAGATCACGCCCAGCAAATTACTTAAGTGCCCTAAAAGGTAAAGGTAAAGGGACCCCTGACCATTAGGTCCAGTCGTGACCGACTCTGGGGTTGCGGCGCTCATCTCGCTTTACTGGCAGAGGGAGCCGGCGTACAGCTTCCGGGTCATGTAACCAGCATGATTAAGCCGCTTCTGGCAAACCAGAGCAGCGCATGGAAACGCCATTTACCTTCCTGCCGGAGCGGTACCTATTTATCTACTTGCACTTTGAAGTGCTTTCGAACTGCTAGGTGGCCAGGAGCAGGGACCGAGCAACAGGAGCTCACCCCGTTGCGGGGATTCGAACCGCCAACCTTCTGATCAGCAAGTCCTAGGCTCTGTGGTTTAACCCACAGCGCCACCCACGTCCCCACTTAAGTGCCCTGGACAACCCTAAACATCATTGGGCATTTTCCAGAGCCCATTTTAACGTTCTCCCTTCAGCATTATTAGAGAGCAGATATCACAGCATCCCAACTGAACAGAGATTATGCCAATGCAACTCTGATGCGATTGAATCCATTGTGCATGTTCTTCTATACTGCCCTTTGTATCATGATACCTGAAGAGAGATAATTTTGCCATTATTAAGGAAATTACCTGGCCGCTCTGAAGAAACCTATATTAAATACCTTCTTGCCGACAACTATCTGAATATCACCAGGCCTGTCACAAAATTCTGTTTTATGGCAACAAGGACAAGACAGTGTGGTGACAGTGATGGCTGACGAATGAACACTGATTTTAAACTTTGGAATACAGATTTTAGTTGAAGGAATGTTATTTTTTAACATAAATAAGTTTATAGGGAATTTTTAATTAAATCCGCCACTTGATGCTGATGAAGCGTACGTTGCTGCTGTTAATTTTGCTGTCTGGTCTTTGACCACAATAAAGATTGATTGATCAATTTCTAAAACAAATAGGGATTGCAATAGATTCTCTCCTCTTACTGGATGAGTTACATATTTGCTCTCTCATTAAGCAGAGGCTGTTAGATCATGAATTTCAAAGACTATCCTATTCAGCCCTCTGTATGCACATCTGCTTACTTAGGTTTGCAGCCTTGTCATGGAAAGATACCCAACTACTTTTATAATTTAGCTACCCCTTTGTATCATAAAGCTTTTTTGTTAACCCATTCAAACACATCCCCCTCATTTGTACTGTCTGGAATGTTCCAAAAAATACCCTTCCAGAATAGACTTTGCTCTTGTGGTATGAATACACCAGATGCAATATACCATATAATTTTGGGTTGCCCTCTCTTCAACATTATTCAGGATATTTAGCCAAGATTTTTAAAGTCAAATTTAAAACTACTTGATTTTACTTTATGGTGGCTACTGAGTCTTTTACACATCTTATATGTTTAGTATGTCTGGATTACCAATGTTTCATGCATGATTTCTCTCTCTTATGATTTTATTGTCTAAATTATGCCAATAAAGGCTGAATGAATGAATGAAGCAAACAAATAAAAAGTATTGCCAGTTTCTAACACCGAGTAGAACTGGATCAGATGTCAGAATTAGGAAGAGGCATCTTAAAGATTGACAAACATGTTCCTGCATATACCCATATGGGCCCCAAAACACTGCAACAGATAGAATGCTTACCTGGCAAAAGAACTGGCTCCAATTTTTTAAGTCTAGGCTCCGGTGCTATCTTCTCTTCAGTCTGAAACACAATAGTGATAAAAGAGAGATGTAATATACATGAACTAATCTAAATTGCTTGTAGAATCCTAGTCTGAAATACATATTCTAACCTAACCCATAGCTCGCTCTCGTGATGTGTGTGTGTGTGTATGCGCGCAGAAAGAAGAAAAGAAAAGAAAAGAAAAGAAAAGGACCAAGAGAGACAGCAAATGAAGAGAAGGAGAGAGGATATTAAAGAAAGATAAAAGAAACATAGGTAGCCGCCCTTAGCTCTCAATTTGAGACTGTTATGGCACAGACATAACTGTCTGTAGCAAATGCAGTGCATGACCACTGCTGTATAAACATTATGCTTTCAACAAGGCTGGCAACTATCTGCAGTATCAGAACAACTGGCTTCTATGCAAGTGGGTTAATAGGGGAAGTCTTATCAACTTTGCATGTGCACCTGTGAGAAACCCTCCTGGACACCTTGTTGCAGCATAAAGCATGCCATGAAGCTTTGAAAAAACTTCCTCAGGCATCAGAAGAGGGTGTAAGCCCTTTGGAACAGCCTCACTTTTACTGGGATTTTTTGGCATGCTGTTTTTAGTCACATGTTCTATTTCTTTGCATTTTCTTCCACAGTTCTTACAAGGGTTTTAAAAAATCTATCTTTTAAAAAAGCTTAATTCCAAAACTGAGTAAAAATCTAAGCAAATGCATTTCAATTGTGCTTGGCCAAAAGGAAAACAAATCATTTTGATTAGCAACACGATGGAGAAAAGAAGAAGCTTTATGTCAAGAAGTGGGACACAGATTTTTTTTTTAAAAAAAAGTAATTACGATGGTTAACCTTGATCCAGGAATGGATAATTGGCAGATTTCACAATTTTTTGTGATATCAGGGGAGAGTTTTCATCAGAAGCTCTGCCACAGCAACATGGTGTTGTCACATGGTGCAAAATTAGAAACAATATTCCACAAGATCTATCATCTGCCAAGAAGAGATGGCATCATGAGAGTGAGTTCCAGGGAATGTCATTGCTATGTGTACCATACAATTCAGAGGCAGTATGCAACTGAATGCCATTTGCGAGGAAACAATAGAAAAAGGGGGCTATTGCCTTCATGCTCTTGGGGGGGGGGCGCTTCCCAGATCATCTGGTTGAACTAAGTTGAACTACATTGGCCTTTTGTCTGATGCAACAGAACTCAAGTGACAGAGGCAGATGAAGCACACTGCCAGGGCCCTCTCTATGCGGTGGAAGCAAGGGAGGTAACATCCCCTCCCTGTTGAAGACTTTTGTTCACTCCTAAGGGTGGGAAAGTAGGTAAGCAGGTTTGACAGACATATGTGTCAGCTTTTCTTTTTCCATTCATTTTCTGGTTGTGTCCATCCATGCATGTATGAAACAGGACTCACCCTATTTAAAAATGAGCAACCCCCACTCCAAGGGTTTTTACTTTACTCACCAATTTATCTGATGTCACAGTGAAAAAATAGTAACTTCTCCCAACCCTTTAATTTCACTAACCAACACCTTTTTGCTTCAGGAAGTCAACTTTTAAGTTTAATGGCAAATCATTTTTGAAAGCAGGGTATTTCACATTTACTAAAAAGCTCCTGTTTAAAATACAGTTTAAATTGGCTGTATCAGAGTTAGATGTACCAAAAAAATTAACCTCAGATCTCTCAGTAACATGAATCAAGTAGCATTTTAACTTTAATCCTTCAAACAGGAATTTTAAAAAGAAAAAAAATCAGGCTAGTTTTTTATATAATAAAAAATAAGAAAAATAGTAATAATAATAATTACTATTATTACTATTATTATTACTATTATTATTATTATTACTATTATTATTATTATTACTATTATTATTATTATTACTCAGCAGCCAATCTGACTGGGTTGCCCCAGCCCCTCCCAACAAAAAAAATAGTAAAAGCACAATACAACATCACACTAAAGACTTCCCTGAACAGACTTCCCTGCTTTCAGATGTCTTTTAAAAATCACATAGCTGTTTATCTGTTTGACATCTAGTGGGAAGACGGGAGCAACTACCAAAAAAGCCTTCTGCCTGGTTCAATGTATCCTCACCTCTCACTTCAGAGCTGGATCTCAGTGTCCAGGCTGAAGTTCGTTTAACAAACAGCTAAATTTAAAAATAAGCAAGAAATACAAGATACAATCAATGTTATACTCAAATTGTTGTACTTTGAAGGCAATTTAAAGTAGCTCCAGGGTTGATATTTTTTGTCTTGCTAGAGGTTGTGCCTTCAGCACTTAACAGGTGCAGGTTTTATTCAACTTCAAGATACTGTGATATAAAATTGTGTACCTGTTGAGCTATTAACAGCAAGTAGTTGCTAACAGCAAAGAATGTCTAATGATAAAAAGGTGATTAAAGTAATCCTTATAAACTTATTAGCCATTCCTCCAAGTTATGAACTGGACATTTAAAAGCAGGGATAGTCTGAGGAGAGCCAGACAACTCTATTTCTTGTTGTAACACTGAAATACAAATTTTGCCAAGTATATAAGAAGGCCACATATTTAAACTAGTTGCCAAATAATGGGGAAAGGGAAGTATGCAAAGAGGCATTATACACAAAAAGAGGTGACAAAGAATCATAGAAGTGTAGAGCTGCAAGGTACCCCAAGGGTCATCCAGTCCAACCCCCTGCAATACAGGAATCTCAGCTAAAGCATCCATGACAGATGGCCATCCAACGTCTGCTTAAAAACTTCCAAGGAAGGAGAGTCCACAACCTCCCTCGGGAATCTGTTCCACTGTCAAACAGCTCTTAACTAACAGAATTTGCCCCCATAGATTTAGTTGGAATCTCCTTTCTTGCAACTTTAAGCCATTGGTTTGGGCCCTACCCTCCAGAGCAGAAGAAAACAAGCTTGTTCCCACTTCCATGTGACAGCCCTTGAGATATCTGAAGATGGCTATTGTATCTCCTCTCAGTCTCCTCTTTTCCAGGCTAAACACACCCAGCTCCTTCAAACTTTCCTCATATCGCTTAGTTTCCAGACCCTTGATTATCTTGGTCACCCTCCTCTGCACATGTTTGAGCTTGTCAATATCCTTCTTAAATTGTGGTGCCCGGAATTGGACACAGTATTCCAGGTGTGGTCTGACCAAGGCAGAGTAGAGTGGTACTATTACTTACCTTGTTCTGGACACTATAATTCTGTTTATGCAGTCTAGAACAGCATTAGCTTTTTTGCTGCTGCATCACACTGCAGTCCACCAAGACCCCTAGATACTTTTCACATGTACTACTAACAAGGCAGGTGTCTCCCATCTTATATTTGCGCAGCTGGTTCTTCCTGCCCAAGAGCTGAACCTGACATTTGTTCCTATTGAAATTTATTTTGTTAGTGTCACCTCTCCAATCTGTTAGGGTCATTCTGAATCCTGATTCTGTCTTCTGTGGCATTAGCTCCCCCATCCCAATTTGATGTCATCTGAAAATTTGATGAACATCCCCTCAATTCCTTCATTCAAGTCGTTTATAAACCTTTCCGGGAATTGATGTCAAGCTCACTAGTCAATAGTTACTGGGTCTCCCCACGCCCTTTTGAAGATAGGGACAACACCTCCAGTCTGCAGGGACATCACTTCTTTTCCAAGAATTCTCAAAGATTAAAGTCTGTGTTCATTCTGAGCTTCAGTCTGCCTGACCTTCACCCTGAAACTGTTGGCTCCTTGTCAGTGCTCAAAATCAGCCAGACACCATTTTGCACCTGGCTATCGGCCACTTGCAACCAAGTGAAGATGCCTGGGTGCCAGGATGGCACCTGACATCTCTACCATCTGGAGGTGCATGTCTAGGGATCATTGGATCTTGACTGTTTTCACACCATATCCTGTAGAATTCTATCTGTTATATTTTACATGCACAATCAGAATGAATTTCATGAACCAAAATGCTTTTTCTGTAAAGCCTGAGCAAAAGCAGTGAACAACATTATAGTCAATTGTTGTAGCTTATCTTCACTTACCCCACCCCACGGCCCTGCTCAAAGTTGTGAAGAATATTCTTACATTGTGAATGGGATTGTCACCATTAAGAAAAAGAGGTGGGAATATATGTGGACTGTCCCTGGATAAAGTGATTTTTCTTCTTTCAGTTCTCAAAGTTCTTAACCTAGTTCAAGGTTGTCACCTGAACTAGCCAGATGTTTAACTGATAATCAAGCACAGCCAGTGCATTATTTGAAAAACAAGACTTTAGAGCCGTCCTGCTCAAAAATTGCAACTAGACATTCCATTTTGGCGACTGTAACCTTGGTTTAAGGAGCCATTTGGCTGCTGTCCCATTTCACTAACTACAGGAGAAAATTGGAGCTTTACAGAAAAGAAAGAAGTTAGTTGTGAGTTTTAAGGAATGTGTTATTCTGTCACTTTCATGGGGATGATACAGAACCAACAAGCCTATTTTTCTTCCAAATTTGGCATAATTTTAGTACTGTATTGCTTGAAATAAGAGTTTTCCATCAAGCTCTGTATATATTTCAGAAACATTGTATTTAAAATTATTAGCACAATTGTTCTTAGAATCTCCACAGCCCACTTTCTGGGAAAGTGGGACTGTGATACAGTGGTACTTCGGTTTAAGAACAGTCCAGTTTAAGAACGATTTGGTTTACGAACTCTGTAAAACCGCAAATAGTGTCTTGGTCTGAGAACTTTACCTCTGTCTCAGAATGGAATCCGAACGGTGGAAGGGCACCGGCGGCGGGAGGCCTCATCAGGGAAAGTGTGCCTTGGTTTAAGAATGGTTTCAGTTTAAGAACGGACTTCTGGAATGGATTAAGTTTGTAAACCGAGGTACCACTGTACTTTGATCCTTCAGGCTATTAACAAACAAGCCCACACAGACTGAACACAATGGAGCTTGCTTCTGAGGAAACAGTAAAACAAACTGCATGCCTCACACACTGCCATTCTATGCATGCCTATACAGACTCAAACCCCAATGGGGCTTATTCCAAGAAGAGGTATGTGTAGGATAGCATTCTTTACCAGGGCATAAGAAAGCAATCCTAAACATGTTAACGCAAAAGTCAATCCCACAAGACTGCAAGCTGGTTTCCTAGACACACTTTCCTCAAAAGTTAAGTTGCACTAAGGGAAAGGAGGGAAGAGGGCTCATTGCAAAGTAATGCATTAGGACTGCAAGGTGACAGCCCTGCTCCAGCGCATGTTTCCCCAGAAATCAGCCCATGGAGTTGACTTGCTGCCAAGGAAGCTTCCATACGTGCAGAGAATGCTGCTGCACTGGAGCACCTGCTACATTTCAGAGTGCGGATGTTTAGCTAAGCAACTTCTGCAATAATCAGTTTATTATTATTATTAATTATTATTATTAAACTTGTGCATTACTCAGTGTTTCCTCAAGTCCCACCAAGCAAAGACAGGAGCGGGTGACTTCAGCTGTAAAAAACCAAACCAAACCAAATCATGATACCCACTGAAACAAGTCCCACTGAGCTCAGTGCGAATTGCACTTATTGTTATTATTTATTTCCCATCCTCCACTCTAAGGTCCCAGGGCGAGCGACGACATCGAAACACGCGCATGCATGAATCTAGGCTTCCTATTATCATCGCTGTTATTTCTTGGATTTGCAGACGGTCCGTCATCCGCTTAGGACCCCCCCTGCAAGACACAGGGGCTGCGCTGCTCTATTACGGGGCCCACGGAGGTGGCGGGGCGCCCTCGCTCCTGCCCCAGACTCGCGGGGCAGCCCAGCGCGCAGCAGCAGCAGCAGCAGCAGCAGCAGGAGGGCGAGGGCGGCGGCGGCTCCCTCCAGCTCAAGCCGGAGCTCCGAAAGGGGCTTCCTCGCGCCTCAGACCCAAAGTGACTTCGGGGGGCGCGCGCGCCTTACCTGAGGCAAGAGGTAGGACTTGAAGGTGGCCTTGGGGGGCTTGAGAGGAAACATGACCGCGGCGGCGGCGGCGACTCCCGAGGCAGGCCGACCCCGCTCGCCCCTGGCGGGCTCCTTCTCCCTCGGCGCTCCGGGCTCGCCTCTTGGCCCCACCTCACGCCCGCGGCTACTACGCCAGAGAAGCCACGCCCCCGACGTCACGCGCTCGCGCTCCCTCCGCGGCCGTCGTCGCGTCGGCTGCCGCTGCTTGCTCCTCCCTCCCTCCTGACTCCGCCTCCGCCATCCTCACGCCGCTCTGAAGGTTACCAAGGCGGGAGTTAGGGGCTCCGGCGCCCCGCCCCGGAAGGGGAGGAGCCGCAGCCCATGGGGAAGGCCAATAGCACGAGCCAGGCGCCGCGGGGCGGGGCAGCCGCTTCTTCCTCTCCCCCCCCCGCCCTCCTCTCGCCTCTCGTCTCCCAGCAACGCTCGTGGTGGAAGGAGGGGGTGTCGGGCGGGGGGGGGGGCCGCTCCGCGAGAACGGGGCCTTCCCCCCCCCCGGGCTCGGCCCGCGGCCATTCCAGGAGGCGCCGCAAAAGGCGTGGGGGAGCCAGCCTGGCCGTTGGAGGGCTTCCTTTTCATTTTTAAAAAAATTAAAGGCAAACATTTATTGAAAAAACAATCGTGAGGTTTTTTCCTTTTCAATCAAGGCAAATATTGCTAAGGCACACATGCATTGCATTTATTTCATTTTTATAGGCAACCATTTATTGAATTAAATGGTCGTAAAAGACATTATTTTTATTCATCGAAGAAATTGAACCTTAACAAAATGCATTAAACATTTTAAATCCATAGATTATATGTTTTATTATTCCATAATTTAAGGGGGAAATGTATCCAGAAAATAAAGCAGGTTTCTGCCCCTTCCTGCCCTCCCCATTCCCAGCCTGGTGTGGGGGAGGGGGCCTTGAAAATGTCACTTGGGGCAGGGCTGCCTGCCAGCTCCCCTCTAGTCCGCTGCCTAGGGTTTATTTCGTAGCCAAGTCATGCTCCCATTGTTTTTTGATTGCGTTGAGGTGGTTTGTTGGATTCTGGGGCAGCATTCTGTATATTGTGGATACAGTGGAACCTCAGTTTTTGAACATAATCCGTTCTGGAAGTTCGTTCAACTTCCAAAATGTTCAAAAACCGAGGATCAACGGGCTGGCTGCAAAGTCAATGGAAAAAAATAAAAGATGTGCCTCAGGAGCTGTTCAACTTCCAGGGCGTGTTTGAAAACAGAAACATTCACTTCCAGGTTTTCGGCATTCGGCTTCCGAAACATTTGGCAGTCGAGACGTTCGAAAACCGAGGTTTGACTGCACCAGCCCCTTGCTGTGTCCCTCTGCTGTTAGGAGGAGATTTTCTGCGGTGGTCAAGGGCCAAGTGGCAGCTGATTTAACTGCTGGGTTGTCTTAAGAAGGCATGCAGTTGGTGGTGTGTTAGCCAGGGTATTTGGGTGTCCCCTAGTTTGTGTAAACCTGTTTAGCGTTGTGGGAATTTTCCTTTGTTTTGGAGGAATGGGTATGCTGTGATGGGGGTGTTTTTGAATATGTCTCTCTCACAGTGGACTCATTGTTTTATCTCATCCTCTAGAATGTATGGGATTATGTGGTGCACTTGGTTGGCAATGTAGTTCTATGCTGGGAATTCCCCATCTTCATTCTGAAGAAAGGAGGTACAGATATTTGGAGCTTATTCTTGGCTTTTTGTGCAAGAAAATAAACGAGTGTAGTTTTTTTCTACCATTTACAGAGTTGGGTTGGGGGAATCCAGATTGGGAAGGTTTGGAATAGGTAGGTTAATTTTGGAGAGTGATCATTTTGATCGCGGCTATTTTGTCTGAGAGGGTGAAGTTGGTGTTGTTCCATTTCCTGAAGTCTTTGTTAATTTCTCACCACAGGGGCTTGTAATTGTGGATGTATAGTTTGTTGAGGTTTTTGGTTATATGTATCCCTAAGTATCTGAATTTGGTGCAACAAAATTTTATCTTTGTGATGTTGGTGAATTTTCAAACCTTAGAGAAGCAAAATGAAACAAAATTCCCTTTACTACCTTTTTATTCATTTCTTTTATTACATTTATGTTTATTGAGGAAAGTGTCAAAATATGCCAAAAGTGTACTTTTGGCATATTAGACATTTATTTTCTTGAATTTCTTGAATTTCCTGGTATGTGTTGTTTTGGTAGTGTTAAGACAAATATTGGCTTCAAAAGCCGTGCACTTTCAGGTTGCTTATTGGTCAGTATGAACACAGCGGATAGCACAGAATTCATCCCTCTGTTTAACGGTTAACTGGAGGTCTCCTTGGATTAAACTTTGGCATATAGGCCACATTTCACCTTCACAGATGCACTTCGATTTCATCCTGTGTTTTCTCATTAAGAGTTTTTGTTTAACAGTTTTAAACACACAGCGGTAAATTATCCCTTTCCCAGTTTCTCCAACCTTTGCCCTTTTAGGCTTCAAACCTTTTTTTATTTTAGGGGAGAAAACTATCTCTGCAAGAATGCTGGCTGTTGTGATCCTCATTCCACAGAAAAGAATTACCAGAGCCTTTCCAGAGTAGCATTTTTCTTATGGCTGTACTTCACAAAGTGTGGGAGGGGACATGGCAGAAAACACAGGGTGGGTGTGCATGCCTGAGTGAGGGTAAGGCATTTTCTTCCTAGTTAAACTTAACTTGTGCTTAATAGTCAGTTCTACTACAGTGGTACCTCGGGTTACATATGCTTCAGGTTACATACGCTTCAGGTAACGGACTCCGCTAACCCAGAAATAGTACCTCGGATTAAGAACTTTGATTCAGGATAAGAACAGAAATCGTGCTCCGGCAGCGGGAGGCCCCATTAGCTAAAGTGGTGCTTCAGGTTAAGAACGGACCTCCGGAACGAATTAAGTACATAACCAGAGGTACCACTGTATTAAGCAGGTGAAGGCAATTACCTCAGGTGGCAGATGCTGTGGGTGGCAGCCACTACCCCTTGCTCCTTTAGTTCCTGTAAGCTAGCCTGCTGTGCTTAGGTACAGTGAATGAAGAACTCCCATCACCCCTGTTAAATTCTACCAGTTTGGCCAGATTCTGTATGTGCATTGGTGAGAGAGCAATGTCTTCCCTGCCACAATGGGAGCTTATGCCAGTGCAGCTTCTGTGCCCTCTCCTTCCTCCTTCCTCACCTATTTTTAGCCTGAAGCCTGGAGAACTTTGATATATTTTTCCATATACTCTTTTATCTTCCTTCCTTTCAACATCTAGTTAAGAAAACAAAGTGAGTTGTGATTTTCCATGACAAATTTTTAAAAACAAAATGTGAATTTATTAAGATGCTATTACATTTTAAAATACAGTCCTTACTTAATATATATTTTTTGTTTAAAATGCTTTACACAAAAATACAAAGATAAGAAAAGGTGTCATTTCAGAGAGTTCCATATTATTCTTGGATTAACTTGTATGATAATCATTTCAGTACTAGAAACAAAGGATAAAGGCTTAGTTAACACATCACTTCATAATGATGTTGCTGGATTTGGGGTTTTGTTTTGTTTGTTTTTTGCTGATGGAATACAGGCAAACAATGAAAGGCATCTGCATATTATATCAAATAGCATTACCAGACATGCAAAGCCAAATGATCATGTAATTGCACAAAACTGTTATGCAAAAGTAAACTGTGAAGGGCAATGCTACCAAATTGTATTCCATGTCATTGTTGTAATCATGACGTTGTAAACAACTTCTGGGATAATGCTTAAAAAGGAGTCTCAAAGAAAGCCTTTGCTTCAATATATCAGTGGGGCGTGGGTGTATGTATGTGAAGCCAGTTTCTGGATTCCATTGTGAGCACACTCTATAACAGCCTTCCCTGACCTGATACCCTCCAGTTGCTCTGATGGGTGTTGTAGTCCAAAACACCTGGAGGGCGCCAGGTTGGGGAAGGTTTCCCTGTCATGTGTCTGGGTTCCTATTTTTGTCTTTTTGCTTTTTCTGCCGGGGAAGAAGGGGCTTAAGATTGACTTGTCTCCTTAAGCCTAAGAGTTAGGGGAATCAAAATGCTAAGTGTAGGGAGGAGACACAGAGTGACCACCAATAAAAACCCCTTGGACTGTGGGAAAGAGGAGAGCCACTGAAATGGGATTCTACATACAAAGCAACTCAGGATCCAGCTGTAATACCTTTAAGTTTATTGTACATAATAGGACTACCAGGAGTTAAACATAAACGTTTGACCTCTAATCTGTGAAAAATTAACTTTTCCATCCCAATAGCTGAAATCCTCTTTTACTTAGGTAATGTGCTTAATGGTTTGATTAAAAAGAAAAAAACCTCCACCTTTGCAGGGGGGAAAGCAGCCTCCTGGAAAGAATAGGAAGAACTTCCGTTACTCATAATAGAATGCTATTCACAAAAGGAAATAAATTATCATATATTATTTAGTTGTAATGCTACAAAGCTAACCTTTGGATAAGTAACTGTGCCGTTCTGTGCTGAAGCTCAGGAGGCTACAGGATTCAGTGGCCACCGTGCTACGCCAGCAATATGCCCGTGTAGGAGCACATCCAACTCAGTCCCAGGGCACAACTTTGAGACTACAGGGTGCATATATGTGCACCTTTCATGGAAGCCTCCTGCAAGCTCTGCTAAGACAAATAAATAAAAATCGCGGTTGTTTTTTTTAAAAAAGTAAGGTTTTTAAATTTAAAAAAATAGATCAGATTTTCAAATTTTTTAATCTGATTTTAGTTGTTGTTTATTCATTGTTAAATGCTAAGTTTCTCTTAGAAATAACAATATGAATATGAAATAATCTAGATTTTAGCATGTTGGTTCTACAGTGTATGTGCAAATTGAATCAATGTCTCTAGCAGCTGTAGTAAATTAAAGGCTTTTATCCGTAAATGAAGAGTGCTTCCAGACAAGGGTTTATTGTGGGATTAGTGTTATCTTGCATGCACGTTTTTCTCAGCGTCCACATGAACATCATTGCCAACCCAGATTTCCCCACATTTAATCCAGATTTAGTCTTTCCACAAAAACATCCAGTAAGTTTTTAAAGAAGAAAAAACCACTTGCCAACTTCCCATTTGCTGTATCTGAATAAACAGGGGTCAGAGCTCAGTGGTGGAGCAGTTGCTTTGCATGTAGGAGGTCTTGGGTTCTATCTCCAGCATCTCCAGGTAAAGCTGGGAAAGACTCCCTGCCTGAAAACCTGGAAAGCTGCTGCCAGTCAGTGTAGACCATCCTGAGCTAGATGGTCTGGCTCGGTATGAAGCTTCATCTTCTTTTCCTCCTGTGTCATAAGGGTGCAGAGCTAGTTGTGAATAGATTGTGCATTTCTGGTGTGCGCAAAATGGAAATGCTTGCAAAAGCAGGTTTGTGGGGTACGTATCATCTGGTTCTCCAGCACACGATTCTGCACCTGCTGGTGTTTGTCACATTGGCACTGGGAGCTAGATGCAGGAGGGAGGGGAAAAGGAACACCCACCACTCCGTTTAAATTTCTCCCAATTCCCAGCATTTCTGTGGGAGATTCTGGCAATTGACTTGTAGACCAGGGTACAATGCAGCTGCTATTTCTTTTCTTGAGCAGGTCTCATAACTTTCACCTGCTTCTATTCATAAAGCAAGTTTCATTTCCTCTTTCGCTGCTTCTGCAGTCATTGAATACAAATGTCCCTTAAGCAAATCTTCAATTTTCTCCCTTAGAGTCTACCTATCCACCCTTACTGTAACTCAAAGATAGCACCACCCCCACCGCATTTGGAGTGCTCTGAAGCAGTCCCTTCCTATCAAATGTTCATTAACAGTTCTTCCACAAGGCAGCAGCACCTATGTGATGCTATCACTTAAGGCAATCACCTCTGTTCGACATAATTTGATCAGGAAGTATAGAGACCTACAGGGTACATTAACAAATGATTTTTAGGAAGGTGCAGGAATTTGGGGCTATGCCAAACAGATAATACAAGACTGTGAAGGCCAAGACGTGTGCAGACGTGTAACAGTAGCCTGATGTAGGGGTGTGAGATATTATTATTATTATTATTATTATTATTATTATTATTATTATTATACCCCATCCATTTGGCTGGGCTTCTCCCGCCACTCTTTGCAGCTTCCAACACATAAAAACATAATAAAACTTCCTGATATAGGAAGGAACTTTTAGATGTCTTCTAAAAGTTGTAGTTCTTTATCTCCTTGACATCTGATGGGAGGGCGTTCCACAGGGAGGGCTCCACTGCCCAGAAGGCCCTCGGAGCTAGATCTCTGTGCACTCTGAATGATGGGGGTGCAGACGCTCCTTCAGGTATACAGGGCCAATGCCACTTAGAGCTTTAAAGGTTAGCACCAACACTTTGAATTGTGCTTGGAAATGTACTGGGATCCAGTGTAGATCCTTTAGGATTGGTGTTATATGGTCCGGGTGGCTACTCCCAGTCACAAGTCTAGCTGCTGTATTCTGGATTAGTAGTAATATCTTAATTAGATATCTTAGTCCACGATTTCTGAAACAATACACAAACTGAAATGTGGCCTTCCTTAGAAATTAGCACTTCTCTGAATTTTGCAGTGTGATTCTCTAGCCAACCTATGTTTACAAAAATGCATGTACAGTCGTACCTTGGTTTTTGAACAATTTAGTACTTGAATGTTTTGGCTCCCAAACGCTGCAAACCTGGAAGTGACTGTTCCGGTTTGCGAACTATTTTTGGAAGCTGAATGTCTGATGGGGCTTCCTCAGCTTCCAATTGGCTGCAGGAACTTCCTGCAGCCAATCAGAAGCCGCACTTTGATTCCGTTCAAAGGTACGACAGTACTAAAATGTGCAAAAAAATGCATGGAATAGTGAAAATAGCACACAATAGAGTATATTTGGGGAAACTTTCGCAAAAGTGTGTATTTTAGGCATACAAAGATTTGTATTTTATGATAAATTCACACTGAAATACTGCTGAATTTTCATAAGGACTAATAAAAAAATGCTGGTGCGTGTGTGGAGAACTGAATTTAAGAGTGGAAAAATTAGAAACCAAGAGAAGCCAATCAGGCAAATTTGTGCATTCCTACCCGGACACAGGTGGTGCTGTGGTCTAAACCACAGAGCCTAGGGCTTGCCGATCAGAAGGTTGGTGGTTCGAATCCCCGCGACGAGATGAGCTACTGTTGCTCAGACCCTGCTCCTACCAACCTAGCAGTTTGAAAGCACGTCAAGTGCAAGTAGATAAATAGATACCGCTCTGGCGGGAAGGTAAACGGCGTTTCCGTGCGCTGCTCTGGTTCGTCAGTCATGCTGGCCACATGACCCAGAAGCTGTTTGCGGGCAAACGCCGGCTCCCTCAGCCAGTAAAGCAAGATGAGCGCCGCAACCCCAGAGTCATCTGTGACTGGACCCAATGTTCAGGGGTCTCTTTACCTTTACCCTGATGCCCCTTTTTGAGCAGAAAAAGCAGCTTTTCGAAGGGCAGTTGGGACTGGACAAGGTTGCTCCCCTGCCCCATTATGCTGCTGCAGATCACCTCCACCTTGGATTTTCCCCCTCATGGAAGTTCTAATGTCCATTTGCAATGGCATAGATGCAGTTGGGAAAGTTGTAGAGAGAGGACATCATTTGAATCAGGGGTGTGAGTTAAGTTTCTCCATTTCTCCAATCTTGACTGCATTTCCAGAAATAATCTTTTCAATATAAAGAGGGCCACCCGAGTAATGCCATGTGCAGCTGAGTGTAACATCTAGTTTTGCCCTTAGATGCAATTAAAGTTTCAAGTCCCCATTGTTGTCGTTCACCTTTTGCTTGCAGATCACCAAAAAACACCACTGCCTTAAACCAAGGACATTACTTGCTGAGTCACATGATAGCATTTGAGGTATGGGAATCACCTGAAGCGAAAGGGTCCCCAAACAGTAAAATCACAAGCTTAGAAGTTCCTATATTGGCCCGAATATAAGACGCACCCGCAAATAAGCTGCATCTTTAAATTTCAAGGCTTATTTGTGGGTGCGGCCCACCTCCTGGCACTACCACCCTGAACGGGGGGCAGGGGGGCGGCTGGTGCTGGTGTTTGGTTCCGAGTGCGTTGTGCGCCTGCCTCCCGGCACTACCTCCCCAAACTGGCACCGAGGGAGGCTTGGGAGTGGCAGGTGGACTGCGCACTGTTGCCCCATGCTCCCGGGCTGCTTCCTGGCGGGGGGGCGGTAGCTGCGCTGCTTTGCCGGTGGCCTCTTCCCCTTCCCCCTTCCTTACTGTGGCTTGGGGGAGGCTTGGGAGATGCGATCGAGACGGGCGCCGTTGTCCCGCACCCCCGACAGCCCTCGTGGGCAGCTGTTTCAGCATCGATACCGTAAGGTAATAAATATAAGCCACACTTTAACTTTTCACAATCAGAATTTGGGGGGAAAGTGTGGCTTCTGTTTGGGCCAATACGGTACTAGTTTTCATAAGCACACCAGCTGGACTGGTGCACTGGAGTGGGTGGGTGGGAGAAACCCCAAAGCCATGTCACATACTCGTGAGCAAGTTTTTTAGTTCAATTTTTTTTGTTTCCAAGCACTTTATCTAATTGGCTGACTGCGGTTCCAGAATACCACCTACTCTTGTGAAAGAAATAATACTGTGGTGACATTTCTACCTCAAAAATGGCTTGAGGCCATGTTATCTTAATGACCTACTTACACCTAAGTGAGTCTGCCTAAGCATGAAGCTTCTGAGGCCCTGCTGCCTGGTCCTCTCCTAAGAGCAATGAGACTGTTGGGTACAAGAACAGGACTTTCTCAGCTTTGGAACATGGAGATATGTTTGACCTCAACACTGATGATCTTTAAAAAACCAACTCTGAAAACACATTTATTTAAGTCTGCAGTTGGCTGAACTGTGCCTGAAAAAAAGATTTATCTGATTGCCACTAGCCCAAACTGGCTGACCAGAACAACAACAACAACAGTGGTGTAAAAATAGTGCCAGTAAGACTCCGCTCACAAAGTCATACCTCTTCCACAAGGTACTCCTTCTTGCCCCCCACTTTCTTCCTTGGTGCCACTATAGATATGGGAAACTGCTGTCTCTCAAGGATCCTCAGTGTAGGGAGTTTGCAGGCAGTGAATGTAGACAGGAATTATCACATACAGTGTTATATGTGGGTATATCCTTGATAAATACCTGTACTGGGTGCTGAGGGAATATACACTTGCCACACACAGCACTCACTTTTGCAAGAAGAAGAGCTGGTGATTGTGCCACTTTTTATGTGTGTTAAAAAAGGGCCTCTTGGTGATTCATTCTGCAGCATTGCCCTGAAGCCCACAAAGAGTGCTGTTGGCCTGTCAATCGCTCAATGAGACCCGTTGTTTTAAGCAGTGGTGCTCTTATGGGTCAGGAGGATCCAGCCTCCAGCTCACTAAACTACATTGCTTTTAGAATCATTGACATAATGAATTAAAGAATCCATGTTGACACTGTTGGCCGGGCCCTCCAGAGGTAGCTCTGACCCTCAGGGAGAGCACACCTTCCCTTCACAAAAGCAGGAAGTGCTTTGAAGCAGGAACTGTTGGACATGAATGCATCTGTAAAAGCGAACATAGTGAGCTACCAAATGCAAACTGGCTCTTTAAAGGATGGGCATTTGGGGGTGTCACTTCTACCTGTGGTGTCCTGGCTTAACCACATCTCCCAACTATTGCTTGTTGAGAAAAGGCCATTTTAGCATTCAGTTTCTGCGGAGGCATTTTCTTGTTTTGCTTTCTGCTCTTCCGTTGCAGTCCCACAGGTCACCACTAGGCTGCTGACACTGCTGGCATGTCCTGGTCTATTAAGCCTGTCCTTAATGGACTTGGGTTTTCGAGAATGGCTGTGTAAACTCTTTGACCGTACGGAAGGAAAACCACAAGTCCTGTCAGATTTCACTGACAACAAATTGTCTGTGTGGATCCTTTTGGTGACAGGTGAGGAAGGATGGGAGGCACTGAGACCCACCACTTCACCAACATCACTGTCCTCTTCGGTGTCAGTCAGTAGCTGTTTCCGCTCAGCTTGCATCTCCGCTTCAGACACAATGCCAGGATATTCAGGAGGAGGCTCACTAGCTAGTTTCTGCTGAACCTCATACTTCCACTCGGCAGTCCATTGTTCAATTGTGGAAGGGCACACTTCATCCATGATGGTCCTATACTCTTGGTCCATAATGGTCCGGTTGTTAACTCCTCCAACCATATTTCCACCTTGTGCAAATATGTAACTCCTTGATTTCATCATGCTTGCTTCGCAAGCGTTGAATGTTTCAGAAGGGTAGTACCTCATTGCCCTAGGTTTGTCCAAAGGATAGGAGATGGTGGCTTCTAATTTGGCCTTTTCTAACGCTAAATGAGGGTTCTGAATTTTTGGTCCAGTTCCAGGCTGCCCATTCCCAACCATATCCATTTGGTTGAGAGTTTGGGGTGTTGTCTCTTCATTCTTACAGTGTTCCTGCCTGTCAACTGAGCCAGAACGGGATAGAGAAACATTCTGCGTAACATCTAAAGTGTTTTTGCTGTGATCTGTAGAGGCGCTTGTGGCAGAGTGGATACTTCCTTGGCGTTCTGGAGCCAGCTGTAGCTTTGAATCTGCTTTACGCAATGCCAAGGCTGGAGACATTGGGGTAGGCAGGTCATCATAGGCAAGATCATCACCGTGGTACCTGTACATGTAGCCATCAGAACTGTTGACGCTGCTTTGCCGGAGGAGGTAAGCAGCATCGCATTCCGAGGATGCCCGGGAACGTGTGTGAGTCAGCTCCGCCTTGTCGATGCCTGCCAGCTTCTCCAGAGCATTCGCCATCCGGCCAGAGAGTTCTTCCAGCTGAGAAAGTCGAAGGTCAACCGTCTGGAGAGAGGCTTTCATGAAATGTTCTCTTTCATTCACTTCTTCTAATCTCATAGACATATTTTCAACTCTATAGAATTCAAAAGGGGGGGGGGGGAATAAATTCATTAAGCAACACAGATTTGTCCTGCACTGTCATTATTAGCTCAGAACAGCACTTATGAGGAGGGCAGCTGTTTTATTAATTATTAGAGCTTCCAGTTTTACTCAGTTAATCAGTAGGTTATTACTCATTTCTTCATGCCATTGGCTGCCACAAACTTAATTATAATAAAACCAAGAAAAGAAAAGAACCAGAGAGTGTTAGAATAACTTAGAAGGATTATAACAGTAATTTAGCTAGACGTCACACATTCCTCTGTTGCAGTTTCCTTTGGTTGAATTCTTACGATATTTAGAATATTTTTGCATGGTACTGTGGGCACTGCCACGCTGCCAGAGGGCCCACAGGCAGCTTGTGATTCCCCAGCATATTTGGTGACACCTTGCAAATCATCCCAACTTCCTGAGTAAGAAGAACCCCAAGAGTTACAGGTTAATTCCCTGCCATGGGGGGGGGCTACTAGGGATGGAAGAGAAATTATATTTTGTTTGCATTTGAATGAAAATGGACCTAATTCATAGCCTTCAAACCAATATGTGATCCTAAGCACAACTCTCCTTCAAAATTGTCCACAGACAGCTTCCGGGTCATGTGGCCAGCATGACTAAGCCGCCTCTGGTGAACCAGAGCCGCACACAGAAATGCTGTTTACCTTCCCACTGGAGCAGTACCTATTTATCTACTTGCACTATGATGTGCTTTCGAACTGCTAGGTTGACAGGAGCAGGGTCCGAGCAATGGGAGCTCACCCCATCATGGGGATTCGAACCACCGACCTTCTGATCGGCAAGCCCTAGACTTACTCTTTCCTTCAACATCTCCAAAGGACACTAGTGTTGAAGTCCATGCTTCCTCTTTGCCTACTGCAACTGGCAAGAAAATAAACAAATTCACTGGCTACCTTTCTGAAGTAACTCTAATACGTTCATCATTTGATGACTGTTCTTCATCTTCTTTTTGTCGGAAATATTCCTCAACACATTGCTCCTCAAATTCATACAGTTTTTTCAACTCTTCATCATTTAGAAACAGCTCTGAAAGAAATTGAGGCAGGGAAAGCATGTATTTTACCATGTCTATCAAACCCCCTAAACTCGGAAGAGACTACTACCACCTCAATGTGCATTTTCAGGCTACTTGTAATGAACATTAGGCTCTAATGCTGCAGGTCTAACCCCACTTTTCTGGGAGTAAATAGATCTGAGTAGACATGGTGAGGCTTGCAATGTTAAGGTACAGTTCGGTGCATATTCTAGCCTGGAGCCCTATATGGCAAAAATCTGGCAAGCAGGCAGTAGCTAAACACTGAATTTCTATAGTATGGCGGTTTGCACACTGTCCCTTGCAGAAATTAAAATCCAGTCTGGAGTCCTGTGTCAGAAAAACTTTTTCAACTATTGGAAAGTAGTCTAAAATATCAACAGCTCAATCCTGATCATGTTTACTCAGAAACAAGCCCACCGTATTTATTGAGATATGCATCCCAATCCTTTTTGTAAACTGCTTTGAGGGTTTTTTCTTTAACATTCAAGCCCTCTATGAATTTTATGAAATACATGCATAAATAACCCTATGCATGCTTACTCACTATGCTCAATGAGAAAGTGTGCTCAAGGTTGCCCGCTTAGGGCTGGTTCACCTGACTCAGGGACACAGATTATCCCTTCAATATCCTATCCCATTCTGTGTACCCCTTTCACAACCATTTCCAGCATCTACAGCTCCCATCAGCCCCTGCCACTTTGGATAGCAATCGGGGATGATGGGAGTTGTAGTCCAGCTACAGGTTCCCCACCTGCTTTTGATTAGTGCAACTAAGCCTGGTCTCTCCACACAGCAGCATGAGACAGTAAAGTGGCTATAGATGGGGGATGTTTCTGAGTTCTCCCCACCTTTCAAAAACGAAAGGTGGGCAGAAAGTCAAAACAAGGAGGATTCCAGTTGGAGCCCCTCTGTGCTGACTTTCTGCTTGCAGATGGTCTATGGATGGGACCTTCAAACCCCTGCCTGACCCCTGCTATGGTGCCCAGTCAACCCAGACTCATAGCACAGAGAGAATGTCTGTCTCCTCCCACATACTCAGTCCTCGGTCGCGTTCATCTTGGTCCCCTTCTCTTCGTTTCTTGCAGCGGCAGCAGAGACGAACTATAATGATGTAAAGGTGGCTAAAGATGATCATGGGTGGAGGAAGCACTGGCCGGTCATGGAAGGTCATGATCAGCTGATACCGCTGGAACTTCCAGACTTGGTTGGAGATGGACTTCACTTCAAAGAAGGTGTTGCTGCAAAAGATACACCCCTGATGAGTAGCTTCACTACAAAATTGCCAGAGAGCTAAGTGAAAGTTGTGAGAACTCAGTCGTCTCTTCACATGTTGCCAGTTTAAAGTTGCCACATTTGGGGTGGGGACAAGAACATGGCACAGAGAGGGGAAACTGTCTCCAGAGTGAACCCTATTTGCCTTGCCATGCAAATGATGGCATCCGTTCAGAGATAGTGCAGATCCAACAGATCTGGGACCAGTTCTCCTTGAGCTTAGGGACTGAAGGGGATTGATTCAGTTTGCAATAGTTAACCTTCCTAATTCACACTTTCTGAAACAATAAGCAAATAGAAGTACAGCTACCCTGTGAAATTCGTACTTCTCTAAATTTTGCAAGACACTTCTCCAACCAATAAGTGTGCACGAAAGTGCATCTTGTAAGTGAAAATAACCTTAAAAACATGCATTATATTGGGAAAACTGCTTGCATAAATGCATATATTCGGTAAAATTATGTCCAAAATTCATCAAGGGATGCAGACAAAAGTGCAGACGGAAGAGAAATCCCTAACTTGATGCAGAAATGAGGCAAATTGAACTTCAGATTGGAAAAATGAGGAACTGAAATGGGCAGATTTGTTCTATTGAGATTTCAAGAGTAGGGTGGTGCCCAACAATTGCTGCTCTCATACCCAGATAATGTCTCAGTATGGACTAGAAGGGCAACCACTGGGGAGAGAGTTGCACCAGTTGCCCACTGACAAAGGACCTCTGCAAAATATCATTTCTTTTGGGGCTGATTATTTGAAGCATGGCTCAAACTGAGCATTGCAAACACCTCCTGGCGTTTGATGTGACATTAAACATTCAACTCATGAAAGGCCCTTTGTAACATCAAAGCCCATAGAAGCTCTACATTGTCTTGCTTTTTAAAATGCTGATCAGACTGACCTAAATAGCAATGTTTGCAAATCTCTCTCAGAAATATATTCTGTGAACTTGGTTCACAGAAAATGGGCAGGGAACCCTTTTCCTGCTGAGGACTGCATTCCCCTGGGGTCAGTTTGTTGGGGGCTGCATGCCAATAGTGCAGGGTGTGTGCTAAACCAGGTTACTGGAAGCATATTGGCATTTTGTATTTGAGTTTATTCACAAGTGGACAGGTTAAGCATAGGTAGAAGCACAGAAGTCCACTGCCCCCACACCAGACCTGGAAAGAGGCAGCTAGCACCCCCAGAAGCTGTTTGCTTATAGATCCCAAACACTTCTCTCTGAAAAACACTTCTAGAGGGGCAGCTGTGTTACGCTCTGGTAGCAAAAATATGAAAGTGTCTTGTGGCACCTTAAAGTCTAACAAATTTGTTATGGCGCAAGTGTTCCTGAACTTAGGCAATTGGGTTTGAGTCCACAAATGCTTCTGCCATGATACACTTGTTAGTCTTTCAGGTGACCCAAAACCCTTTCTTGTTTCAGCTCTCTTAGTACCAAACTTTAATCTGCTGTTACTCACAGGTAGCTTGTTCTGCCACCCCCAGCTAGAGGAAAAAATAAGGATGCGTCATTTTCTCTAACCATCTCCTAGCTTCTTTGGGCCATCTTAATTACCATGGAGACATATCCCTTTTGTCAAGTCCAAAACTCTGACCGAGTATTGCCTCTGGGAAGACCACACTGATCAATCTACTCTCGGGAATCTGATTGGAAATCCATAGCAATTGCATCTCTTCAGGAATGGGAATACATGAGTGTCAGGGAACTGCCATCAGTGCCCGAGGGAGAGAGCAAGCTCCAAAGGGATCCCAGAGAGCGTCCCGGGAGTGGGAGAGACAGCCCGTCTTCTGGGGAAGAGAATCAACGTAGCTCCAGTGAAGAAGGGGGGCAGATGGCGGAATCGGCAAGGCGGTCCCATGACTCCTTGCCGGGGACCAGCGGGGAGAGGAAGGGTCCTCCACTGCCTACGCCCTCCTTGCGCAGAAGGCTTCCGCGCAGGGAGAGTAGGAGGAGACTTGGCGTCAAAGAGCTTCTTTGCTGGAAGAAGTTTAAGAAACGCCCACTGACGGATTCTGCCAGGGATTGAGACAGTCACGGGCGAGTGGCTGCCCGGACAGGAAAGGTTCACTCGGGCAACCCAGCCAGAGGTTGGGACAAGCTTATGCACGAGCAACCCCTAGAACCATTATAATGAGACCAACAGCCTGAGGTGGGGGACACATTGTGCTCCTTCTGGGTTTGTTTGTCCACCTTTGGTCCCCATCCTGCACTCAGTTCTCACTGGTGGCTCCTAGAAGCTGTCAGCATGCAACAGCAGCCACAACCCAGGAAGGGTTTTAACTGGCCAGCTAAACCAGATGAAGGTAGCTGATGGGTCTCAAAACCTTGGTGAGTTAGGGAATTTCTGTCAAGGGTGCTTCCAGACAAAGGAATGTGCATGGCAGAGAGTTCACTCTTTATTGTCAAAGATAACATAGTTGCTTTGCTTCTACTGCTCCAGATACCTACACACATCAATCTGGTATCTAGGCAGCTACTCCCAGTTCCACCCCTACCAATTTATGTACCTTTCCAAGTTGGGCTGTGCTCATGTAGCCAGAGACTCTGCCTGCATGGAAACTTCCTCTGCTCGTCCCACTTCAATTCCCTCCTGATTCTGGGAGACAGTGGTGCAGGAGAGGGTGGGGAAGCAATTCGTCCTTCACTTGCCTGGCCTGCCTTTTCCTCCTCTTTCTCCAGCTCTGAAACTTCTTCAGCCTCTGATTCTCACCTCCCAGCTAGTATAGGCCCTCACAAACCTCCTGCCTCTCCTGGGTCAGAATCCAGCCCTGCTTCCCCCGGTATACACTCCTCAGCACCCTGCCAGTCTATGACACTTCCCTTGCATGTGAAGACAGGCTCCAGTGGATGGAGCAGAGCAGATGAAAGCAAGAGTGGGTCCAATGGCCAATAAGGTGGTTTCTGCTTGTCCTGTAGAGGGAAGTGAGGGGCAGATGGGGCTTGTCAACCTGGGAAGGAAGCCCTTCTAGGAGAAGGAAAACTGTGATTCTAAACCTCCACTGCTTTGTAGGATAAGTAAGAAAAGTCTAAGGAGTAAACCCTACACAAATCTGGAGTGGAGTCCGTAAGACGGTTGGATGGTATCTTGTACACCTCCTTCTGGCAACTCCTGCAGCCAAGCTACTGCCAAACATCTTGCTCTGCTTTCCTTTGGACCACATCAGTGAGGCCAAGAGGGTTGTCTTGTGATCTGGGCAGCCAGAGGCAGCCTCCATACACACTGTCCAGGCTTGCACCCCAGGGAGGTCACTTCAGTGCTGCTAATGCAGCCATTGGACTTCACCCACAGAGGCACACTCCATTGTCTCTTGACAGATGCCAAAAACTGGCTGTAGAAGTACTGGAGAAATGCAAATTTTGAAAGGTAGCTGCATTTCAGCTTGTGTATTGTTTTTCTCCCTCATCCCTAATGGTGATGGTTATATTTTACTACTTGACAATTTGGTGCAATGGTGTTTGGCCATGTAGATCCTTTCACTGTTCTTGCACTGTCTCTTTTCATTTTTGTGAGAGTCAACAAATTGCACCCCCAAGTCTACTGCAGGAGAAGAGAAGCCTTGGCAGTGCAACAAAGCATGGCCCATCCCTGTGACTACCAAGCAAGGATGGGTTAACTGCATGACCTACTTCCTACAATGTTGATTTTATTTGCAGTCCCTTCAGATAACTACCATTGTGCATGCAAGAGAATCACTTTCTCTCTTCTTCTTTTTTCCCTTTTAAATTTAGCTCTGCAACTGGCATGTGACTCCTTTTAAAATGCACGACCTTTTCAGCTATTGAATATTCTACTGTAGATAGCAAAATAAAAGATAGCTTTGTGAGCAAGTCTGATTTCAAAGGACAGCACCCAAACCGGGCACAGTGCCCAGGACAATGGCATGGATCTACACCCACCCGCAATCCAGTTTTGGATACTGGCAGCAAAAGATAACAGTGTGATTGAGCAGTAAATATAGGCACCTCCCCCGCTTGTGTGTACGTGTTAAAGCAAGCAGCCATATGAGACCTAATGCTAGTAGCAGCTCATCTAAACCCAGGGAGGGCAACTTGTGTGGTCTTCCTGCTGTTGCTGGACCACAGCTCCTACCTGGAAGCCCACAGATGTTTCAGTCCTAATCTAAACAGATGAAGCTCTACCCTTCCCTTGCCCTTGCCCTACATACACACAACACTTTATTCTAGAATCAATGGAGATTGAGTACACAGTCCAAACACAGTCTAGATCTGTTGCATATGCTTCACCCCAGAAAAGGGCTTCTTGGGAAACTGGTTTCATTCTGAAAAGAAATGTTCATTGCAGGTTGCTTCTGCGTTAACCTGCAAAATTTTAATCAGAAAACAGATGGATGTAGGCAGCCCTGGCAATGCCAGGGTGTATTCTCACCTGCCCAAAGTCTGGTGTGTACCAAGATCACAGTCACTCCTTGCTTTTCTATTTCCCTGGGACATGTGCAGGGAGGAAAAGGCATGAATAACCTGACCAAGGGGAGGGTTTTCAAGTGTGTATTAAGTATCCAACCCCCCCCCCCTTGCTGACAGCAGGGTGATAGCATCTAGACCGAAAGCAGCATGCTCATGAAGAGCACAAACAATTCCAAATTGAGGAAAACTGACATTTCTTGTGCATGCGCCTCACTCTCTTTGGCCACAGTTGATCCTTCACCTACCTTTCTCAGGGTCCCCCTAATAAACTCCACCAGACTTCTTCACAGTAGGAAGGAATCCAGAGTGAGTATCTCCCTCATAAGCAAAACACTCACTTGAAAACAGCAATCAGCAAGTTGACCAGGAGAATGTTGGCTACCAAGAGGTAGCAGGCCATGATTGCGGGAGTCAGCCATGCGCCAGGGATGCACTGGGGGAAACGCTTGCCATCCTCATCATAAAGGTTTTCCCCACACGGAGCTGAGGATGGAATTGGCTTATGGTTATTCAACATGGAGCACATACAGTGAGGGCTCTGTGTAACTGGGGGAAGGTAGAAATCAGAGGGACCCAGCCCAAGGTTGTTGTAGGGCACAGGGTACATGCTTGAGTAACTGTCCTTTTTGTGGGGCAGTCCAGCCTCTGAACACACCCAGGTGGGTTTGCACAAACAACCACCTTCTCCCTCTCATGCACATTTCTGATTTCAAAAAATAGCAGCCCCCCACCCTCCATAGGAATTCAACTCTGTGGGGCCAAATCTGGTAAGGGGCAGACTGGTGAAATCTGGCAGGTCAGGGCAGAATGTGAGGGGAGGGGGTGCAGCCTGTTGGCTTGTGGGCAGGACCAGGGCATAACAAGGTGGGTGGAGCCTGGCACAGTCTAGAGTTCACTGGCTTATTAGGTCATCTGAAAGCACAGTTTTACTGGCTGGGACTAGAACTAATTGGGTACCCAGGTCAGTGTACGTTTAACTCAGAGTAGGTCCACTGAAATTAATAAGACAGGACCAACTTAGGGCCATTTCAATGGGTCTGTGAAGCACCTTTCTCACAGAAGCAGGCTCCTTTAAAGACATTCAGAGTCATACTATTACCATAGCTGTCAACCTTCCCTTTTTTTGCAGGAAATTCCCTTATTCCAGCACCGTTTCCCGCTGCTATCCTGGATTGTTATCCCGTAGACTGTCCCCGGGACAGGTGAGGCTGCTGATCCCTTATTTTCAAGGCTGCTGATCCCTTATTTTCAAATCTGAAAGTTGACAGCTATGACTATTACAGAGCCAAGATTCACTTCCTTTATCACAGATATTGGAACTTTTTTAAAAGCAATCACACAAAAAGCCTCTTCTGGGGATTTTGGACTATTGCTATGGAAACAGCATAGGTCTAAACCCTGCCCTGGTTGTCTAAGATGCTGCAGAGATTTGTTGCAAAATTTGGGTTTCTGATGGGTCAAGACCCACACCTCAAATCTTCAGCTGGCAAAGGTGGGTGTATGAGGTGTTTAGATGGTGGCGATTTTGGGGACCAGGTCATGACAACACGGCAGTGGCAGGTATTGCACTAAAGCTGAGATGAACTCTAATTAAAGGGTCACGGGGGGGGGTTGAATCCACCAATAAAAACATTTAATTGATTTGTCAACTCCCTGCAAAGACTTACGGTTAATTTCCATGGCATAGACTACCCAGCGTTCCGAAAGCAAAGAATAAAAATGCAAAAAGCAGCATTTTAAAAAGGGATAAAAGAACAAGAGAACAGTAGGGAAGGAAAAACACACATGTGACTGACAATATGGTTGCTCTTCAGCTGCCAGAGAAAGATAAGGCCTTCAAATGTTTTAACAGACAAGAGACATGCTCTGAAACAATGGCTCTTGTCAGGACTCCAGAAAGCCTTGCAATTTCCTTTTCTCTTGGACTTTCCGAAACATTATGTATGGCAGCGCATTTGTGGCAATCAAAAGATAATTACAAAAAGCAGCTGGCAGATGATCATGTAAATATTCAAGCTATTTCAATTATGTAAGGATGACGTGGGCAGACTCTCACCACAAGCACAAAGCACCACAAGGCAATTGCACAAGATGGACAGTGTGGCTGCCCTGGGAACACTTTTTGCTCTCTGGAAACACACTCTTGAGTCTAGATCTGCTTCACAGAGAGGGATCTCAGGCTAGAGCAAGGGTCAGGGGCGCTACACGGCTCAGGTCCAGAAGGGAGAGAGGAATAGCTGCTAGTGGAAGATTTCAGCAAGCATCAGTCACACACTGTAAAGCCAAGAAGGCTACAAACCGTAAAAAGCTGGATTTCTATAGAAATATGCACACCATGTTAAATTGAGGTGTTCTTTTTTAAAAAAAATTAAAACTATGCAGAAGGCTCGCACCTTCAGTCATGCCATTAAAAATAAATAAATGAGACAATGGTTTTTGAACAACCCCACTTGAAAGAAATGCAAGGGTCATTCACAAAGAATATGGTGGTGGTGATTTCCTTGATGCTCATTTCATTGTGCAAAAATGCTCAGCTGCTCCTTAACTGTGTAGGGCACACAAAAGCTTCCTCTGACAGGCAGGGCTTCTTCACTAGAGAACGGTGTGTTCACGGGACTATTTCCTCCCCCTGTTGACTGTATCATCAGGTTCTTAAAAGACTCAAGATGCACACAGGTCCATAACACAAATTTGCCTAAGATTTGCTGACAGAAAAGAGGTTTTCTGTAAAAGGGAAGGGATATATGAATGCTCTTTCTTTTTAACTTGCAAAATAAAGGGAAGACAGTTTGAAAGAGATCATCATGTCCGCCACAAAGACAAGCTACAAGGCTGGTTCATTTCTGGGTCCCAATTCAAGGGGCTCATGTTGGTGTTCAAAACCCTAAAGGGCTTTGGCCCCAAATATCTGAGAAGCTGTCTCCTTCTGTACAGACCCTTCTAGGTGTTGAGATCAGCAGAGTGAGCCCTAGTGGTAGTTCCACATTCCTCTGAAATTTGGTGATGGTGGCACCCCACCCTTTTCTGTTGCAGCCCCTAAGCTAAGGGATTCCCTCTCTGCAGAGGTGTGCCTGGCACCTTCATTATGCATCTTTCAGCAAATGCTGATGATGTGCCTCTTTGCCCTGGTCTCTGGACACATGAAATGTGTGTTTTCAGGAACCACCCTATAATATGTAATCTGCTTTAACTGTTTGTCATTCTGAATTTTAAATTGCCACAACCTCTCCTGGGAGGGTGGGCAATAAATAATTGTAATGACAGCAGCAACAAGAAGAAGAAGAAGATATGCATGCTCTTTCTGTTTAACCTACAAAATAAAGGGAATTGATTGAGGGTGATGGCAAAGTTCAGAGGAGTTCAATCATGTCTGCCACAAAGACAAAGCTGCAATAATCGTAAGTAGAAAAAGTGATGCCGATTCCAAATTAAATGTTGATTAATTTGGACCCGATCATCTGCCTCAGAAACAGGAAACAGAATCTTACTATGAATTCTGTTCTTACGGTCTATCTGGTCAGCAAACACCTCTCCATAGATCATCCAGTAGGGCATGTAGAAGATGTTGCGGACCAGTCTCCAAGACGGCTGCTCATCGGGATGCAGGATGGCTTGACGGGCAACTCCAAAGCTCATCAGGACCACCAGCATAATAACCACAAAGTACAGCATGTCAATCATCTACACCAAGAAAGAGCGTAGAGCAACATATCAAGAAAGGATCAGCGTAGAAATTACTGAAAAACAATATGAACACGATCTGTTATATATTTCATTTATGAATCACTTCCTATGAAGCCAATCAGTTCCAGACCTCAGATCTGCACCTCGTTAATACCTGTCCAACTCTCAGGGCATGACAATGTACTCCTATGGAAACCTTTAAAATATAATTTGGTTAATCTTCTAGGTGCCCCCTCTTCTGTGACTGGGGGTGGGCAGTTGCTATGGAAAGAGCCTTCTCAGTGGTGTCATATCAATTATGAAACAGTCTCCCCAGGATTATTTATCTGGAACCAAAGTTTATGAGTTCAAGGAACCAGCTTTAATGCTTTTATTTGCCTGTCACATATAATGACAGTTGATTGTTTCTGACTGCTGCTAAAAAAAACAAAAACTGCAATGTATTTTTGATGATATAGTTATCATTTAAATTGGAAGTCATGTTGTAAGTTTTTTTTTAAAAAACTGAAAGCTGGGCTATAAAAGTTTTAAATCATCATTAACATTCCCATCAACTTCAATGGATCTTAAAAAAGCATCACTTTGGCTGGATCGTGACCTTAATGTCTCCAAGTTTCTGTTAGCAAACCCTTGCAACAGTGTTCAATTTGTGCTAAAATGGAGGGCTAAGGTTGCAGAGAGCCATCTGATGAAACATTGCACAGAAATACCCCGATTCATATGGGGTTATAACAATTCTCTCTGGCTCCTAGTCCTCCAGTAAGTATCCAGTTCTCTATTCAGTTTCTTAGGGCCTCTTGCTTTCGGATAAGCTGCAGCGCCACTCTGCCTTTCTTTAATACCTGCCATGACACCTGCCCTCTCTGTTTCAAAACATAGTTACTTACCATTTTTCCAATCATCATGACATAAGGCCCCAGGTACTTATTCACACCAAAGATGTCCAGTACTCGGATGTACCAGAAAATGATATCCACACAGTAGATAACTCTTCCATAACTCATATAAGGCTGGTTTTGCAAACGAAGAATGGCCCCAACCAAGAACACAGAAATAGCAACCAAATCAGTGATGTTCCAATATTCTTGTAGCCACACTTTTATTTTCTGACTCAGTTTACCTGGTTCTGACATCAAAATCTGAAAACAAAGTGGTGGGAAGGGAGAAAGAAAGGTGTTTAACGTGGTAATGGGAGAAAGAAGCTTGAGACTTATTAGCTTCTTACAGCCGGTTTATCCTACTTCAGGTCCCTTGGGCATTCAGACACCCCAGTGAACATGTGGATTGTAGGATTATGCCAGGGGGAGTGGCTTTTGCATCCCTAACTGCTTTCCTCCTTTCTTGTGACATCAGAGCAGGTGGAGAATTTCAAAAGAACAGTTGCCAGAATGGTTGAAATTACCTCTCTTACTTTCTCCAATGCCAGAGTCACAATGTATGAAATGACAACCCATTCCTGGAGTGAGGGCCAACGATCCATCGGTACCAAGATTATATAGTTGAACAGCATTAAGTACCCTAGGTAGGATATCTGGAAAAAGAAATAAAAAGAGACCCCACGCTGCATTTTTGGGTTGATTCATTTGTAGGGATGTTGGTTGCACAATGATGATGACACTTCTGCTTAGAAACCCAGAGCAGGGTTCTTCCCCCACCCTACCATTTACAATTTTTTGTTGTGTTTTGGAAACCAGTAATTACCAGTAATTTTGGAGTAGGGAATAAAGAAGTGAGAGGCCAGCCTACCACAACACTGAGCTTTCCAGATGTTCTAGGCCATTGTTCCCATCAGCCTGGCTAATGGTCAGCAGTGACACATTACATCAGCAGGAGAGAATGGAACATCTTGTTTTCACCAAAGGATGAAAATAATTTTCACTCACTGTGTAAAACCAGAACTTCACAATTGGTGCATTATAGAATTCGTAGATCTTTGTTCCAATGGGAAGGCTCCTTTGCTTTTTGTTCCCATCTTCTTCATCTCCCTTTCGGGAACCAGTATCAGCATTTGCATCCTGAAAGACAGGTAGCTTAGGATCATAGATTGTTCCCACTGGAGGGCTCTCATCCATTCAAGGTTATAAAGGGGGTGGGGAGAGAAAATGTCTGAACATAGACAAACTGTCCTGTTTGCTTGCTTGCTTGCTTGCTTGTTTGCTTGTTTGCTTGTTTTTCTACATGCACATATTATTCAGTTGTAAGAGCCATACTAGAACCTTCATTACTTAAGGCAGCGGTTCTCAACCTGTGGGTCCCCAGATGTTGTTGGACTACAACTCCCATCATCCCTGAGCTCTGGCCTTGCTAGCTAGGGGTGATGTGGGAGTTGTAGTTCAACAACATCTGGGGACCCACAGGTTGAGAAAGGCTGACTTAAGGTATGTAGACTTGTCTGTAGTCAGGTTGTTCATGCTTCAAAAACCTGCAAAGCCTGTTTGCCAAAACAACAACAACAGTGGGACAAAAGCAATGAATGCGAACAGTAGAGGAAAATGCACATCGAAATGCAGTTATTATTGAAATAAATATTTCAAAATGCATTAAGTTAGGGGGAAATGTTTGCAAAGTGTATATTGTTCAAAACTGCATAAAAATGTGTTCATCAAAGGAAATTCACACTAGAATGTTGATGGATTTTCATGAGATTTTCTCAGCAGATTGCTGGGGAAACGTGCAGCACTGAATTTAAGGTTGAAAAATAAGAAAACAGAGAGAAACAAAGATTGACAATATCCTTCCTTGGAACTTGCTGAAGTTCTGAGGAAGAGCAAGAATCTCAAATACAAAATCCTCAGCATCCCTGACTGAGTTACAATTCTCAGCATTCTTGGCAATTGGGGAAGCCATGATGACTATTAAACAGGGAATAAAGGTGAGACACGTTTGTGGTGTTGAGAGGCTTATAGAGATGGGCTGCCACTGACCACATTTTCTTCCTCTTTTTCTTTCCCGACTTCATTTTCCTTTGACGTTTGGTAGGAATAGTCATCAGAGGTACGGAACTCCAGGAACAGGATGGTGGGAGGTAAGAGGATCCCCATGATAACCTGCACGAGAGGAAGAAGGGTGGTTCAGGGCATGGCAAGAGCCATTTATGATTTGAAATTTATGGTTTAGTTGCATAGGATGCAGCTCAGGGCCAAACTAGAAATTCCTGGAGATGTCTGATTGGAGATCCGTGATCACATCACCTGTCTCGTGGTTCTATTTGTTTAAGCCAGCATGTATTGAAGGGAGGGGGAACTGGAGCAGGACTGTGGTCTGGAGGAGGTATTATTCCTGCCCCCGATACTATTCTCCTCCATACACGTACATTCCCCCTCCCTCCTATATAGCAAGCCCAGGTGCCTGAAGGCCTAAGCAGTCCATGCCTACCTTAAGGCCCGGATTTTTCCTCATGCGCAACCTCCCCATCCACATGTCTGTCAGTAACATCTGGCTGCAGGTGTGTGCGATGAAGTCCCTGTGCTTTGCTGCCACTGCAAGTTTCAGGCAAGTAGAGTTGCTCCAGTTTTTCAGCTCATATGTCAAAAGTTTCATGGCTACTTGCTCATCATGCTTATATGATTGATCCAGCAGCTCAACAGCAAGCTGGCCAAAATCTCTGGAGAGATAAAGAATGCCAGATTGGCTAGCAGCTAACAAATTAAACACGGCAGTAAAAATAACATCACAGGAACAATGCAACAGGTCAAAGCAGTAAAGCCAGTAAAATCTATTAAAATTGCTTATTAAAACCAGTCTTGAGGATGTACTGGAAGACCAGGGCAAGTAAAGTCTTCAGCTGGATCTGAATGGACTTCAGGTTCAGTACCAGGTGCTACTTCCTGGGGAGGACATTCAAGAGCCAGGGGCCACAACAGAGAAGACCCTTCTGTCTGATTCAACTTGAGAGAGCTGAAGGACTCAGTCAGTAGATCATTGTAACATTGGGGCAGGTTCATGTTTAATACTAAGAAAATATAAATATAAACTATATACTAAGAATATATAAATATAAAAAAGCAGAACAGGAACTGGAGAAGGGCCTTATCTCAGAAGGTCTCAACTTAGACCGAGAGCCAGGGACAGGCCCAACGTCATCCAAATGAGCTTCTTAGCTGAGTGGGGTTTTCAATTCTAGTCTCCCAGGTCCTGGTCTGACAACCTAACCGCTACACCACACAGTCCAGCCCTACACTCTGGGTGACTAACTTTGAGTTGTTGTCCAGGTCTTGAGAGATGTCATCCACCAGCTCGCTCTCTGAAGACTCGTGGGCCATGGCTTTGTAGAGTTTGCAGGCCACCAGTGCCTTGGCCATGGTCTCCTCTCCACGTTGCCAAAGGAAGAGAGCCATCTTCTGCCGCTTCATCAGCACTGCCCAGACCATGAGCTCATGGAAGGGGTACTGGAAGCGGCTGACTTCTGGGTCATCCACATCAATGTCTATCTCCTCTTCCTTCTTCTTCTTCTTCTTCTTTTTCCCTTTGGTTGGAGGTTCATCATCCTAGGAAGGAGCAATTGAGTTAATTTCACATTTAGGCTACATTTTACTGGCATTCCTGCAGATTATTACAGGTTGTGCCCATGAATAAAGATAGATGCTTAAGGAAAAGGCCATGCACTGCTGTTAAGTTGAAGGTTAAGCGGGAAATACAAGCATGCAAAATCATTGCGCCTGAATTGTTAGTACAAGAGTGCCTTCTTATGGCGATGACAATGCTTCCATGCAAAGCGTCACTGCAAATTCACAACATGTGCTTTTTTGTGGGTATCACAGCTTATGATGTTACCTGTGCAAACGGCACATAGACAGATGCAGGTCCTTCAGACCGATGCATCAGTCATCCTACCTTCAAATCATTTGACATGATGTTGGAGTTCAAATGAAATCACTGGAAAAGGACCTAAACCTTCTAAATAACAGGTTTCTAAATAAATGACCCAGCAATTCCCAAACTGTGGCTGAGGTACACTGTAGTGCCATGAGAGAACTGCTGGAGATCTCTGAGAAATTAATCCATTCATTATTTACAGCAGGGGTGCACAACCTGTGGCCCTCCAAATGTTTCTGAACTACAACTCCCAGCAGCCCCAGCCAGCATAGCCAGTGATCAGGGATGATGGGAGGTGTAGTCCCACAACATCTGGAGGGCTGCAGGTTGTGCACCCCTGATCTACAGGCTTCTGTGAGCTCAAAGCGCCCTCTGTAAATGAGGCTGACCCCCTGCATCTCTGCATGATTATCTGCCCCCTTCCCACTGCCTTCCAGGCAGCCTCTGCTGGACACAGGTCATACTATTGCATCTCAGCATCACACATGGCTCGGCCTTTTGGTGCAGAGGTGCAACACAACTATTTGCCTTTAAAGGGGGTTACCTATTCTGTCTCTGGATGAATCGCTGATCTGGCTTGGGGCCCTTTCAACCAGCCCTTGCTAGGCATGGCTGATCCTGCTGTATCCCTGTTTCAAGTGTGATTGAGTCACGCAGGCACTCTTGGTGCAGAGAAAGGCTAGAATGAGCACATGGGCAAGCCAAGTCACATGCAAAGCAGGCGGCGACAAAGAGCGTCTTGAAGAAGGCTGAATGGAAATTTCACCTTTGAACATGAGATCTTACTCCAGAGGACCCAGCAAAGGGAGAACTATCCCATCTCCTAAATGGGGAAGGAGGACGGAGCATGACGACTGGAACTGGAGGCAATGAGGAAGGAGGTAACAGAAAGACAGTATGGGCAGTGGAGCCACAGCTAAGGGCGGGGCAGGGAAACATAATTAGAGGGGAAATACCAAATACTAACCATTTCTTGACAGCCTAGAACAGGGAGGCTTTCCACAGTTATTGTTCTTCAGTGGGTAACGGGGAGAACACGTGGAAGTCCCAGAATTACCTACCAGGCTGCTGAGAGTTGTTAGGACACCCCTATTCCCCTCACAGTTACAGTTCAGTGCTCCCTGGGAAGAGGGATTGGTTGTTAAATCACTTTGTAAGTTGTAGTTCTCTGAGGGGAACAGGGGTATCCTAGAAACCCTTATTTATTTAATTTAATAAAATTTATACACTGCTTTGATTGTAACAAAAGCAACTACCTCAAAACGACTTACAAAAGGTAAAACAGTAAAATCAAGAAAAAATCACAACCATACTTTAAAACATACAAAAGTTAAACAGATTAAAATTACCTCAACTTCCTAATCAATAATGTTTTTATCAGGGGGCGAAAAGAGTACATTCATACCTTGGAAGTCAAACGGAATCCATTCCGGAAGTCCGTTCAACTTCCAAAACGTTCAGAAACCAAAGCTCCTGCAGCCAATCGGAAGCCGTGGAACGTTCGGCTTTTGGACGTTCGGCTTCCAAAAATAGTTTGCAAACCAGAACACTCACTTCCAGGTTTGTGGCATTTGGGAGCCAAAATGTTCGAGAACTAAGCTGTTAGAAAACCAAGGTATGACTGTACAGTGAAGGCATCTGCTTGATCTCAAGAGTCAGGGAGTTCCAAAGTATACGCATTGCCACACTAAATGATCAAGTTTTCCCCAATACAGAAGGGCTATTATGTGGCCCCTGTAGTAGTGCCAGTTCTGCTGATAGGTCGATTTGGCACATGTGGGGTAAGGCGTGTTGAATGGTTTCTTTAAATGTAAAGGTTCATCACTGTTCCACCCGATGTGTATGTCTTTAAGGGGCCAAAGCAAGGGCCAGAGCAAGATAACGAGACCCAGCTTTACAGCTGTGAAACATAGCAGGTGCTGCTGAGTTGTACTGATTAAGCTGTGTTGGCAATTGGGTGTAGTATATAAGGAGCAGCACCTAGCTCTCCCATTACCCTGGGGGGTGGGTTGGTGGTTGGGTCATGTTTGTTTGTTAATGTATTTAGTGTAAAAGGAGTTTTTGTTTTTCTTATTAAAACCTTGTTTAAATTATTTTTGAGTCCCTTTTTAATGCATGGTCTCCCCAGCAAGCTCTCTGCAGCGCTACCATACTGCAAAAGCCAACATCTTTGGTTATGGGCCCAGCTGCTGAGTGGATGACTGCATATTTTTGGACTCTGAGAAAGGTTTGAAAACTCCTTCTCCTGTTAGCGTAGTTCTGTGGGTCTGGAAGAGTTCCAGAATGGTTGACCGGGTTCCTGAAGCTGAGAAGGCTCTGGTCTTCCCACAGCTGACAGATGAGAACTATAGTTTATGGTCTTTTCGGGTGGAGGCGCTTTTGACCTCTAGAGAAGTATGGACCTATGTAACTGATGACCCTCCTGACCCTGTGACTAATGCTTGGTCGAAAGGAGATGCGAAAGCCAGGGCGATAATTAATTTGGCAGTCAGCGACCAGCAAGTAGTCTATATAAGAAATAAGAAAACTGTCAAAGAAATGTGGGACAGTCTTGCAGCAGTGCATGTTAGAAAAGAGTCAGCGTCTGCATTGACGTTTTTCAAGCAGTTGTACCAGACGAAGTTGCAGCCTGGTGGTGATTTGGCAGCACACTTGAGATGTCTGGAGGCAATACGCTGCGATTTAATTCGAAGGGACATGGAGATACCTGATATTCAGTATGTTTTTATCATCCTTTGTTCCCTTAATGAGGACTTTGGTGGTGTAGCTAGCCAGATATCTGCCATTCCACCAGCACAATTAACTGTGGAAGGGGTAACGGCAAGATTAATGGGCGAGTTGGACAGAAGGGAGGCTTGTGCCATAAGCACTCCTATTTCCAGAAAGAATGAGGAACACCATATCCAAACTTGTGGTGATACAACTGCATTTAAAGCTGCAAAGCGTTGTTGGTTCTGCAATAAGCAAGGACATTTTGCAAAGGACTGCAGAGCCAAAAGAAAGCAAAGAACTCCCAAGACTGTTTCTGTTCGTCAGTCACAGTCATCAGCTCAGCAGCCGACATCGTACCGTAAAGACAAAAACGAGCCGCGAGCTTTTCACGCTAGCACAAGAGATCGTAAAAGAATTAAGGGTGCCAAGTGGAATTCTTTTATTGTGGACTCAGGAGCATCTCAGCACGTTTGCAATGATCGAAGCTTGTTTATTTCTTTCGAAGAGGAAATTGGTAATGTACATTTAGCCAATTCACAAGTCTTGCAGTCGCTTGGCAGGGGTACTGTTAAACTTGACTCTTTAAACATTACAATAGCGAACTGCATTTACTGCCTGTCAGTGGACAATTTATTATCAGTAAGGTGCTTTGCTCGTCAAGGCATAACTGTGCGTTTCTTAAAGTCAATGTGTGAGTTTTTCGAAGGGAACAAACGTCTATTGTATGCCCGGGACTCTGGTGGTTTATATAGACTGTATTTTCGCACCTACTCACAATCGCCTATAAATTGCAGAGCAGCACAGTCAAGCCAGGGGTTGAGGAATGTAAGGCCACATTCTGGGTGTGTCCATGAGGCGCACAGAATTCTGGGACATCTGAATTTTGCTGATGTAATTAAGACCAAGAATATTGTTAATGGCCTCAACTTAAAACCATGTAAATTCTTTATGCAATGTCTATCCTGTTGCAAGAATAAGATTAAGGTTGCACGCAAGGGTAGGTGCTCAGATAGGAAAGTAACTGAGCCATTTGAGCGTGTACATTGTGATTTAGTTGGGCCACTCCCACCATCCTTAGGAGGTTCTAAGTACTGGCTTACCCTGATAGACCAGTATAGTAGATATTGTTGGACTTATGCAATAGCTGAGAAGTCCCAAGCATTTGAGAAGTACAAAGTTTTTGCAACTGGGAAAAAAAAAATTTTAACAAACCTATTAAGAACCTTTTTTCTGACTGGGGCGGGTAATTTGTTTCTGAGGATTTTGAGAAATTCCTGGAAGTGCAGGGACTACTCATGAGTTATCTTGCCCCGAAGTCCCTGGCAAAATGGGCTTGTTGAAGTTGTGCAGCGTGACCTGCAGGCAGGGGTTAAAACTTATCTGCACGATGCTAATCTGCCCAAAGACTTTTGGGCTGAAGCGCTCAATGCCTTTTGTTATGTTAGAAATCGCAGTTATCATTCTGGTTTAGATGTCACCCCTATGAGAAGCTGTTTAAAAACGCCCTAATCTGAAATACCTACGCATTTGGGGTTCAGATGTAATAATGCATTATCCCGCTAAGCAGAAATTGGGTGAACGTAGTGTCCAGGGAAAATTAATGGGCTACCAGCAGGGGGCGTACAGAATTTACATACCAGCAACTGGCAAATTTCATATTACCAGAAGCATGATACAAACTGTAAATTGGAATGGCGTTGCTATTTTCCAAGATACTAACGATATAGATAATACTGAGGAAGAAGAGGTAGAAGAAGCAGCAGCAGCAGCAGCAGCAGCAGGAAATGGTGCTTCTGAATTAATGGGAAAAGACGAAAAGCCTGTTGAATCTGATAATTTGTTTGATTTAAAGACACAGGCACCCGAGGGGAGGTTAGATTCTCTTGAGTTTTCTGACCGTGAGCTTAGCCAACAGGCATCTCTTCAGTCTGACAATGATGATTTACAACCTGAAACTAGTAGTTTACATAGTCCCATTAAGTCTGAGGAGTCTGACTCTCCTTCCGGACTAAGACGTTCAGATAGAAAGAGACAGAAGCCACAACGTTTTGCAGATGAACATTTTAATACTGTGTATGCCAATAAGGCAGTTTTTGAGCCAAAAGCTACAATGATGTTCAGAATTTACCTAAGCACCAAGCTGTAAATTGGTATAAAGCTATGAACTCTGAAATAGCTTCTTTAAAAGAGCATAACACTTGGTCTCTTGTACCACAAACCCCAGATATGAGACTTATTGATTCAAAATGGGTTTATAGAGTTAAAATGAATGACAAAAATGAAGTTGTAAGGTACAAGGCTAGATTAGTTGCTAGGGGTTTTCAACAAATTCCAGGCGAAGATTATGATTTGTGTTATTCACCAAGTGTAAAATATGAAACAGTTAAGCTTTTGTTAAAAGATGCATCACAACGTGGACATTCTGTTTATCACCTAGATATAAAAACTGCATATTTGTTTGCAGATTTAAAAGAACAAATTTTTATGCGTGTCCCTGAAGGCATAGACGCCGCTGAAGGTTTGGTATGCAAATTAAAAGTATGCATGCGTTCAGGCCACTCGTGATGTAGAATGGTATCTGCAAGTATTCGCAGACCTACAGATGCAAGTAACACTACCAGTAAAAGTTTACCTTGATTCCCAGAGTGGACTCGCTATCCTATGTTCAGAAACCAATACGCAGCGCACTAAAGTCTTAAGATTACGTTTACAGTTTGTAAAGAAACTAATTGCTGATGAAATGGTTGTATTTAAATATGTTCCAGGTGACAATCAAATTGCAGACATTTTTACTAAAGCACTTCCAAAAGGTATACATGAAAAACATGTACAAAGTATGCTTTATGTTTTTGTTCCACAATGATGAACCGCAGGGGAAATGTTGAATGGTTTCTTTAAATGTAAAGGTTCATCACTGTTCCACCCGATGTGTATGTCTTTAAGGGGCCAGAGCAAGGGCCAGAGCAAGATAACGAGACCCAGTCTTGCAGCTGTGAAACATAGCAGGTGCTGCCGAGTTGTATTGATTAAGCTGTGTTGGCAATTGGGTGTAGTATATAAGGAGCAGCACCTAGCTCTCCCATTACCCTGGGGGATGGGTTGGTGGTAGGGTCATGTTTGTTTGTTAATGTATTTAGTGTAAAAGGAGTTTTTGTTTTTCTTATTAAAACCTTGTTTAAATTATTTTTGAGTCCCTTTTTAATGCATGGTCTCCCCAGCAAGCTCTCTGCAGCGCTACCATACTGCAAAAGCCAACAAGGCGATCTGTAGGTAAACTGGTCCCAAGTTGTTCAGGACTTCCTATACTTATAGTAACACCTTGAACTTGGCCTGGTAGCTAATCAGCAACCAGTGCAGATCTCTGAGCACAGGTGTTATTTATTGACAAGGCCTCACTCCTGTCAGCAATTATGCTGCAGCATTCTGCACTAACTGCAGCTTCCAGATCAAGTGTGAGGGACGCCCCATATAGATTATTGCACATTGCAATAATCCGGTCTTGAAGTAACCAACACATGAACTGCTGTGGCTGGTCCAGGAATGGCTGTAGCTGTCAAACCAGTCGCAGTTGCTGAAAGGCACTCCAGGGACAAAGCTGAATCCAGAGGCACCCCCAAACTGTGAACCTGCTCCTTCGAAGGGAGTGCAACCTTAAAAAACTGCAACTCCTGGAATTCTTTGGGGGACTATTTAAAGTGGCCAGAATTTAGTCCCATTGTCTCTTCCTGTGTGGACTCCGTCTCCCACCCCTCTCAGAACAGGCAGTGGCATGCTAAGACTCGCATGTGAACATGCTGCCACCTCCTGGGAGCAAAGGCACGAGCCCTGCAATGGTGCCTGGCAAGCTGCACGTGGAATATCTCTAGATTTGGGCCACTGTTGCCCATTTTAAGCTTTTTAGGCCCAGCCATCTCCTGTCTCAGGAGGGATGAATGCTTTGTCATGCACTCATCAGAAAAGACAAAGAGATGTCAAAGAAGATTAAGCCTTGTTGATGCCTCCTTTGAACACGGCAAAGCTGCTTACCAGCTTTCAGGGCGCCTGGCTTTGCTTTGTATTTATATATTTTATATCTGTGATATAACAATAAGTTCTTCTGCCCATTTAGAATAAAGGCTTATACACTTTGCACAGGGACACTCTCCCCTTTATCCTAATAGCTCAAGGAGCACCCAGAAAGCATGGGTTGGTCTGAGGTTTCCAGAAAACCTATGTGTTATTTAAGAGGATCATAATGGGATGAAGTTGGGGGGACGCACGCAAACAGCTGCTCCCTTCGAAATGCAATAGGTGCAGTGCACATGTGGAACAGCTGCTACCAGAGTACTCACTGCAGGTTTGCATCCATTGCTCTGTCCTGGAAGAATCAGACCAAATGAGGTAATCTATCTATATGTGATTCCAGCAGTCTATATGGATTTTCTCTACTGCACCTGAAAGCATACAGCTTGAACACAAGTCGCTGCCTGCCAATAAACTTGGAAGCAAAATGAGATGATCCAAAAAGAAGGTAGTGGTTTTTTAGAATCAAAGAACTTGAGAGTTGAAAGGGATGCCAAGGGTCATCTAGTCCAACCTCCTGCAATGCAGGAATAACAGTTAAAGAACCCCTGGCAGGGGGCCACCTAACCTCTGCTTTAAAACTCTCAAGCAGCTCTTACCATCCGAAAGTTCTTTCTGATGTTTAGTCAGTATCTCCTTTCTTGTCATTTGAATCCATTGGTTTGGATCTTGCCCAAACATACCATATGATAAATTTACTCCCCCTGCCCCTAATTAGAGAAGAAACTTGTGTGACAAAAAAACAAAAAAGACTTACCTCCATCCCTAGAAGCTTGAGAGCTTTAGGCTGCATGTTTCAAAAAAGAAATGAAACTTTTAGTTTGTGAAGAAATGTTATTTTTGTCCATCTTCTAGATTGCAGATACTGCTGCATGTTTCAAAGAAAGCCTATCTTTCATAATGATATCCCCCCCATCCCGCTCCACCTCAAGATTTAGCACACTGGCATGCGGCTCCAGAAGAGACTGTAGACCTCAGGCTGAAAAATGTTCTCTACCCCTGCACTATGGGGAGGGGGAGGGGGGAGTCTTCCCCATCACCTGCTCTTAGATCCCTCTTTACCTGGAGATGCTGCCAGGAATTGAAGCTGGGATCATTTGCATGCAAAGCATGTGCTTTACTAATGAGCTGTGCAACTGAGCTATGGTCCTTTGCTCTTAAGAACAAAGAAATTTGCTGGGTCAGACTTAAGGTCCATGTAATCCATGGACTCACAGCACAAGACACGCCTCCTTCACCCTTCCTTAAAGGGGTTTTGACAAAGGCAGGCCAATCTTAGCCTGCACCCAACCATCAACCTGTGTCACATTTCATTTTCTTTTTTCAGTTGCAAACACCTTCCTTCCTTCCTTCCTTCCTTCCTTCCTTCCTTCCTTCCTTCCAGTCCAATGGAACATGTACCTCTTTTCTAATAAATCTGATCTAGTTTCATAGAAGAATGCTAAAGATGGGATCAAGCCAAATTCAGTACTTGCTGTGCATGCAGAGATCAAACAGAAGGAGAAAACAGACACCAATTTTATGACAGATTCTTACCCTCTTTGGCCCAAATAAATTGTTGTACAGGGTTCGGAAGCTCTTTCGTGTATAGTTGCAACGATATGCCCCTCCCATGAGATATTCAAGGACCAGGCCAATGTCAATGAGGCTGATGTGGTAATCTGGTGGCAGATTTCCCTAGAAAACCCCCAAATAATTGTTTTGAAGCAAAATGTAAGCACGAGGGTATATATTTAGGACACAATCTGACACACATTTATGAGATTTACAGTGTCTAATTGTACCCAAGCATAGACAAAAATCTGCTCTTTAATCTCAGGATCCATCATGCAAAATGTGGTTATGATATTTCAAGAGGTATCCAAATGCACAGTACACAAACATCTTTCCAAAATATATGGTAGATTAATGCTACAATCCTATACACACTTCTCTGGAAGTAGTTCCCATTAAACTCAGTGGGGTTAAATGTATGCCTAAGCAGAAATGACTTCTGAATTAGAAGGACTGACATCTGATTGAACTGGCTGTTACCTCCAATGACTAGCACAGGGAGACAGGCCAGCCCAAGCAGCTGGTGGGTCCCATGTGGGCCGAGGTGACGTGTGTGGTCCTGCAAAGGGCGCCCACAAAGGAAGGTGTGAGCGCTCATTCCCTTATTCTGGGGATGGGCAGACAAACAGTTCCCTGCATGGATATATGCACCATGGTAAATTGACACAATAAATTGTTGTCTGTATTCACTCTGTTAAACTGAAACAGAACTACACCAGGGTATGACTAGGAGGCTCTCAGACTAACTCCCATTTCTTATCAATTTTAAATAATAATTAAAAATGGAGGGAATATCACAAATGTTTTGTTTGCAAAATCCTTTGCTGTCAAAAATCTTCACTCACTAACCAAGAATTTCATTCTCGCCACTAGAACTGATTCACCAGAGAGGGAATCTCCCACATGGCTCCCCCTGTAGCAAACCATTGTTTTTTATCTCTATGAAATGGCATCTTTGAAAGCATTAGAAATGGCTGTATTTTGACTAGGTTTTACATCTTCCACCTAATCTGATCAGCTTTTGTCTATTTGGAGCTTTTATCCATTCAAGAATTCAATTTTCTTAAGGGCGGTTCAAAGTTCTTTCAATAATGCAGCAGAGGGAAGCTCCCCCTCCCCTTGGTTGATATTACATTTGTACCAGCCTCTCAGATGGGGGGAAGGAAGGATCAACACATTCATGGGAAGCTGTCCTGGAAAAACCCTCACTGAAATGAGCAGGAGCTGTGTAAAAGCACTACTGGGATCCGTGACCTTGATCCTTTCCAGTAGCCCAGTGATGGTGTGAGCAGGAGTGTGTGATGTAGTCAGCTGCTGTTACAGGACACAGTTGGGAAAACCAGCAAGCAGGAAAACCAGGTTGAGTGCCTATCAAAACGTTGCAGCCGGCCTCTCCTCTCACTAGCTTCAGTGTTAGCCTATGCAGCTGCTTGTGAATGAGCTTCACAAGCCTGCAGATGCCTGAACACATCTCTGGGTGTTCTTGGTTCTGACAGCTGCTGCAGGCAACACAGAGAGCCTCCCTCCCAGCACCTTTGATCCCCATCCATTCACTCCACTGCAGCAACATATCTCTTCCAAGAACAGGGAAGTCACTTGTTCATGGGCTGCTGAGTGAACAGCCCATCGGGATGTTGTGGCTCAGGATTCTCAAACTGGGACCCACTGCTTTTTAATGGTTAGGGAGAGTGAGAAAAGGGATTCCTTTCCCACAACTTGGGAGAAGACAGTGCTCCCCATCTCAGTTTGGGTAGGAGATGCCTCCTCTGTCCCCTCCTCCCCAACTTCTGCTCTTCAGAGACACACAAAGGGTATCAGGGCGGCCATTTGGTACAGAGAAATCTGACCACCTGGTGCTATTAAGCAAACTCATGTTCATAACAATTCACAACATCTCGATGCCAAACAAGCTTTTGATTAATCTGCAGCCCTGATTTGGCAAACAAGTAGGTTGTATAACCTCCTCTGTCATATTGCTGAAGATTGGATGGTTACATTTAAAAATCTGGCATGCATCCTGAATCTCTGATCTGAACACAATGCCTCCTTGTTTAAGCTGGTTGTCTTTTATGTGCCCGAGTATGCGCAATGAGGTCTAGTCTACAAAAACATGGGACAATAGCTAACTAAGATGAAAATGAAACACTCTAAGCCATTCACCTCCATGTTAACCCAGCCAAATCCCCCAGTTTGTCGCTGAATGAGAATGAGCCATGGGAATGCAATGGAGGGGGGAGAGAGAGAGAGAGAGAGAGAGAGATGGAGAAACATACAACAATGTGTTAATGACATTGAAAAATGCTAGCCATGGAACATGAGATATGAGTTCACAACATGCACCTAGTACACCATGAATGTGACCAGCTATGACCCAGACCCCCATGAATGCAAGGTGTCCTTTCTTATTTGCTAGTCTCCCTTCTCTCCAAAGAACATATGAGCCGTTCTGCTGGATCAGACCAGAGACCAGGGTAGTCTCACTCTCTGTTTTCAGCAGCAACCAGCCCATTGCCTCTGGGGGCTCACCAGCAGGGAGGGCATCATCTCCCCTCGCTGTTCCCTTCAGAAGTCTCCTGCCATTGAACGCAGGCTTTCCCACACATTAGTTATCATCGCTAACAAAAAGCTTTCTAAGACTTCCATTCTTCATGAATGTGTCTTATCACTTTTAAAAGCCATATAAGTAGAAGACAACTTTTATTCACAACTATTTTCTTTCAAGCCTTGGACTTTGTTACTTAACCCATATGTGACTCTTTTATGGTTTTACATACATCATTTTATTTGTATGCTGCCTTTCCAGAGTTCAAAGCATGCTCAGGGCGGCTTACAGCATGAAAAAATTCATAACTACAACATAACGAAAGTAGTCCTAAAGAATAAATAAAACATTATAACCTAATTCACACTGCAAGAACCATTGCATGGACTGAATCCCAGCTATCCTTTGTAACTTGCACTTCCCCAAATTTTGTGATGCAGTTCTACAACCAGGTAATGTGCACAAAAATGTATACATATGAGGGAAAGTGTGCACAGAAATGCACATATTGGTGATAATAACATATAAAAGATGCATTTTATTAAGGAAAATTGCTTTCAAAATGTGTGTATTAATTAAAACTGCATACAAAATTTTATTAAGAGAAATCCACGCTTAAATGCTGATGAATTATCGTGAGGATTGGGATCCCCCACCATCAAAACTGCCGTGGAATTGTGGAGAAGTGAACACAGATTGGAAATGTGAGAAACAGAGAAACTGTCTTTGACATATTCTTCTCTCCATAAGTAGTATCTTGTGGGCCCAATGGGTCTGACACATACGTCTACTTCATGTGTCAGACAAATAGGAGCTCCCTACTCTTGGGAAAATGCAGAATGATTTTACACCCCCCCCCATTTTACCCCCTTCCCAAATTTTACCCTGGTTTCCCTTAGATCCTCCTTTCTAATCATTCCATGTTTTTGCAACGACACTTCCAAATAACTGCATATGCAAGCAGCTGACTTTATCATTACAGAAAACATGCAATTTGTGAAGAAACATTTTGGAGATCACGTGACACACCATCAAATAACACATGATTTTCTGTTGACTTGTGCAATTGAGATAAGTGTGAAAAAACATTTTGCTCATCTCTGCTTCCATTCGCAGTCTGAAAACATTTCTGCCATACCTTTTTCACATCTCTGACAAGCAGATGAAGGGTATTGGGAGGACCCAGTCTCTGAAAAAGACAAGATGGCCAGGCACTGTCAGGAGGATATTTAATCTGGGAATGGTTTAATAAAAGCATTCTCTTATTTACACCAGCCTGTGATGGTGGGGCAGATGGGAGCTGTAGTTCAAAACATCTGGTGGGTCCCAGGCTGGTGAAGGCCCATTTGCACCAATATGGGAACTGTACCAGATCCTGACCACGTCCACCTCTCATTGCTGCCCATTCCCTTTCATACTTTTCCTCTCTCAAACTCCTCCTCCTGCTTTTTACTTCATTCCTCCAAACCATGTTCTCTTCCAAAAGTGGGGCTGCATTCCACACTCTCTGTCCACTACCGCAAGTCCTCTTGCACTAGTGGATGGGTGAGTTTTAATGTAGAGCAACAGAAGAATCAAATGGAACAGTTGCACTAGTGATCAGAGCAGCACAACCAATGGGAATTGTGCACTCCCGCCTCTGTGCGCATATCATCTCTTGGCATATTATCTCAAAATGCCCTAGCATTAAGAGCACACCCGCCCCCTTTATGCTTTGGAAGGGCTCCTAGAAAGTTCGCTCACAGTGTTGTAAAGCTCTTCCAGTCGTGGGATGGTGAGGAAGCGCTGCATGCTGACGCCGTTCTCAATCAGTAGCTTCACAAAGTCCACCCGATCCAGCACAAGAGCATCCAGCATCGCTTGCTCTAGGGAATTTACCTGCAGAGAGGATGGAATGCACTATGAATTGACATTCCAAATATATAGAAACAGTGTGAAGACGCCATGCTGGAAGACCTGCTTTGCCAAAGGCTGGTGTTTGGAAGGTGTCACCATCATCTGTGGTCAGAACTTTTTTTCAGCTGGAACTCACCAGAACTCAGTTCAGGCACCTCTCAGGTGGCTGCCATTGCCATTCTAAGATAACAAGGGTTTGTGGTGAGTTCTGGCACCTCTTTCCCCAGAAAAATAACACTGCCTGTGGTCTATTTCATTACACATTACATTTATTTCACATTGAGCACAGATTTGCATGTGGTTCCCCCACTTCCTAATGCATGCACCAGGAGCACGTGGGGGCTGCTGTGAATGACTGTGCAAGTCATACAGTGACAGTCCCCATGTGAAGATGGTGATTCTCACTACAGTGTTCTCTGATAAGTGCTGCCTGGCAGCAGCGGCGGAGCAAGCCGATTGGGCACCTGGGGTGGCGTGCATGCCCTGCACCCAGGGGTGGAGCCAGCCACCTGCAGGGGTGGGGCGAGCCAGGGCAGGATGCTCCGCGGGGACTCCAAGGAGTCTGCCTCCTCTACATGCAGCTGCAGCCACGAGCAGAGGATCCCTGCACCGCGCCGCCAGCAAACTGCTACGTAGCGTGCTTGTGCGGCTTCGCTACGTACGGCGCATGCGTCGTACGTAGTGACGCTGCACATGTGTGCTACATAGCAATGCCCCACCCCCGGGTGCACGTCATGTAGAGGATCCTCCATTTGTGGCGGCGGCAGCATGATGGCTGTTTGCGCCGCCGCAGTGGGGCGCTGCCTTGTCACCCCTGGAGATGTGGCACTGGGAGCACACCACCCCGCCCCCCATTGCGACGCCACTGGGTGGGCAGACCATTTGGGGCAGCGTGGAGCCTGCAGGCATGCTACAGGCCCCGCGGTGAGTGCCCCCTCAGCGGTGACACCTGGGGTGGCTTGCCCCCACCGCACCCCCTTCCCCCGCCCCTGCCTGGCAGCAGTCCCTGCCCATCCCCTGCATGCTTGAAGCACACAAGGTCTCCCACAAGCATGAGCCAGATCTCATCTATTTATTAATTTCTCACCTACACAAGGCTTATGCATTACTCTGGGCAGTTACCAACAAGGATGGGCAACGTGTACATTTTGGTTTCTCTCGGTTTCTCATTTTTGTAGTCTTAAGTTCAGCTCTCCACATTGCCACATTAGTTTGTGATTTAAAAAACTCAAAGTAGCTTCTCGTGAATATTCTTGTGCAAATTTCCCCTGCTATGCACCTCTTAAAATGCAGTGTCCCCGCATACACACATTTTTGCAAAGCAATTATCCCTTATTTAATGCACTTTTGTAAGTTAGTTTCAATAAGATGTGTAATACATTTACATTACACAGTTCAGTAAAGAACTCCACTGCAAAATTTGGATAAGTGTGAATTTCAAAGGATGGCTGTGTTTTGGCTCACCTTTTGTTTCAGAAAGCTCAAATTAGGTAAGATCACATTTAAATGTGATCTGAACGGAGTTTCTCTCCCATCCCTAGCTGTCAATATTTAAAACCAGCCATTAAATACAATGCAGTTTAAAACTACAATGTAAGAAAAACAGAGGGCTATAGGAGTTAAAACAAGGCATTGGATAAAGCACATTATTTATCTGTTAAACCACAGTTTGGGAACAGCTGTGGCCCCCAGAAGTTGTTGAACTCCCAACTCCAGCCAGCATGGCCAGCAGCCCAGGATGACAGGAGCCAGGATCCAACAACATCTGGAGGGCTACAGATGATCAATCAACTTCTGTGATTCACCAAAAGCCCATCTAAACAAAGGTTTTACATGCATTCCAAAATGTGCAAAGGGTGGCTTGCTTCTATAGCCACAAGGTCATGGTTCAGGTGCTGTGTATTACACCAGCCTTTTGGTTTTAAAGCCCAGAGAATCAACCATGGAATAAATCCATTCTGTAAGCACATGAAGGGTCACTTCAGGTCAAGATTCTGGCTTCTGGAGCCTACATCTCAAGGGCACATTCAGGAATACTTGTCATTTACACATGGTGCCAATGGAGGTGGGAAACGTTATGCCCACAAGCTATACATGAGTGATAGGCCAGAAAGGACCAGCATCTCTCTGAAGTCATCTTGTGATGCATAGCCACAAAACAGGGGGTGAAGCCTCTAAAACCCAACACCATGAAGATGGCTAAAAGGTGCACTGAAATACTTTTCTTTTAAAAGGGCAGCCAAAGCCACAGTGCAGTTTAGGCCCGGCTGTTCTTCAGGAGACTTCTCCTCTGCCAACACAGATAGAAAGATACATCTGAAATTGGCTGTGAAACTGGAAAAGCATAAAGGAGTAAATGAACCGGTGAAGACAATTGGCGTTCAGAGCAGTGGAAGGGCAATGCCATTTTTAAGCTCACCCAGTTCAGTAGCTCAAGTTTCCTTGGATCTGTTTCTTCCTCCGGTTCTTCTTTCTGTTTCCCACCTTTCTTTTTGCCTTTTCCTTTCCCTCTTGCTGCTTTTGCTTGAGGTGCCGGAGATTTCTTCTCCTTTTCTGGGGCTGTCCCATCCGTAACTGCAAGGCTTCCCAATGGCTACAGTTAACAGGACACAAAATGGAGGTTCAGGGGTTGCTGAGCCCCATATGTCCCTGCCTATGCATATACCAATCAACATTTCAGTCTGCATCAGGGATTCCAACAAAAAACTGGCCAGTAGACCAGGTGAAAGACTGGTGGAAGGGGCTGCAAAAAGCTCCAGGTTCAATCCCTGGCATCTCCAGGTCGGGCTGAGAATGTCCTCTGCCCAAAACTCTGGGGGACAACACTAAGCTAGATGGACCAATGGCCTGGCTCAGTAGAAGACAGCTTCCTGTGCTCCTAATACTTCCATTTTACAGTTGAGGAGCACTGAGGCTGAGAAAGAAGCAATTAGCACGCAAGACCTGCAATTGCAAGGATTCTCCCCACCCTGATGCAACTTTACTTGCTACTGAAATCCGTGCTGATCTACTGCTAATTGCCCAATCATCCCTGATGTCCAATCATACGGCTGTCCAACCTAGAAGTGGGAGTGTGGTGACATTTTATTTTATTTAAAAAACAAATAACCTCTCTATGCAAAGATTTACCGGCCAATGGTGCCCAAAGACGAAGATTTGACTGCGTGCAATATCCACACGGTTCCAGGCCAGTGCTAAGCTCAGCTGATCTGGTGCAGATGCATTAGTACCTAAGCAAACAAGCAAGTATTTACCACTCAGTGTATAGAATCTCAGCTTTCTGCCAATTAAATAAGCGAGCAAGCAAATCAGAACTCCAGTCCTACTCACTACGATGGAAGTATTTTCTCCCTCAAGAAATATATCAAATTGTTAGTTTCAAAAGCTACAAGAAAAAAACAGCTTCAGCTGGGAGGCAAGAATGAGAGATGTCTTTTTCCTATCTTTGGCAAACTGAGTGAACTGAAAACATAGAATTGGTGGGGAACTGCGTATCTCCTCTGTCTCCACTGGTATGCTTGCTATGCACGTCTGACACAGAAGGTATGAATGCAGGGAGGCACACGTGCTTGCAACATTAATGTCTCACTCATCCAGGAGCTTCTGAAGTGTTCAGAGGCCTCTGGGTGACTGTAGCAGCTGCTGTCAAAAACAATAGCTTGGATCCAAAGAACTGAGTTGAAAGTGAAAACGTTTTAGCACTGTGAACTTTTGCATAAGCTGCTGAAATACTTCTCACCGTGCAGCACTGTGATCTATTGTGGCTGTTTCACAGTTGAAAGGCAGGGTGACTGAGGAAGACACAGGCTGCCACATATGTCACTGTTCTCTTGTTTGGTCACAGCAAATCAGATCACTGCTCCTACAGGTCACCTAGTGGCCTTTGTGTATGGGATGGCTGGTTCAAGCGCTGCTGCATGGAGCAGACCATAGAGGATGCATTGTGCATGAAGAAAGTCAACGTGGCTGGTTGTGCCGACTCTGTATTCAGCGTAAACCATTTGCAGAAGGTGGAACAGGCCAAGAGTCAAACATGTTCAAATTTTAAAACCAAAGAAGGGCTCCTCTTTTCTTCCATGTCCTGAGTCATATTAGATTATCAAAAAACTTCATTAGCATACGTCTCCTCCCATCAGTTTTTAAACATTTACCACAAGTGGCCATCAATATAATTTACTGTGTTGCATTAAAATAAAAACAATATCTTCTAGCACATATGATCTCAGGGTAGAAGGAAAAGTTCAGGAAAAAGAATGTAATGGAAAATTCAGTAGCAGATGTAACCTCTAGATGCTGTGCTTCTCTATATTCTAAGTGAGCCCAAATAAACATTTAACATTTGGTACATAATTAACCTAGAGATTTATGAGTCAGTTGGTTTGCTAGCCGGATATGCAAATGGAGGTGATATATTTCATCAGTTTTCCGTATTCTTGCTTGGATAGCTCACCTTTAAGTAGAGCTGTTAAGATGGACATCTCAATATCCTGCTGCCCCTCAGAGCCCATGCGGAACACGGTGATCTAAAAGTTCAGCAAAAAGTGAAGGGAAAGTGTAAGCACAACACCTCCATATCCCTCTGGTGCAGCTCTGCTCTTCTGTGTCGCTCTACTGCTTGCATGTATCAGGGATGCTCCGAACAACTGAACACAATATCTCCCAAAGCAGTCCCCAAAAGTCAAATTTTGGTCATGCTCAGGAAGTCAGGCAAGCATTGCCCTAGGCAGGCTTCCCAGGACATGGTGTTCTGTAGATGAGGTCTGGCCACCAAGAAAGCCATGTCATCATGCGTGCCCATCTGCCAGGCCTCAGATGGAGACAGGACACAGGGAAGGGCTTCCAAGGATTCTGAGCATGCCTCTTGCACAACACAGCTGTGTTGCACGGCAGAAGCATTGGCAGGAACTAAACTGGTGGGGTGAAGTTGAGTATCAGCAGGATTGGTTCAAGCGGGACTTTGCCATCATGTCTGCCCTGAGCCTTTCTCCTTCGCCAACCTTGTGCCCTCCAAATGTTCTGGACTACAACTCCCATCAGCCCCAATCAGCATAGTCAGGTAGAATAAGGCTGCCTTATAGGCTGCTGTGCCACTCAGCCGTGGATTGTAGCCTTGGTATTTAAATAATATGCTGCTCTGGTCCATGGAGAGGTCTGCAAAGGCATAAAGAGTGTCATTCAATTGGCACAGGAGAGATGGAGAGGGAGACAATTTATCCTCAGACTGGAACATTGGGATTTATATTTAATCTGATCAAATTTGTCTCCTAACTTCTTGTCAAAAACAAATAAATAAAAGAGGAAATGTCCTCTAATTGCTATTGCTGGAAAATGTACATTCTGTAATTTGCTTACTTTATTTTGTGAGGAGGGAGATGCGAAAAAAGTCATTTGCTGATGGAGGCCTTTAAGAAGCTTGATGGACAGATTATGTAATCAGAAGGGCTTCCCTACTAGCCCAAATGGTGGTGCCACGTGACTGGCTAAATATCTAAAGGGGTGGCAAAGTCCTAAAATGCTGATTAGCCAAAGAATGGTATTGACTTAAATCCAGTTAATGTGGAAGAGGGGTTTTTCCCTACCAGTGTCACTCCAACATGGATGCAAATGGGATCAGGCTAAGTAACATATTCCCATTTGTCTTTCTAGTCCATAGTTCTAGTCATAGTTCAAACATTTAGAAGGCACCAGGTTGGGGAAGGCTGATCTAGGGCAATATTGCCCACACTGATCAGCAGTGGCTCTCTGATGTCCCAAATCATTATTGAGCAACAAATCAATTTTGAACTCCTGCTCCCATTAGCCCTAGCCATCAAAACCAATGATCGGGGATTTTGGGAGCTGTAGCCCAACAACATACGGTGGGCACCACATTGCCTATCCCTGGAACTCCTCAGATCTCACTCTTGGGTCCAAACGAGGAGTGAGGGTTGGAGGTTGCGAGTGAGGAAGGTGGGTCAAGCTTTGCGAGGTGCCTGTCACCCTTTTGCCCCGGCTGTGGCTTCCATCACGAGTGTTCTTCCTCCTCCTCCTCCTCCTCCACCGCGTGGTGTGTGATTTTTCAGCAGCGAGCTGGCTCAGGGAGGAAAGGGTTTGCTCTCTCCTCCCGCTGTGCAGCAGTGGCCTTGATCTGGTTCTGGCTGCTTTTCCTTGAAAAAGAATGTGCCCAGGGCCTCTCATTTGAGAAGTGTCCCCCATGCTATGTTTGGCCCTGATACTCAATTGGTTTTGCAAGTGAAGTGTAAGATGCTTACAAGTTCTTTCTTTTTCATGCACTCCATGAGAATAACAAACAGCTGGTGAGCTTGGTTCCTGCTGTAGTTAAAGGTTTTCTGAATGGTGACAAGCAGCTGGTCCCTCAGAGACTCACTTATGATGCTAAAGTCAAGAGACAAAACAGAAAACAAATATTTTCATGCTTGGACTTCAGAAATGAAGGCAAATGGATTTGTTTGTTTGGTTTTCAGAAAACAACCCTTGGAGTACAAACTTGTGTTGCTCTCCTCAGAGTAAGTCTTCATTATATAATTTTAACCAGTTTAACCAATTCTAACTGTTTAATCTTTATTTGTCTGAGCATACGGTGTAAAGCCACGTCATGTGCATGACAAATTCCCTCAAATTAGAACAGTAGTCTTCAACTTTTTAAAGACCCAGGACCCACTTTTAACCCAAGTATGTATTTAAGAATACAAACCTAGACAGTATCTTAAAAAGCAGAGACATCACCTTGCCAACAAAGGTCCGTATAGTAAAAGCTATGGTTTTCCCAGTAGTGATGTATGGAAGTGAGAGCTGGACCATAAAGAAGGCTGATCGCCAAAGAATTGATGCTTTTGAATTATGGTGCTGGAGGAGACTCTTGAGAGTCCCATGGACTGCAAGAAGATCAAACCTCTCCATCCTGAAGGAAATCAGCCCTGAGTGCTCACTGGAAGGACAGATCCTGAAGCTGAGGCACCAATAGTTTGGCCACCTCATGAGAAGAAAAGACTCCCTGGAAAAGACCCTGATGTTGGGAAAGATGGAGGGCACAAGGAGAAGGGGACGACAGAGGACGAGATGGTTGGACAATGTTCTCAAAGCTACCAGCATGAGTTTGACCAAACTGCGGGAGGCAGTGAAAGATAGGAGTGCCTGGCGTGCTCTGGTCCAGGGGGTCACGAAGAGTCGGACACGACTAAACGACTAAACAACAACAACAACAATGTATTTAAGAATTACTCTCTTAATTTCTTATTGATTGACTGATTGCATTTATATGCCACCTTTTCCTCCAAGCTGCTCAAGGCAGCATACATGGTTCTTCCCCACAACAGCCCTGCAAGGTAGGTTAGGCTGAGAGGCAGTGACTGGTCCAAGGTCACCCAGTGAGCTTTATGGCCAAGTGGGAGTTGTGAGCCCTCGTCTTCCAGATCTATGTCCGACTATACCACACTGCCAGGTATTTTGCTAGTTCATAAAAACAGGTCCTAGTACATCAGATGTGGCTGAAAAAGACTTCAAAAGCTATCTCACTCCTCCCTGAGCACACTGTGATGAGAGCCCTCTAACCTTGGCCAATTCCCTCTTATTTCAATTTGGCCAGCAGGCAATTCACTCAGACTCGTGGGCCTGCTGAGTTTCGGGAAATTCTGCTCTCTAATCAGAATGAGGTGAGAGAGCTCCCCAAAGGCCCCTGTTATTAGGGAAGCTGTTTAGCCTGAGAACCTTTATCAGATCCTGGGCTTTGGCTGACAGGGCCTGAGAGATCCAGCACAGAGATGCCAGATCAGCAAGAAGCTTCTGAGGTTAACTCAGAGAGAAGAGGCCTTTGATTTTCTCTAAAAAAAGTGGTGGGGGTGAAATTGTGAAAATTAAGCTGGTGAGTAATACATTTAAAAATGGAACATCTGCTCTGGAGTATACTGAAGAAGTTCCACACAAGGAATTATTGCAGCTGAAGGATGCATTCCAGCCAGGCAAAAACACTTGTGAAGGGTGTGAAGCAGGGCTAGTGAGGGGTGTGGTCTGGGGAGGGGTCTTAGCTTGGGGAAGGTCACAAGGGCTGGATAGAGAGGCTTGGAGAGCCACATTCAGCCCCTAAGCCTGAAGTTTCTCACCCCTGACAGAAAGTCCTCCAGCAAGTTCATAGAGGAGACAATATTGGAACCTTGGTCAACAGCTCAGGTTTTGCACCATGCAAATAAGACTTCCATTGTGCACTCCCTCCTCTCCTAGTCTTCACATGCACTATTTGATTTGTTTGAACATAAGTCTGGTTTGGATGTTACACTAAACCCACCGCTTAGCTCCATATGAGGAACAAGCCTCTAACTTCAGTACTCTCAGCTCCCCTCTCCTCATCCAGTCCACCCACAAGGAAGAGATTGCAAGTGTCCACTTCCCTGTTTACGCTCACTGTGATGTGTTGTTATCTTCAAAGCTGAAACTGTGGTTTCTTTTAGACTATGATTCATCAAAAGAAGTCAAGATCAGAAACCATGGTTTAGCCATGGCTTGTTTCAATAAAGTTTAAAGTTGAAACTAAACATAATTTGTCCAAGTTTGTATGTAGCAGCAAACTGTGGTTAGGTTAAACCAAGATGCTTCCCATCTCCTCTGGCATGTGCTCGGGGAGCAGGGGCACTCGAGCTCATGGCTTGATCAAGCTTGTTCACATAGTGCTAAGTTCAGTGATAAGTGTGCACCGGGACAATGGCAACTTGTGGTTTCTCAAGAACATGGAAATAAGGTAAGCAAGAGGAAGGAGAGTGTGCACAGGCACAACATTCTTTGTGTAACTGGTCACAGCATGCTTTGGCACTATGTATGAATAGGGACTCAGTCTCCTAACCACTACATTACACCAATTCTAACATGTCAGTTATTCTTACCCTCCTTCTTCTGAGTACTTGTGTGCAAATGATAAGATGTCTGACGCTCGTCCACTGCCATCACAGATCACAACAGGAAGTGGCGGCTCTTCACGCAGGCATTCCAAGACGATGGATATCACATTGGGACCACCTTCGACTATCAGTCCAACCACAGGGACCCCCTGCCCCAGCCCTGTAGGACAAACCAAGCAGGCCATTAAACACCAAGTGAATGTTTTGAAAGGGTGGAAACTTCAGATTCTCAATGAAGCAGGATGCTGTACAAATACCAGGGCATAAGACAAGGAGAAGCTGCTGAATAATCTGTGAAACTGCACAGTACTTTTGATGAACAGCAGAACCTGCTCGTAAAACTCAACAGAGAGCACAGCAGTTACAGTGGCATAGAAATGGCATGTGTTTGTTGTGTAGACATGCTGCCTGTAAAGCGACAGCCATCTAAAGGCTCTCTTAAGGAGCACTACCAGCTGTTTATTGTTAGGATGCAAATAATGGTCGGTCGGCGTTAGAGACGACAGCTGAGCACCCCTTTGCTGTCCCTGCCTCACTGTGATCTCCAGGCATAGGATGACAAAGGGAAGCCCATAGGTCACAGGATCCAGGCAGACTTGGTCACATGTCAGGAAGTTGGAGGACTAAAAGTAGAAAAATAATGATCTTGCACGTGGCATGATATGTCCTCAGGAAGTAGGTGCTTAAATTCAAAATGCTGGGGGTCAGGCAGAGTTATAAGGAGATTAGTCTCAAGATGTAGTAAAAGCTGAACAACAACAAAAAGCAGAAGAAAACCCACATTCTCTTTTTAATGCACATTAGACAAATGGGGGAGAGAACACTTTGAGCACCATATCCCTACTTCCAAACCAGCAAAACCCTTAATTTAGACGTCTCTCTACGGAGGGGTGAGAAACCCAGTGGCCCTCCAGATGCTGTGGGATTCCAGTTGCCATCATTCCTGACTCCTGGCCATACTGGCTGATCAGAGTCCAACAAAACCCAGGCCACATTCACACCACACTCTACAGCACTTCACTACCACTTTGAACTGCTGTGGCTTCCCTCAAAGAATCCTGGGAACTGGAGCTTGTTAAGGGCGCTGAGAGCTATAATTCCAAGAGCAATTTAACAACCAATCCCTCTTCCCAGTGAACTCTGGAAATTGTAGCTCTGTGAGGGGAATAGGGGTCTCCTAACAACTCTCAGCACCCATAACAAAGAATGACTTCCATAATTCTTTGGGGGGCTATTTATAGTGGTATTGTGACCCTTTAAATGTATGGTATGAATGTGACCCTAGAGTGTCACAGGCTCCCCATGCCTCATCCATGGGCCAAGCATTTTGCTGCCTGAGGTGAAAGGCAAGATGGTATGTTCGTTCTCTCGCTCTCTCTCTCCATTCCACATATAGAAGCCAGCTGGAGTGGCAGCTGAATCTTGCATCCTGTATTGCACTTTGAGGTGGCAGCTTAGTATAGCGGACCAGAGACAGGCCATGTGCCATATACAGCTCTGCCTTCCAAGAGAAGGGCTCTGGAAGGGCTACCATCTGCTGCCTGAGGTGGACACCTCATTCTATCTAATGATAGGGCTGGCCCTAACTAAGCAGAATCACAGGGGCGCTTGGAAGATTGTGGGGCTCAAAAGGTCAGACTTTGTAGCCTCCGGATAAGGAACGCCGACCCCCTGGGTACTTTAATGGACCCTATGCACACAGAAGTGGTTCATGAGGCAGGTCACCAATATCCCGCTTCCACTGCTGAGCTCCATCAAATAGGCAGTCCATTCACACATAGGTTTTGTTTTGTTTCTTTAATTGCCAATGATTTTAATCAGGAAAATGAACTGCATGAAAAGAGCTGACCCTCCAAGTGCCACTGTTTTGCAGGAGAGATTGAAATACATCAGAACAAATGCTCATTCAAGATTAGACATGGTCTAACCTTTGTACAAGCTTTGAATACTCAAAAAATTGGTCATCCAGAGGAGCCCACAGCTTGGCTACTTTCAGTAGCTACTCTTTGTAAATCAAAAGACGACCGAAATGTATTCAGTCACCTCTAATACCACACCTTGTCTGACCCCTAGAAAGGGGCAGTTATGACTCCGGTTCTGCAAAAAGGAGATCTAAAGCTAAAATGTAGTTATGAGTTTGTGGCAGCAGGTGGGTGGAAAAAAGGGTGAAAGTCCCACCTTGGCTTTTGGGCCAAGTAGGGCAAAGGATGCCAGAACCAAGTCCCCCAGGAACTGATGTGTGTCATGATCACTCAGCAATCAGCAGTTTTCCAGCTGGATGTAACCTGTGCTGGGTCAGAAAGGTGGAGGAAAACTGCGCTTACTTAGTCCCCAGGGACACTCTGGGCATGCTCAGAGGCACTCTCACCAGCTGGCATAAGAATGATAAGAGAATAATAATAATTTTTATTTATACCCCATCCATCTGGTTGGGTTTGCCCAGCCACTCTGGGCGGCTTCCAGCAGAATATTGAAATACAATGACTCATCCAGTATTAAAAGCTTCCCTAAACAGGGCTGTCTTCTAAAAGTTAGATAGTTGTTTATTTCTTTGGCATCTGATGGGAGGGCTTTCCACAGAGCAGGTGCCACTACCGAGAAGGCCCTCTGCCTGGTTCCCTGTAACCTCACTTCTTTGCAGCGAGGGAACCGCCAGAAGGCCCTCGGAGCTGGACCTCAGTGTGCGGGCTGGATGATGGGGGTGGAGACGCTCCTTCAGGTATACTGGGCCGAGGCTGTTTAGAGCTTTAAAGGTCAGCACCAACACTTTGAATTGAAGGTCCTCTTCGCCATTGCTGTCGCCACTTGGTAGGCTCAGTGTTGAGCTCTAACCCATGTCCTGTCGGATTCAGAATGAGTTTTCCGCCACCGGTGCTCCAGCCGTCTCAGCGATTGTTTCATCGCCCTTAGCTCTACGGAAAACCACGGGGCTGTCCGGGCTCCATGCAATCGGAGAGGGCGCTTCAGAGCCAGACAGTTGATAGCCCTGGTTAACTCTGCTTTCCAGCGGACCACCAGGGAATCAGCTGAAAGGCCATCAACATGGGATAACACATCCCCTTCCACTCTCTGGAAACCATTTGGATCCATTAAGTGGCAGGGGCGGACCATCAGAATTGGTTCCACTGCTCTGCAGAGGGGAAGGCGCGCAGAGAAGTCCAGTTGTACCAGGAAGTGATCCAACCATGACACTTATTTTGTTTTGCTTTTACTTAGTGTCAGATCACCCACATCCATAGAGGTGAACACCAGGTCTAAGGCATGTTCACGACTATGAGTTGGGCCAAACTTATTCAGGGATGGCCCCATGGAGGCCATGCTTTCCACAAAGTCCAACGCCCTGCTTCTGAGGATCAAGCAGGAAGTATTGTTGTTCCACAGCGCTGGTATTCAGCAGCCTGCTGCTTCTGAACAAGGAGGCTCCATAGAGTCATCGTGGTGAGAAGCCACAGACAGGCCTCATCTCCTCTTCCATGAATTTCTCTTATCCATTTTTAAAGATAACTAAGCTCTCCTCACATCTTGTCGCAACAAACTCCATATTTAGGTCCCAAAATGACCACCTCTCATTTTCATGGGATAAGCCACACTTCTAGAATTACAGGAGAGGGAGAGAAACACCTCCCTAACCATATTTTGGGATTGAGCCTGGGCACCAGAGCAGGTTCTGAGCCTGAGCTGGCAAGTCAACCTATGTGCCCAGCAGATGCCTCCACCTTTCTGCCAGAATTGCCAACAAATGCAGCAATTAGCATCCATGCACAGTTTTTAATATGGGTCTGGCAGTAGAAGGCCTGTTAGTTTGGGTATGTTTTCAGATTCAGGGCACTGATTTCACAGGCAGTGGTGTAATTCAGTGTACAAAGAACAGAGAAAGAAAGAGGACCAATTCTATTTATACAGGATATATTGCCTCAGACCACCAGTGCACTTGCACATCTACAGAAGATGGAAAGTGCTGGCAGCTGAGGCCAATAAACAAATAAATGTGCACTTACAAGTCAATACATATAACATGTGGGTGCAACAAATGTGTGTTTACCAGCCATGGGCGTCATATAGGCATCCATGGCAGGAAACTGGCATTTCCCATGATTCCTTGCTACATTTGCTCAGGGTGATACACCTGCATTCACCACCACGAATACAGCCCACTCTGCCAGCCACTTTCATCACTCTTGGGTAGCGGTGGGCAAGTGCATGGGCAGGGGATGCAAAGCGGGAGTCACCAGCACCTGCACTCTTACGTTGCGCCCCCACAGAAACTGAGGAATGGCCTCCCAGAGGAAAGATGCCCATGCTCTTCCTGTTGGACTTCTCCCAGTAAGGTCCAGTGCTGGCCCAAGACATTTTGACATCTCAGGTGAACCACAAAATGCCCCCCTCCAGGGAAGAAGGGGGAGTGAAGCTCTGCATTAAGCATAAGGGGGGGGGGATAAGGATCCAAGAGTGATGCATTTCTTGGGGGGCAGATGGCCCTGTGGATCCTGCTACCTCATTGCTGGCTTGGCCCTGGTAAGGTCTATTGATCTTCTACGGATTTTTGATAGGGGGTTATACCCATGAGGTTATTCTGCACTCAGCAGTGACCTGTTTAGTGAATGAGCTATATATCTCTGGTCAACTTACGTGTGTTGATTTTTTGGAGTGAGATGTGCTTCTCCAGCTGGCGCCTCAGTTTCACTTCTGCCCCGTATTTGCCAAAGGTGCCATTGTCGGCCAGGATGAAGTGCGTATGGGAACTGTTGAGCACAGAGAGTTTGCTTAGTGGGTTTGACATGGTTTGGTAAACTCTTGTCACCTGTCAAAAAGAAAAGGGCATTTTTAATTTAAAAAGAAAATAGAAACAAATAAAAACTGGGTCATATTTGCACTTGTATCTGGATTCTGGGAATATTGGACTTCAACTAGCTTAAACAGTAATAATCAGGGAGCTAGAGATCTCTCAAAAACCTTGCCAAACTAGAATTCCCAGAATCCTTTGGGGAGGCAAACCATGGCAGTTATTCATTTACTTGTTTTTTGCCCTGTAAAGTTCTCGGCCATCACACAACACCTTTATCAACGACTTGGATGATGGACTCAAGGGCATCCTGATCAAATTTGCAGATGACACCAAAAAGGGAGGGGTGGCTAACACCCCAGAGGACAGGATCACACTTCAAAACGACCTTGACAGATTAGAGAACTGGGCCAAAACAAACAAGATGAATTTTAACAGGGAGAAATGTAAAGTATTGCACTTGGGCAAAAAAAATGAGAGGCACAAATACAAGATGGGGGACACCTGGCTTGAGAGCAGTACATGTGAAAAGGATCTAGGAGTCTTGGTTGACCACAAACTTGACATGAGCCAAGAGTGTGACGCGGCAGCTAAAAAGCCAATGCAATTCTGGGCTGCATCAATAGGAGTATAGCATCTAGATCAAGGGAAGTAATAGTGCCACTGTATTCTGCTCTGGTCAGACCTCACCTGGAGTACTGTGTCCAGTTCTGGGCACCACAGTTCAAGAAGGACACTGACAAACTGGAACGTGTCCAGAGGAGGGCAACCAAAATGGTCAAAGCCCTGGAAACGATGCCGTATGAGGAACGGCTAAGGGAGCTGGGCATGTTTAGCCTGGAGAAGAGGAGGTTAAGGGGTGATATGATAGCCATGTTCAAATATATAAAAGGATGTCACATAGAGGAGGGAGAAAGGTTGTTTTCTGCTGCTTCAGAGAAGCAGACACGGAGCAATGGATCCAAACTACAAGAAAGAAGATTCCACCTAAACATTAGGAAGAACTTCCTGACAGTAAGAGCTGTTCGACAGTGGAATTTGCTGCCAAGGAGTGTGGTGGAGTCTCCTTCTTTGGAGGTCTTTAAGCAGAGGCTTGACAACCATATGTCAGGAGTGCTCTGATGGTGTTTCCTGCTTGGCAGGGGGTTGGACTCGATGGCCCTTGTGGTCTCTTCCAACTCTATGATTCTATGATTCTATGACCCCCATTCTTCTATTTTCTTTCTTCTTTTGAAGTAGATTAGGCTGCCTCCCCATATCTAACACACTAAACACACTAACACACTAAACACCCACACGGGCTCTGAATTGCTTGGCATTTTCATGGCACTTTAAAGAGGGTTTGAAGCATTTCATGTACATTATGTCAGCAGCCCTTCTTCACTTGCAAAGTAGGCCAGCATTATTATCTACTTATTGCAAATGGAGGGCAGAAAGGTGCTGGCTTGCTTAAGGCCTTCTTGTGAATTTGTGGGTGTGTGAGGTAAAGTTGAAGCTAAGGATCTCACTGCTCAGCCAACACTGATATAAAGCTAAGTTGGTATAAAACTGTTTACAATGTGGACCTCCCCTCTGAACACAATTTCCAGTAAAGCCACGTTCAGAAAGTGAAAGACAGCTTAGTATAAAAGGCTCCTGTCTTTGGAGTAGTAAATGGCAATCTCAGTGGCCCAGATGAACACAGTGGTACCTCTGTTGCCAACGAGATCCATTCTGGAGCCCCGTTTGCAACCTGAGCAGAACACAACCTGCGTCTGCGCGGGTCACGATTCGCCGCTTTTGCGCATGCGCGTGACGGCATTTTGAGAGTCTGCGCATGTGGCGAAACCCGGACATAACCCGTTCTGTTACTTCCGGGTTGCTGCGGGACGCAACCTGAAAAGATTTAACCCGAAGTGTCTTTAACCCGAGGTATGACTGTATACAGTCGTACCTTGGTTGACGAACGCCTTAGCAGTCGAACATTTGGATTCCCAAACACTGCAAACCCAGAAGAGAGTGTTCTGGTTTGCGAACATTCTTTTGGAAGCTGAATGTCTGATGGGGCTTCTGTGGCTACCGAGTGAGCACAGGAAGCTCCTGCAGCCAATCAGAAGCTGCGCCTTGGAAGTTGAACGTTTTGGAAGCAGAACGGACTTCCGGAACGGATTCCGTTCAGCTTCCAAGGTACGACTGTAGCTGTCAGCCACTGGGTAGCTCTTCATTCTGTCTGGGGTGCAAAGGGGAAGAGTGAAGTTGGAGGCAGACATAAGAGGGGAAGAGTGAAGTTGTCATACAGGCATAAGAAAAATGCAGCTGTTGAATTCTCCTCTTCTATCCCAGCTATCCAAGCCATAAGACTCCAAACACTAAGATTTACTGATACTAATATTTGCATTCTGCTTTTTTCTGCACACAAGAGACCTAATACTAAAGCACTAGATGAATGAAATCCAGCCATACTCAGACTTGCACCTGCCCTGCTCCTCTGGCACAGCAGCAAGGAGCAGATTGCTTTCATACTAAGCAGTGTCCCGTTTATGTCTGAAAAATTCAGGGAAACTGTAGTTACTTTAAATGTGGATTTGACAGTGCATAATGTCATTGTTGCATGTGTTTGTGCATAAACCTATTCTGTCCCACTGCCGAATTAATCTGCATCCCCACCCCTCCTCAAACTTCCATGAATATTTGCATATTCATACACCACATGCTTTGGAATATTTATTTCCTTTCAAAATAAACATTTCTTTAAAAACAGATTAAACTTTAAAGATGTGTTTCAAATTGCATTTTTATATGTTTAGAGACGAGAACACTGTCCAGAGATGTGCAAAATCTGAATTATAAGCCATATTCTGATCCACGCATTTGATTGCAAGTGGAAACGCCTGAGCCCTCCCTTGAGGAGTGGGGAGCTGGGCAGCTGGGGCTCGTTCCATACCCTCATTCATTCCTCAGATGAAAATAGGGTCATTTCTCACCCCCCCCCAGCCGATCCTCCTTGATCTCCCATTTTTGTCCAGGCTCCCTACAGAGCATTTCCACCCCCCCTTCAGCAACAGGACACAGCACACCCACCCGCCACCATCCTGAGAAAACCCCTTAATCCTGGTTTTATTTTATTTTTTTCTTTGGTAGATTTACAAAAAGAAAAGCACACACCAATAAATAAATGTTAGAAAGGGGCAATATTAAATGCGGCTGCACAAAGCATTGAAAACAACAACAAGACCCCTTGTGCTCTGCTCCTCCTTGTTTCCCGCCCAGGGGGCCCCTGCCCCTCAGAGCTGGCACGTCGCATGGGGCTGGGCCTCTGGGCTGGCGGCTTCTCTTCCTCCTCTATGAGCTGCCCAAGGGAGGAGGCTGGCAGCAGCCCTGGAGAGGCCACAGGCTGCTCCCTCCCTGGCAGCTGCCCCCCCAGTCGCTCCAGAGAAGTGCCGGCTCCTCGTCCTCCCGGAGCTTGGTGGCGGTGGCACTGGTGGAGGAAATGGGATCAAATCAAAAGCCGGGGTAGCTTTTGTAATTCTGGGACTGTCCCTGGAAAATCGGGACACTTGGAGGATATGTCATTCATGTAACACTAAACCAGGGCTGGGAATCCTTAGACCTTGGGGCCAAATGCAGGGCTCCCCCCCCCCCAGCCTCTCTGCTTGACTTGTGGGGGGGCTCTCTCCAGGCTCTGAAGCCATGCCCAACACCAGTCCTGCTTTGCAGCTGGCTGGAAGGACAATGCTTCTCGCTTGCCTGGAGGATAAAGAGGGATCTGCAAGAGTGTGTAGAAAACAGCTTGCTGCACAAAGGCAAAATTCACAGTGATTGCTCTGCTCACCTTTGCACTTGGCCCTGACCACTGCTGGCAGCTGGCCCTCGGAAGGCCGCACAGAACAAAATCTTGCCCTTGGGCTAGAAAAAGTTGGGCCCTCCCCCTCATGCTAAGAGATTATCATCGGTCATTGAGGTCTTCCACCGAGGGTCTTCTGCTGGTTCCCTTCCTGCGAGAAGCGAAGTTACAGGAAACCAGGCAGAAGGCCTTCTCAGTAGTGGCACCCTCCCTGTGGAACACCCTTCAGATGTCAAGGAAATAAAGAACTCCACAGATTTTAGAAGACACCTGAAGGCCACACTGTATCGGGAAGTTTCTAATGTTTGATGTTTTACTATCTTTTTATGTATGCTGTAAGCTGCCCAAGAGTTGCTGGGGAAACCCAGTCAGATGAGCAGGGTATACATAAAATAATAATAATAATAATAATAATAATAATAATAATTTAGCACTGCATTCAACCTGAGCTAAATGTGGCTAAAGGCAAAGACAAAACGAACGATTTAACAGTCAACCCCTTTTCCCAGGGAACTTTGGGAACTCGAGTTCTCTAGAGGGGAATGGGGGGGGGGTCGCCTAACAACTCTTAGCACCCGTAATAAACTTCAGGGCTTTACATGTATTGTGCGAATGTGGCCTGTGAGAAGGGCCTCCAAAGCTCTGTGAAGATTGCCTCCTCTTAAATGACTGGACATGGTCTGCATATCTCTGAGCTGGGGGAAGCTTCACCTGTTGATTTCTGCCTGTAACATGGTTGACAAAAGAATGCACAAAAAGTGGCAACCACCATCCTCCCCCTTCCTTCAAAACTCCTGCCCTGACCTTTGGATGCAGCGCTGCATAAGGCGACACAAGCAACCCTTTAATGCTTTGTCTGATTTGCTGATAAGAATCAAGGGATCCCAGCAAATCAAAGGCAGCGAGAACAAGAGAATCTGGCAAAAATCCACAGAATGTGTGGGAACTTACATCTTTCCCAATCAGATCCTCCTTGTTTTCCACAATGCCCCACGGAGCAATTCCTATGGCACAGATGCGTCCTCTGGACTTGGAAGAATGATCTTTCAAGGCATCTCCAACGTGGCGAATGACACCTACAGGAGGGATCGAGTCTGTTAGAGTCTTCCCTGGGGGGCAGCTGCATACATCACAGAGGGAGACAGAAAGAGCCTTCTCCAGTAAAAACACCCCCTTCATTTCTCATTTATTAGGATACTCCAGTGAGCACTTGCTATGAATCTGCTTCAATGGAAGAGACACATAAACCTGGCCCTTACTTTACCGGTACCATGTTCTTCAGTGTTTTCAGGAAGGTTGCTTAAAAGGTTTTAAATGCACCAAATCTTTAGAAAGAATTGAGCACTTTAAGCCTCCACCCAGCAAAAGTGAGTCTTGACTTATTCCCAATGAAAGTGATGGAACTTATTAACTGGGACTGAGTCCCATTCCATTTCAGTTGTGTGCATGGATGGGCATGCCAGAGTCACAGCTCATTAAAAGTGTGTTCTCACAGTCACCCTCCCAGCCTCCCTCTATCACACGCATGCACAAGAGCACAATAAACCCTGCCTTATCAAGCAACCAGTGTTGGCGGTCTGGGTTCCACTGGCCAGGTTTTTCACATAGCCTGCAAGGTTATGACTTTTCTTCCACCTTTGTATGTGACACTCCACTTTTTGCCCTGACTCAGTCTGTTTTGAGGTGGTTTAGTATTTTAAAACTCAAAAGCTGGCAATAAGAAGATCCACATGGACAAAGGTTTAATATAAAAAAAGCACAGGATGTCATCGTTTCGTTTTGTTCTATGAGGTGTCCCACACAAAACTGAAAATGGTATAAAAATCTCTTGTTACTGTGTTGTCTGTTGAACCTTGACTACCGGCTGTTGGAAACAGACAGGGTTCTTAAACGGGGATTTATACAGCTCTCTAGGGACGCGGGTGGCGCTGTGGGTAAAACCTCAGTGCCTAGGACTTGCCGATCTCATGGTCGGCGGTTCGAATCCCCGCGGCAGGGTGAGCTCCCGTCGTTCGGTCCCAGCTCCTGCCCACCTAGCAGTTCGAAAGCACCCTTAAGTGCAAGTAGATAAATAGGTATCACTTTATAGCGGGAAGGTAAATGGCGTTTCTGTGTGCTGCACTGGTGCAGGCTCGCCAGAGCAGCTTCGTCACGCTGGCCACGTGACCCGGAAGTGTCTCCGGACAGCGCTGGCCCCCGGCCTCTGTGAGATGAGCGCACAACCCTAAAGTCGGACACGACTGGCCCGTACGGGCAGGGGTACCTTTACCTTTACATACAGCTCTCTGGCAAGGCTCCAGCACAGGCCAAGAGAGGAGAGGAAAGGGGATGGAAGGCTGCATTGTTCTTAAGAGCACACAGCACAGTTAATTCATTCTGGGTGAAAATGACACAGTTACAGCCCCTTGGATTAAATCCCTGCTCATCTCTCAACATAGTTTTCATCAGCCAAAGGTCAGCATATAAATAAGCAGGCCAAGAGTGCACTTCTCACCTGTACTGACTCCCCCGGTGAAGATCCAAGCCCCTGTGGTCATGGCGGCCTTGATGAGGCCCTTCCCAAACACTTGCTTCAGCTTGGGTTGCAGCTCGAAGTTCTGCAGTCCCCCGTGGATGGATATTAGGAGCTTGGGGAGTTCCAGCTGCCAGTCTTTCACCATCAGGTGGAGCAGCGAGTCTGGCTTTGTGTCATATGACACTCGGATGTACTGCAAGGCAGGTGGACACAAACAGCTTAGCAGCTGGGATCAGCTTACTTAAAGGATCTCTTTACCCCATCCATGCCTGCTCTTTGTAAGTGCCACTTAACGTCTGCAAGAAATTTATCCTTCAGTGTGGCAGCACTGTCAACTCTGGAACGCCCTGTCCACTGATATTAGGCAGGTGCCTTTGCTGTCTTGCTTTCGGTGCCTGCTAAAAACTTCTTGGCCAGATATGTAGTTTTATATGTATATTTGTTGCAAAACTGCTGGTTTTACTTATGTTTTGATAAATGGTATGTATATTTGTTTTCTGAGCTGTGATTTTAATAGTATCTTAAAAGAATGTTTCATGTCGTTTTATGTAAACCACTTAGAGGGTTTGGTTGATTAAGCAGCATATATGTGTCAGATGCTCCTCAATCAGATCCAAAGTTCACCAAGTTTAGCTTCCCATCCTGGCCAAGCAGGTGAACACAAAGCAAATCCACGAAGGCCATGACCCTCTCCTGATGTTTCTCCCCAACATCTAGCATTTGGAGGTACACTCCCTCTGAATATGGAGGTTTGGCCAGCTAATGCAACTAACAGCTATTGATCGATCACTCAATTCCCTTTTAAAGCCATCAGAGTCACTGGCCAGCAGCACTGTGTCTCGCAGAAAGGAAAGTATGTGTTGTATGAATAAATATTTTCTATTGTCTATCCTAAATCCACTGCTGTTCTTTTTTATTTGATGGCCCCGAGCATAATGCAATGCAGAGTTTCATGATAGGTTTTAGCTGAGATTCTGGCATTGCAGGGGATTGGACAAGATGACCTTTGGGGTCCCTTCCAGTTCTACGATTCTATGATCATTCTAAGATACTGCTCCTCTGCACGTGCGCAGGCGAATCAGAGGGAGCAAAGACAGGCTTGCAAATCAGTAATGCAACATAAACAGCAAGGCGTCTTGTGGCCCCATCAAAGACCAAGCGAATGTTCAAGAGTAAGAGGGGGAGGGGGAGGAGCTCAGCTCCCTTCGAAAGACACAAGGTGTCTTTGCCCAGTCTAAACAAAAGGTGGACTATGGGGGACAGGACTGTGCCACTTTTGATGATACAATTGATAGCTGTAACAACAGCAAAAATGCATCTCTAAATCCAGATGTAAGGAAGAAGGGGTTAATTGACCCTTTCCCCTCCATTTGCTATATGGAGGATTCCCCTATCCTTGCTTACTGGGAAGCCTCCTTTTATCTTCACTGCTTCACAAATGTCAGCTGTCTTAACATTTTGGGCTTCCCTCAATGTGGTCTAGTTGCAAAGGAAGAATCCACTTTCCCAAACTCGCTTTAAACAAAAACTGGAATCTGGTCATTGTCTAATAAATAATAATAATAATAATAATAATATCATCTATCTATTTATTTTTTATACCCTGCCCATCTGGCTGGGTTTCCCCAGCCACTCTAAGGACATTCCCCTTGCCAGGCTTCGGAAATCTACCCCTCTCTTCACTGGGCTATATTGTCTCTATTGGTGAAATAGAGGTTACCACATACCATGGACTTGTTGGTGTGGCCTCCACCTTGGAACTCAAGATTTCCATAGGCATCAGTTGGGAGTGCCTGGGTGTGTTTACTGACAAACCACTTCTCAGGCTGAGTATCCACCTGCTTCGTTGCTTCTTCTTCATTCTTGTTCGCAGTTATACTCGGAGGAATTGGGGTGTGTTGTGTAAGAAGCTGGCCACAGCAGCACCTGAGGGCAAAGAGCAACTGTGAGCCTGCAGCCAGCAGTTGATGTAGAACATTCCCCTCTTCGTGTTTAAAAATCTAATAGGGATGTTGCCCCTTGTGGTGCAGGAGTTTTAGTAGATTAATTAATGGATTGATTTTGCATATATTTTCATACAAGTAAAAAGACAAGGCTTGCTTGCTTTGTTTTGGGGTGCTGCTCATGGCTTGCAACATCTTAGAATGGATATTCCCTCCTGAATGAGAAAGGGGGAGAATACCTCTTTTAAGACAGTGCTTTCCATCTGCAGTTTTAATGCTGAGTGGGGGTATCCTGACACCTGACTAATCAGCGCACTTTTTCAGGCATTCAGGTTTGGGGGTTTTTTAATTAAAAAAAATGAAGCAAATCAGTTAGACCCTGAGGAGGGAATAAAAATCACGTATCAGAGCATGTTTTGGGGCGAAAATGGTATGCTTATCTTCTGCCAAGTTCCATGCAGCACTGCACACACAAGCAGATGCCCAGAAAACTGTCAGATCTGCTTATACCATCTAGAAGTCTGCCCTTTCTCTCTCAGTTATAAGGTGCCATGGAAGGTTTTCAGCTGGGGCTCCAAGAAGCCAGACTCCAGCATCTTTCCTTCTGAGCCTGAGCTCTCTGCTTCAAGGGTACCACGGAGGCTGCAGAACCAGCCTGCCTGAGCAGCCTGTCAGCTGACCTCGAGGGCCAGTCACAGTTTATAAAGCCCTAGTCAAGAGCAAGTTGCCTAAACTTCTGAACACTGCCACACCATTTTAATTATGTAGGATGCTGTCAATAAAATAGCCCCCTGCACCTTTTAGCTGCCTTAGAAATTGCCCCCTGCATGTCTTTTAATGTGCACCTGCTTTTTGCCCTCTACTCTTGCCTTGGTACACAATACCTGCCTGTTTGGACCAGCTTCCTCCCTTTTTCCACTTGCACTGACTCCAGCTGCCCCCTGATCCTGGAGCCCAGCTGCCTGGAGCCTGATCCTGGCTGACACGCCCTACTTGTTTCTGAGCAATGAAAGTGACTGCCTCAAATTCTGGGGAGGGAGAGCAGCTGCCCCCCATTTTCCCATGAGGGCTGCTCCTCCTGCTGCTGACAAAAGATTGCTTGTTTGGTGCGCAAAACCAACGTGCAGAAACAGAAGATGGGTCACCTGGTAGCATCTTTGCTGTTGGCAATTATGTAGATACACTCCCTCTTGAAAAAGGTTTTTTCTATCCAAGCTTTTTGACCCTAAGGAGGGAAGGAAGAAAAAAATAATTTGATGTCACATGGTAGATAGTGATGTTTACCTGAAAAAAAGGATCAAGACTAGTTTACAAAAATGCAGCACATCTTAAGAGCATCTGTTGTAGTGGCTTTCCCCTACCTCCTATTAACCAGAAAAAGAGGGGCTCCAAAGATCAAATGTAGTCCTTGCCATAGCTGTCAACGTTTCCCTTTTCTTGCAAGGAATCCTATTCGGAATAAGGGAATTTCCCTTAAAAAGGGGAAAAGTTGCCAGCTATGGTCCTTGCATGTGTGAAACTGGGCCCCTTTGATGGGTTGTCCTGACACATGGTAGTAGGTTTGGTTAAATGTGAAATAACAATGATTGAAGGAAGTCAAACGAATCACCCCCCTCCCCAGAAAAAAGAACCACAAATACAAAAGAAAAACAAAAGCAGCATAGTATATCTTGACGAGACTTAAACCAGCTAAGCAGAGTGCTTAACTTTAAGACTGTTAGGAAAGTCAAATTTTACATTGCACTGTGGAGACGGAGTCCTGCATTAAGTTCTACTACTACAAGTAGGTTGGGTTAAGTTAGGTGAATTCAATTTATACATTGCTTCCCACTTTAAAAAAAGTCTGGAACCATTTTACAACCAAATTATTTTTTAAAAAACACTCAGTAAGAATCACATTAGCCGTATGTAAACAAAACAGCCACCAGAGTTAGCAGAGTTAGCAGAGTTAGTGTCATATCATTGGTGCTGCTCAAATGCCTAGGAAATGTCTTTGTTAGCACCAGAATTATAATAAAATTATGATAACATTGGTGCTAGGGAAGAGCATTCCATCAACCGGGTGAGGTGGGGGCTACTGCAGAGAAGGCCTGTTTTCTCATTGTCCCCCTCTGGGCCTCCCTCAATGGGGGCACGCAGAGAAAGTCCTTAGGATCCGGGCAGAATCCTATGGGGGAAAGGTATATTATATAGCAGGTAGGAATACAAGACACTGCCTTATATACCAGGCCAGATTATTTGTCTAACTAATGCATACCCTCCAACATTTCTCCGCTGAAAATAGGGACGTCCAATTCCATAATGATAATTTTACTATTTATACCCCACACATCTTGCTGGGTTGCCCCAGCCACTCTGGGCAGCTTCCAACGTATTTTAAAACATAACAAAACATTAAACATTAAAAAAAAGTCCCTATACAGGATTGCCTTCAGACGGCTTGGGGGTCAGATAACTCCATACCCTTCAACATTTCTCCACTGAAAATAGGGACATCCTAAGGAAAAGTGGGACATTCCGGACTCAAAACAGAAACTGGGATGATGTCTGTAAATCTGGGACTGTGCCTGGAAAATAGGGACCCTTGGAGGGTCTGCTAATGTATTGCTTTCTCTGATGGGCAGAAACTCCCCTGAGTCCTAGGAGAAGGCAGAAAAGGCTCTTGCCTTTTCCATTGCCTGCTTGTCTGAGTCTTCTAACTGGAATGCCAGGGGTTGAATGGGGGGGGCTTCTGCACACAAAGCATGGCCTCTGGCACCGAGCTATGCAGTACTGGCTGCTGACAGATAGACCTACAGCTGGAATCAAAGCAAACCCATAGAGCAGCCTCTGCCAAACTGTGCCCTCCAGCCTGGACCAGCTGGGGTTAATGGAGTTGTACAGGTATAAATGGACAATTCTCCCAATGGAGAGATGTAGAGCCCCCAAGGGCCAGTATTGGGACCTGCACATTTTAACTTGTTCATAAATGATCTAAAGTTAAGGGGTGAGCAGTGAGGTGGCCAGGTTTGCAGATGGTACCAAATTGTTCAGGGTGGTTAAAACAAAAGAGAGATTGTGAAGAGTTCCAAAAGGACCTCTCCAAACTGAGAGAATGGGCAGTAAAATGGCAAATGCAATTCAGTGAAACAGGAACAAGATTTGGGGCCATAGTCAACAAAGATGTTAAACCAGTGCGCACCATGGATAATTTTTGCTATTAACTTGCACAGAAGAAGGAAGAAAGGGCATGTCCCCAGATTCCAGTAATCCAAACCATTCACTATCCCAAACTAGGATTCCTTGTTCTGTGTTTTCCCAAATGGCGATGTTTCTAAACCCAGGTGCTTGGGAGCACTTCTGGGAACAAAAGTAGCCCAGACGAGGTGGTCACAGGTAGCAAAAGCAGAATGTATAGGTAGCTTCTGTTCCGAGTGTGGGGGTGCACCTTCTGTTCATAAAGAAATATCATTCTCCTCTCACTGTCTGGGATAGATAAGACATTTACACATGATGTGGTATAGAAATATAATTTCCCCCTTTCTGGGCAGCAGGAAAGAGGTTTTACTTACTGCCCCAGAATAATTTTGGAAGGTTTATCCATGACTAAAATATCTCTGCATCTATTACCTGAAGACTATGGCATGTGAATGGGGTGGGGTGGAAATGGGATGGGATTTTCTGGGCCCAGAAGACTATATATGTAGATTGGGTCCTGCTACAGTTAGCAAAGGTGGCTCAAATATGCATAAAATGGATATCACATACAAATTTGAACCCTCTTTCCCAGGTGCAGACAGTGTCAAAAATCAAGCAGGGGTCACACACAGGTAACGAGAGGCCCAAAGACAGAAAATCAACAGGTAAATCATTCCCCATAATTATAGCTCCATACATATCATTCCAAAAAGCTTACTCTGCTTATTATCTGCCGGTGAAGAGGTCCTTTGGGAACTCTTTACAGTCTCTTTTAACAAAGCTGTTAAAAATGCATGCAATGCTGACCACAAAATCTCCTCTAGTGCCGACCTTAAACCATGCAAAGATCTCAGGTTTCGTGATTTGCCAACTAGTTGTGTTTCTGGAAGTCTTTCACCAGCGGATATTAGGCTGGCGATACAAACATTCAATGCAAGACTATGCCTGGTGTTTCAAATAGAAGAGTGTCAAAAGTGATTTAAAATTCACAGCAATTCTGCTCAGATGCTCAAGCTTGGATAAATTCAAGATCTAAATGCAGACATACCTCGTTTTATTGTGCTTTGCAGATAATGCTCCTCACCAGGACCCGGGGGCAGCTGCAGCAGCCCAGCCTCCCACCCCCCGACTGCCGCCCCTCTTCTGGCCATGGGAGTGGAGCTGGCAGGGCTGGAGCGGGTTCCCCCTCCCCCTCCGCAGCCAGGGTGGCCTGGCTTAGCAGACTGCACTGTCTTGGAAATAGGACGTTCAAATGCCCTGGGAAACAACTTTCTCACTTTACTGTGATATTTGCTGTACTGTATTGTGGTGGTCTGAAACCAAACCCGCAAGATCTCTGAGGTATGTCTGCAGTTTAAAAGCAACCTTGTGTTTCTTTGTTGTGGGTATTTAGGAATACTTCATAATAAATATATCATTCCCCCCTTTTCTTCATTTTTGAGCAAAAAGGATTTGAAATACCCACTCAGCTCACTGCATGTCCTTGGGCCAGTCACTATCTCTTAGCCTAGCCTACCTCACAGGCCTGTTGTGAGGACAAAATGGGAAAGGGAGAGGAAGAGGTCCACCTTTATCGTTTTACATAATAACAACAAAAACCTATAAACACTTGTGTTTATACCAGCAGCATTCACCCACCCTTGAGAACCCCCATACAGGGTGTAGCGCAGGGGATGCCAGAGGGGCCATGGCCCCAGGCATGGATTTTTGAGGGGGTGCAAAGCAGGAGCCCTGGGCCGCACTGGGGGCATTGGCAGGGGGGCACCTGGTTTTGTGCCCGTCAAGTGCCATGTCAGCTGGTCAGGCTCTCCCCTGCGCAGGTGGGCAGGTGGCACAGCACAGCCCTGCTTGGTTGCTCTGGCAGTGTCAGCAGCGAGGGCTGGGGTGCTGGGGTGGGCTCCTTCACCCTCCGCGCTCCACCCGCTGGGGTGCATACACCCCTGGCATGCCCACCCGCCAGTCTGTGTGCGTGCACTGGTCTGGCACATGTGTGCCTGTGAAGGACACCTTGAGCTCTTGCAATGTTGCTGCCCCCATATTACCACAGCTAATCACCCCTCCACACACATTATCAACCCCCCTCCAACTGCTACGTTTCCCTAGAAGAAACAACAACACATGTGGAGATTGGACCATAACAACCCTCCAGTCATGGAGCGCACAGGAAACATTCCCTCCTAGTCCAACACTTTAACTGTTGCACCACAACATACACATTGTTGTATGCATTTTTGTATAAAGCACACATTTAAAACAATTCCCCTCAATATAATGCATTTTTGTACATTATTTTCACTGATGCATGCATTTCATGCACATTTCCCCCGAATCTATTTCCCCTTTTAAAAGAAGCATTCCTACGTTGGAGAACTGCATCACAAAATTTGGAAAAATTCAAATGTTAAAGAACAGCTGTTTTGGTGTGCATTTTGGTTTGGGAAGTGTGATTTAGGTAGGTCCACATCAACAAGCAAAGCCAACTAATTTCTTCCCATGGCTGGTACCTGTCTACTGCATATTCCTCATGATAATGAGAAGACTAAAGCAGGTGCAATAAATTGCTGGAATGAAAAGCCAACAAACATATGTACAGTAGGCCTTTGAAGTTTCACTGCTGTAGGATGCTTAATCCTCTTACCAAAAGCTTGATTATAATCCACTCAAAACACTGTAGTGAAAACATATTCAGTCTTAGAGAAATGGCATCTTCTTGGTTTGGCTTCACCTCTACCCAGTAGTGGAATGCCCAGGGGATGTTCTGCAAGATGAAGTCTTCTTGGGCTCTCCAGGAAGACGGCTAGCCGTAGCTCCCTGGATGTTTGGGGAAACTAAGTATCCTTCCAGCAGGAGCCTTTGCATGAAAGAACTCTGAAAGGATTATGACAGATTAATGGCAGTGTTCAGGGTCTTACCCTGCTCAACAGGAGAGGAAAAGATGTAGCACAGCCAGCAAGGTCACTATCAACCGCGACACCAAATTTTATACCAGAGTTTAAGCCACTTTGGAAGTGCATCTCGGGTCAGTGGTTAACAATGGTCTGTCCTCTTGTGTCAGCATCACCATCATCATGCAGCTCCCAAGAGGATGCAACTGGAACCTCTTTTGTTGAATTTCTTACTAGCTGGCTGTTTTTGATGTACAGAGTGGAGGCGGCTCAACCATGAAGCTTCCCTTGGGCTGCCATGTAAAGGCCAGGGAATAACTGCTTGCTTGGATGATGCATGCAGGCTAGAAGGACAAACTCACATGGGATGGTCCCTTCCCTTCCAGAATTAAAAGCAAGCCAGCGTTCGAGGATCTGCATGGTTCTGACACCAGCTGCCTGCCACTTTGTGCCTCCTGCCACCTCCACCTCCTGCCCCCTGGCAACAAGGGTGTGGGGGTTGGTTTTCCCCCATCATAATCTATTGCAGGACCCCACCAGCTCCTTTTACGATGCTCAAGGGAGGGTAGAAATATATGGCATGAGAAACATGCAGGGTGGGGAACCATGGCCAGTTTTGAAGACAATATACTTCCCCCATGAAATAACTTTGGAGAAAAGCAAATTTTGTTTTGTGTTTTTTTAGCACCAATCCACAAATAGGTACCCAAAGTCACAATTCTGGTCATGAATCTTTCCATTGAAATCTGCCTGGATCTTATGGCCCCTTCAAAAATATTCTAGCAGCTGACACCAAATATTTTTTAAAGGTGTGTGCATGTCCTCATTTAGTTACCACCCAAATTACAATTTAAAGACACATTTGGGTATTTCCTGGTCAGGAGAAGGTTCACAAGAATTTCAGAGGAAGCAAGCAGCATTTCAATAACTTCTGAAAAATTGTGTTTGTCTCCACACATTTATGACTTACAGAGAACAGTCTATTTTGTTAATTAGTCCAGTGGATGTTGTCTGCTTCTTGCCTACACTGATTGTCCTATTGGGAATTTTGAGTCAATGAAGAAATTATCCATTCACATCTGGAATGAGAACTTCTGACTGACTAAATTTTGCCGAGCAAAATCAAGGTAAATTTGGAGGTTCCTTCCAAGGAGAAATATTGGAAGAATTTAAGATAAGCATGAATTTTATTTGGAAGACTGTGGCTATTTCCCAATATGTGGTGGTGGTCACTGCACGTCCCTGGCAAACACCAATGAGGTCAGGGTTTTTAAATCCTAGAGACTGGAAGGGGCTATAGATTTGGGGAGGTGTTGCAAAACCAAGGTCTCATTCCAGCATTCCCAAATATATTCATGAAAGCATCTTTAGCATGCTGGCCTCTAAACTTCACTGCTGCTCTATCCTATCTTCTCTGGCAACCTCTTTCATAGTAATTCTGCCAGATTCAACACACCCAAAGGTAAATCACTGCAGCTCTTGCACCCTCTTTTTCAACATCCAAAATTACATATTTCATCATCATCTTGATAAACGAAATGCACGTAAATAAGTTTCAGTGGCAATGATGAACTAACATAGAATTTGAAATAAGTCAGCCTACCTGTTATTCC